CCCTCTGAATTACAGCAACCTCTCCTGCCCCCTCATCTCCTGCCCGCCCATTCCCTCCGCATGCTTCCACAGCGCTGGCATGAACCCATCCCCTGTTCCCATGTCATCCCCATCCCTCCCCTCCCCTGCCCTCCCTGCTCTCTCATCCCATCCCTTCCCTCCCCTCCCTTGCCCTCCCCTCCCTCCTGTCCCATCCCTGCCCTCCGGTTTTCATGCATGCTGTGCTGGCAGGCGCGCAACAAGGAGTGCTCGCGCATCAACACATGCTTTGACTGCTCGCCCGAGGGTGCATGCCATGCCATCAAGGTAATTCCTCCCTGCTCTATGGATGTACCATGCTGCTCCATCCATGCATACCAACTCCATGCCTGATACATGTCGCCCCTCCCCATATGCGCCATGCAGAAGCACCTGCGGGTGTAAGTGTGAGAGCATGGCACAGTCACTCATGCCTGTCCCAATGCATACGTACCCATGCACGCCTTCCCTGTGCTGCTCTCACCATGCACGCCTTGCAGAAGTACCCGCGGGTGTATGTGGAGGAGCATGGCACAGTGCAGGGCGAAGCAGACATGATGGCCGAGGTGAGAGGGTGGAGAGGGGTGTGAGGTGAGAGGATGGAGAGGGATGTGAGGTGAGAGGGGGGTGAGGCGAGTGGGTGAAGGGAGGTTGGTGAGGAAGGTGCTTTGAGGCGTCTCAAAGCATGGCACAGCGCAGGGTGAAGCAGATATGATGGCCGAGGTGCGAGGGTGGAGTGATGGAGAGAGTGGTGAGAGGTTTGTGAGGATGGACTTTTGAGTCGACTCAAAAGACGGTTTGGTGAGGATGTCACAGTGGCTCCTTCTATTCTATGTGCTTTTCCTTCTCGTGTGCAGCATCCATTCGCCTTCCTCCCCTCCACTCCTCTCCCATCCCCACTTTAACCCGCCCATGCGCTGCTGCTCACATCACACCTCGCCCTGCTCACATCACACCTCGCCCTGCTCACATCACACCTCGCCCTGTTCACCCCTCACCCTTCTCGACCCTTGCCCTGTTGGCCCCACGCCCCTCCCCCCTCGCCTTTTGCCCCTCGCCCTTTGTCCTGCTTCTCCCTCGCCCCTCGCCCCTCCCCTCTCGCCTTTTGCCCCTCGCCCTTTGCCCTGATTCTCCCTCTCCCCTCCCTTCTTGCCCCTTGCGCTCTGCATACCACTCACCACAGATCGCGGCTCGTGGCCCCATTGCGTGCGGCATAGCTGTGAACGACGACTTTTACAAGAACTACAAGTGAGTGTGTGTGGTGGGCAGGAGAGGGAGAGGTACCACTGCATGGAGGTACTACTGCATGGAGGTACCTCTTTTTCTTGCCCGCTGCTAATGCCATCTTCCTCCTTGCCCTTTCACCTTGTTCCCCCCAGGGATGGCGTTTACAACGACACCACGGGCTTCCTTGATGTGGACCATGTGATCACTGTGTGAGGGTGGGGCACTAGCACAGCTGTCCATCCGCTTTTCCCCGCTGCTAAAGCCATCTTCTCTCCCTCGCCCCAACCTTTCCCCTCCTCAGGGGTGGCATTTACAACGACACCTCGGGCTTCCTTGACGTGGACCATGTGATCACTGTTGGCAGTTGGGGCACTACTACTGCCACCTCTTTTTCTTGCCTGCTGCTAATGCCATCCTTTCTCCCTCGCCTCTCCCTCCCCCCCCCCCTCAGGGGTGGCATTTACAACGACACAACGGGCTTCCTTGACGTGGACCATGTGATCACTGTTGGAGGGTGGGGCACCAGCCCTGAGGGGGTGAAGTACTGGATTGCCCGCAACTCGTGGGGTACATACTGGTGAGAGTGAGGCGGAGAGTGAGGGTGTGAGTGAGTAAGTGGGTGAGGGTGAGTGAGGGAGTGGGAGTTGGGAGAGAGTAGTGGAGGGGGCTGGTGGGCTGATTGTGATGGTCACTGACCAGGGCACGTTTCTTGAGGGGTTCGAGCTCTGGACCACTCACAGCTCATGGGTATGTATTGCAGCACTGCACTGGTTACATGCTGTTGTGCTGCCATGCTGCGTGCAAGCTCAAGTGCTGATATATTGCATGCATGTTCGCATGGGGCCATGCTGCATGCATGCTCCCATGCTGCCATGCTGCATGCATGCTCCCATGCTGCCATGCTGCATGCATGCTCCCATGCTGCCATACTGCATGCAAAAGGCTTACAAACCACTCTGATGCGTTGCTGTATCTGAATTTGTGAGCAGGGGGGAGAATGGTTGGTTCCGCATTGTGCGAGGGACCAACAACCTAGCGATTGAGAGCGGATGTGACTGGGCAGTTCCCAAGGTCATGTGGGATTGATGTTTTTTTTCCATGTGCGTTGATGCCCACTAAGAATGAAGCATGTTGAATGAGTAAGGTACATATCTTTTGCAAAAGTATTGTTTGGATCACTATGCTGTAACATTGTGTAAATTCGACATGCTCCATTACATTACTATCACGCCACGACGGGACAAGGAGGCCTGATTCCTTCGCTATAAGCGCCTGACTGCAGTCCTATCCATCCATTGCGGAAACGACACCAACACCAAGTCAAGACTTCAAACGACGAGATTGCGTGGGATTGGGAGTGTGGTGCAGAACAGTGGTCGTGAGTCAAGTTTCTTTCCGTCAGCACCAACCTGCTGTCCTTGTCTCTGGCGAAACCAAGCCGTCCGAGCCTGAACCGACAGGCCAAGGCTTCCCAACTAACCTCGTTGCACTGTACAGCTATGTTCGGATCTGGGCTTGTTCCTTCCACAACACACCACCGCTTCCAATTCCCTCCCCCACAGCGCAGGCAGACTCAGCCCTCGGTTGTGTTGTGTGGTTGCGTGGGTAGTCTCCACAAGCGGAACAATAACCCGGGCAGTTTCGGAGTGTGCGAGTCAACCGATTGCTTTAGGAATATATGTACATGTAGATTTTAGGCGGGGAGGAATACGAGTATATGTATACATGTACTGTACTTAACCTCGCCTCGAGCAGAGCGTGACTCGTTCGTTCAAGTGCGAGACTCGAGGGCTTTGGCAGGGTCTTCACAATATTTGAACAGCTGCACTATCTTGGGGTCAATTAGTGAAAACGCGGATACAGAAACTGTATCAGCTAGGATCACTCCCATCGTTTTGTACAGTCTCAGCGACGATCAGTCTGATGCTCTTTTTGGAGCTTTTGTTACACCTAGTCCGCGGTATTTTAACCACGTGAACTGTTTTGTTTCAAACACCCTTTATTCGTTTTCGGGTAATGAGATGGGCACCCAAAGACTTCAAGGATATTATTTTACAGCCAGATGCCTTTCCGTCTGAAGAAACGCACACTTAGTGGTCCGAGATAGGGGGCGTATCGGCATTGGCAGAGTTTTAACTGCCTTATCTCGCGAGAGGAATGCTAGATTCTACCCTAATTAATTTTCAAACTACTCGTTTAAACAAGTTTGACCAAGGAGAAGTACCCTCGCGCGGTTAAGATAGCGGCGGTTAAAATACCGCGGACTAGGTGTATTTCTTCGCAATTGGCAACCTCCGACCTCGTACACACCACAGTCTTCACAGCGAGGATACCATGGTTGCACCTTGGTATTTCGAAGTTATAAATACCTGTACTCTCTACTGATAGCCTCACAAATCCTCCACGCTTAGTAAGAAGCGGAGAATCACTTGCAATAGGTTCATTGTGAAGCAAGCGAAAATGGTACACTGTGGAAGACTGTTGAACTCCTGCTACACGGGCGTTTAACAAAAGGTTCACGACCTTCTACAAGACAGTACAAGGGAACACGGGCGGATATGACCCAAAATAAAACGGAGGTGATTTCCAAGTTTGGAAGACTGCCAAGCGTGCATTTCTCTGTCAATTTCCGTGATACAGAATGTGTCACTTGATACAAGGACGTTGTGTAACGTCTTCTGTCACTTGATGCAATACAGTAAAGGACCGTAGTACCGTACTTCATCTTACTTGTACCGTTGTGTTTTCTGTTCTCTCCCCACTGTAACTTGCGAGGTGAGATTGTGATGGCACCAAGGAGGTCTTTGGGCAAACCCCTGTAATGAATCTTCGGAACTTCAAAAGCAGCTCAACCGACTCCAAACATTCTGGACCCAACCAAACCACACTCTTCAAACAAGGCACTAAAGAACTGCAAATGCCTCAATTTCAGATTTCTGACTGTGCAACGTCGTCTAGGGTTTCGACAACGACAATGGCTGCAATCCTATGAGGAACGGACATGCCCAGGCAATCAAATAAGCACTAGGAAGGACAGCCAGCCTGAAGGAGAACGTTCTCCATCAATCCATCATCAGCAGACCATCCTTATCATTATCGGTCTTCATTGACTTCATTGGAATGCGTTTTAACTTTTAGGAGTAGTCTCACTGGCTGATGCGGTAGGCCTTATGAAGCAGGCAGAGTCTAATCTGCCTAAACCGCCGGAGAGTATGGCGACCTTCGAAGCAGTGTGGAGACCGCAGGATGCGGGCTCTTCCGCCGGACCGTCTCATTTTTCTTTTCAAGACACCCGATTCGAGCCGCGTTACCAGGTCTCCGGGACTAATTTTATAGAAGACACGTTTGTTCCTCTTCCTGACGACGAGGATGCCCCTTTCAGTACTGGGGTCAAAGCTAGTACCCGCAGTTCCCGCGGGGACTCTAAGCCGCGGCCAGGAAGCCGGTCCTTCGGAACGAAGGATCGTCGCGATCTATACTCACCCCCTCGGAGCGATTCCCCTTCCGGTCCGAACCCCGCTAGTAGCCGCTCCAGTACTGGCCGTAGCCTCGCCAAGACCTTTTCCTTGCGCATTCCTGAGAACTTTGAAGACTCGTCGTCTCCTCAGAGCCGTAGATCGCTCTCCCCTCGGCAAGCCCACGCCCACGCTCGCGCTTACTCTCAATCTCACTCTCATTCTCACACTCCCGCGTCGCACAGCAGCAGCTTACTATCCGGCATGCTCAGTCCGCGTCCGGGAAGAGCGCCGCGCGCGATGCGCAAGGGCCGCTCCGCGACGTCGATGTTTCTGGATAAAGTCGTTGACGAGGCAGCTCTTATGGAGGACGAGGCGGCGATCGACGGCGGCGCCGGGTGGGACGAGGACGGCGCGGCGGCGGCTCGACGCGTCCACGCGAAAGCGCTCGCTGCGATCGCGACGCCGCGGGCACGCGGCCCGAAGAACAATGACTGGAGTAACGCGCGCAAGGCTTCCGAGTGGGGTGCCGCTTCTGCCGCCGCTGGTTCGCTTTCTAGTTCGAGTTCGGGCTCGCGCACGGGCAACATGGCTGCTGCGGCAGCAGCGGCGGTGCAGGTTTCGCCTGAACGGGGTAGTAACAGTCGATGGCATTCGCGAGCGCGAAGCTCGTCGCAGGTGGACGCGGAACGAAGCTCGTCGCCGTGGGGAAGTGGGACGGGGCGAGCGGCTGGCGGAGGCGCGGAGGGGGGAACCGCGGGCGGAGAAAGCGCGTTTTCGGGTGCCAGGCGGGGGAGAGTGGGCGGAGGGGCGGGTTCCGCGGTGGGTAAGCCGACAGGTGCGTTCGAAGCACGTGTCGCGCCGGCAATGGCGGAGAGGCCTCCCTTACCTGAAGGCCTGCAAGATCTTTCCTTGTTTTACGGCGCTTCGAGGGAGGAGGTCGCTAGCAGCGGCAGCGTGATATTTAATCCGGCAGGCGGCGCCGTTAGCGAGCATGATTCGGATTTAGCGGTCCTGATCAACTCCCCTGCTTCCGTTGCCCCTGCTGCTGCTGCTGCTGCTGCGGGTGGTGATGGCGCGGTGGAAGCGGCACTGCTGTCACCACGAGGTCTGCATGTTTCGCCCAAGGCCACGTGGACCAATCAGAAGCCAGCAACGTTGGGAAGAGTGGCAGGTGGCGGCGGGAGGGCTCACGCGGCAGCGGCCGCGGCTGCAGCGCCGGGAATAGGTGCATCTGGAGCAGGTTCATCCGCGGCAGGAGCGCCGGGAGTAGGCGCATCTGGGGTAGGTGCATCTGGGGCAGGTTCATTTGGCGCAGGCCCGAGCGCGATCTCGCCCATGGCGGCAGCCGCCATTCGCGGCGGCGGATTATCAGCGATGTCGCCGCGCCTGCTGAAATTCCTGGTCGAGGACAAGCCGGGCGCGGCGGAGCGGGGCGCGGGGAGAGCAGGGGAAGGGAAGCGGGACGGAGACAGGCGCGTGCGCCAGAGTGGAAGCGGGGACGAGACCGCGGAGGGGAGGGGGGGTGCAGGAGGAGACGAGCGGGGGAGGGTATCGATGCGGTCGCGCAGCGGGCCGCTCTCCGCGCGAGCCAGATCGCGCGCCTCTGCGACTATGGGCGGCGCCTTCCGGGTGCCCGGGCCATTACACTCCCCTCTCTCCAGCTCTCCCGCGTCGTCCGATTCGTTATTATCATCCCCGCTAGCCCTCCCCGCGCCGTCCCCGTTAGCGCCGTCCTCGAGTTTCGGTAGAGCAGCGGGTGCCGCTCACGGGAGAAGCGGTGCGGGCAGTGCGTCATTTCCCTCCCCTACGCGCACGTCCCCTACAATCACATCTCCCACCAAGCCAACCTCTCCGCTAGGCCCCGCCTCTGCCGCCGCTACCACGGGGCCGTCCGCGTCTGCTGCGCAACCATTGGCGGCTCCCGCGGGGTTTCAAGCTTTCCGGCGGCCCGCCGCCCTTGATCTTGGACGGCTGCTTGCGCCCGGCGCTACAGGCAGGGAGGAATCCGACGATGAGGATGAGTTCAGCGATGACGACGCTGACGTCAGCGAGGCCGTGGCTGTAACGGGTCCGGCCGAACCGCCAGGTTCGGGTAGAGCTGCGGGGACAGGCTCGGGATTAGCCGCCGATCGCGGGGAGCGGCTGGAAGGGGTTGAGGTGTGGCTGGAGCGGCGGTCAACGGGGAACGCGCAGCACGCGGAGAGGGGAAGGGCGGACGGGAACCAGGCAAGCGCGGAACGCCCCCGCAGCAGCCCGGTAGGCCTAGACTCGGCGCTTAGCTTCGACCGCCGAACCAGCCCTGTAGGTTCGGGCACTATAGATAAGTCCGGGTTGGGAGGCGGCGGTGGCGGAGGAGGAGGCGGGGGAGGCGGGGGGAGAGCGGGCGTGGGTAGGGCGCAAAGCACGAAGAGCCCAGCGCGGGCAACGAGGGGCGGGAGTCCGAATGTTTTATCTGCTGCTGCTGCCGAGGACGCGTATAACGCGAACGCGCGAGTCCTCCCTCCGTCGTTGTCATTTTCCGGGAGTGACTTGGCGATTAACCCCATCGACCGCCGCCCTTCCGCCAATGAGTACATTGATTTTCCCCCTGCGTCTTCCCCCGTCGATTACTCCCCCGACGTTAACATCTCACCCACGCAACAGCAGGCGCAACAGCAGGCGCAGCAGCAGCAGAGGGCAAACAGTGCCAAGCCTGGCAGGCAGGCAAGCGGGCAGGCCGGTTTGGGCGGCCGTACGGGTAAACCTGGGAGCAGCGGAAACAGCCCCGTGGGCTCGGCTGCGCCGGCAGGTTCGGGAGGTTTCGAGGGGATAGGACCGGGCTCAGGCACAGGCACAGGCATAAGCAGGGGCGCGAGCACGGGCACAAGTATGGGAATGGCAAAGAGTGCGACTCTGGACTCGGGCATGGGCGGAACCCATTCTGACGATGGCCATGACGATAACGATAACGATAACGTTGACGATGATGATGACGACGACGCTATCCTGCTGCTGCCAGAAAACGTTCCAAGCCCCGACGCTGCGGGACCCAGCTCGGCGCGCAGCAAGCCAAAAGCTGCGCCGGCGCCAGCGTTACCGTTAGCGTCAGCGTCAACGTTTACGTCGTCAACGGTAGCGTTAGCGTCAGCGCCCGGGCAGGGCGGAAAGGGGGCGTTTTCTGAGCGCGTGCGCGGGTTTGCGTCGCCCAGGCGCGTGGAGAGGCCCCCCGACCCCATGGACCGCCTCCGCGGATTCGTCTCCCCGCGCGCGCGCATCCGAGAGGCGCCGGGCAGGGGGCAGAGCGAAGGAAACGCATGGGGTGGGGATGCTGGTCGCTCCACTGGCGGTGGGGGACGGGGCGGGGTAGGAGGGGGAAGGGGCGGCGGGACAGCGGCGGAGGAGAGTCAACAGGGGGGGTCGGTTTGGCAGCAGTATCAACGGCCGCACGGCCAGCAGCAGCAGCTGCCGCAGCAGCTTCCGCAGCCGGCACAGCAGCAGCAACAGCATACGCAAGCGGAAAAGGACAGCAAAGGCAACCGCAGGCGGCCGAATCTACGGCCGTTACAGCTAGACGCGCTGGTTACCACCCCCAGAGGCCGCACGCGCTCGCACCTCCCCGCGGGAGGACCTCTTTCCGCGCGCGCTGCTGGCCCAGGCCCGAGCAGCAGTGGGTTCCGCCAAAGGGGCGCGGGCGGGGGCAGAGGGGGAGTCGCGGGGTGGGACGGGGACGCGCCAATGGCAGTGCCTGCAGGAGCGGGGGAGGGGCAGGGGGGGCGGGGGCATATGGCGATGGCTATGCCTCCGCTCTGGCACAGAAGTCCGCGGGCAGGGGGAAGCGGGTTGAATCTAGGCGCAATCACCCCCACTGCTGCTTCCGCCTCTTCCGCCGCGGGTGCAAGCGGGGGGAGAGGCGGGGCGTCTGCTGCTGCTGGTCCCCCGGGAGGGGGGGAGAGAGGGGGGGGCGCGGGAATGGGGGAGAACAGCAGCAGCCCCAAGTACTACGTTGCGCTTAAGAGCCCCCGCGCACCCGCGGATGCGCCCAGGCGCGCCAATAAGAGCCCCAAAACGCCCCGCGGGGAGGTGCTATCTGGGAAAAGCGCAGGCGAGGGGAGCATGGGCGGAAGCGCGAATGCTGGTTCTGGGTGGGGAGGGGCGGGGTCAGGCGGAGGGGCAGGCGGAGGCGGAGGCGGAGGGGGTGGGGGAGGCGGAGGGGGAGGGCCGGGGGAGGGCGGCAAGAGGCGGGGGTTGGCGTCATGGGGAGGTGGGGGGACGCTGGGCGCAGCAGTGGACACTTTCAGCCGCAGCCTGAGCGCCCACCCCGTCAGCCCTAGGGCGGGGCCACCTGGGGGAGGCGCAGGGGGAGACGGAGGCGGAGGGTTGATGACAGCGGAAGCAGCATCAGCGTTTGACGCGCATGCTAGAAGAGCCATGGCTGCCCCCCCCAACCCCTCCTATCATGCGCTCCCTACCCCCTCCCTCCGACCCTCCCCCACAGCTGCTGCTGCCGCCGCCGCCGCTGCTGCTGTCGCTGCTGCTGCTGGTGGCGGGAGCAGCGGCGGGGGGAGCAGCAGCAGCGCGCGCGGGGGTGGGAGCAGCAGCGCTGGTGGTGGTGCTGAGATGGGCGCAGGAGGGGGGGCGGGCGGGGCAGGGGGCGCAGGAAGGGGCGCAGGAGGGGGTATGGGCATGGGCATGGGGATTGGCATGGGTGTGTTTCAGCAGGGATTTTCCGATGTGACGCGGCGGTATGAGATGGGGCGGAAGGTGGGGCAGGGGCGGAAGGGAGTGACTGTATACCAGTGCGTGGAGAGGCGCACAGGCAGGCAGTATGCGTGTAAGACTATAGACAAGGTGACTCTAACGGGGGGCAGGAAGGAGGAGGCGGTTCGGACGGAGGTGGCGATTATGAGGAAGCTGCAGGGGCATCCACATATAGTGGAGATTAAAGACACGGCGGAAGATGCTAAGGTGAGTCAGGGTGAAGATACTGAGGTAATTCGGGGTGTTAGCTCTAATAGTGTCATTGCAGTAGTGTGAGGAAACTGCAGGGGCATCCGCACATAGTGGAGATTAAAGACACTGCTGAAGATGCTAAGGTGAGTCTATTTGTCCACCTCCCCTCTCGCCCCTTCTTCCTCCCCCTGCCCCCCTCCCTCATCCGCTCACTCCTGGCCCCCACCCGTTCCAACCCTGCATCTTCCCCTCTTCCCCCTGCCCCCCACACCCCCTTCCACTCCCAACCCTCAGTGCGTGATGTGTGCAGGGGGGACCTGCTAGATCACTTCAACACACAGCTCTGCTTCTCGGAGGAGAAAAGAAAGGCAGCCAACCCTTTCCCTTTCGCCCTTTCTTCTTACCCCTTCTCCTCCCCTCTCCCACTCCCCTCCTCCCCACCCTCTCCCTCCTCAGTGTGTGCACATAGTCATGAAGATGTTTTGAGGTGGCGACCTGCTATATCACATCAACACACAGCTGTGCATCTCGGAGAGGGAGGCCGCCACCATAGTGCGCGTGCTCGTGCAGACCATCCACTTCCTACCCACCTCGTCAACATGCATGCACCTGTGAATCCCCCAGGTCGAGAGACGCTTCCAACTCCCCTCCTCCTCCTCTTCCCCTCCCTCCCCGCTCTCCCTCTTCCCCACCCACTCCCCTCCCCCTGTCCCCAACCAGTGCGTGCACATAGTCATGGAGATGTGTTCAGGCGGCGACCTGCTAGATCACATCAACACACAGCTGTGCATCTCAGAGAGGGAGGCCGCCACCATAGTGCGCGTGCTCGTGCAGACCATCCACTTCTGCCACGTCAGCGGCATCATGCACCGCGATCTCAAGCCCGAGAACGTGCTGCTGGGCTCGCCCGGCCAGTGGTGGGACCTGCGCGTGGCGGACTTTGGCTTTTCTGTGCCGCTGAGAGCAGGTGAGGGGAGAAGAGAGGGCACAGGTTGCACGGGATAGGGCAGGTAGGGCTGGGCAGGGCAGAAGGTGCAGCGGGGATAGGTCACATATGCATGGGGCAGGGTGGCAAAGGACACGGCACAGGGCAGAAGGTGCAGCGGGGATAGGTCACATATGCATGGGGCAGGGTGGCAAAGGACACGGCACAGGGCAGAAGGTGCGGCGGGGATAGGTCACATATGCATGGGGCAGGGTGGCAAAGGACACGGCACAGGGCATCGAGTGGCTTGGGCTTTTGCAGTGCGAGTGGCTTGGCCTCATGATTGCGGTGCATGATCCCCAGCACATCATGCACTGCAACCTCTGAGTCGCCTCAAAAGTCTCCCCACCACATCATGCACCGCCACCTCAAGCCCGAGAACGTGCTGCTGGCCTCGCCCAGCCAGTGGTGGGACCTGCGGGTGGCGGGCTTCAGCTTTTCTGTGCCGCTGAGAGCAGTTGGGGGGTGTAAGAGAGGTTAGGTACAGGGACGCTCACTGCAGCAAGTAGTTGGATGCATTGGGCAGTAGTCAAGAGGTGAAGGGGCATCATTGCACAGAGCAGGTGTGGGGAGAAGACGGTAGTACAGGGTGTTAGGTGCATTGGGGAGCAGGCGAGGCGAGGCGAGGGCGCCAGGGCGCAGAGCAGGTGAGGAGTGAACAGGGTTAACATGGCAGAGAGAAGACAGGAACGCTTTCTGAGAAAGCGGCCACCTCACTTCTCCCCTGCCCTCCCTCCCACACGATCCCACCCACCACCATGTCCAAACCCAACCCCTGTTGGCCCATACAGGCCAGCGCATGAAGGGCTGTGCCAGCTTGCCTTTCTACATGGTGCCAAAGGCAAACATCTGGAGCGTGGGAAATATGTTGTTGGCCCAACCCCACCTTCAACCCCATCCCCCACCCCACCCAACACAGGCCAGCGCATGAAGGGCTATGCCGGCTCGCCCTTGTACATGGCGCCAGAGGTGCTGGGTGTCTGTCTTTCTTGTGAGGCACCTTAAGGATAGGCTTCCTCTCTTCCCCAAACCTGCCGGCCAGCGCATGAAGGGATACGCGGGCTCTCCCTTCTACATGGCCCCCGAAGTGCTAGATGGGCTGTACGGGCACGAGGCAGACATCCATCTGGAGCCTCGGAGTCATCCTCTTGCTCCAACCCCAACTTTGACCCCATCCCCCAACCCCAACTTTGACCCCATCCCCCAACCCCAACTTTGACCCCATCCCCCAACCCCATCCCCCAACCCCAACCCCACACAGGCCAGCGCATGAAGGGATACGCGGGCTCTCCCTTCTACATGGCCCCCGAGGTGCTGGACGGGCTGTACGGGCACGAGGCGGACATCTGGAGCCTCGGAGTCATCCTCTACACGCTGCTTTCCCAGAAGCTTCCCTTCTGGGACGACACGGACGCGGGCGTATATGAGCTGATCCGGCGCTGTGAGGTGGACACGAGCTCGGGCGTGTGGCCGCTGGTGTCGGGATCAGCCAAGGACCTCGTGCACCGCATGCTGGCGTTCGACCCCAACCACCGCCTGCCTCTGCATCTGATTCTAGGTACGGAATTCTTCTCACTTTTCTGCGCCTGGTTCTAGGTGTTTGGGTGTGGTTGATTGTCGGGTGCTGGTGCTGACTGCTTGATGGTAAAGGTGTGGCTGCTCGTGTTGGGGGCAGGCAACGACCTCGCACATCGTATGCTTGCCTTCCATCCCAACCACCGCCTGCCTCTGCACTTCATTCTCGGTATGCTTGTTACTCATTTCCCCAACCTCATTTCCCCAACCTCATTTCCCTCCATCTCCCCACCACCATTCCCCTCATCTCCCCACCCCTGTCTGCCCCCATCTCCCCACCCCCATCTCCCCGCCCCCATCTCCCCACCACGCCCCACACACCACCACAGACCACCCATGGGTGGTGACTAACACGACAGTCGACATCCCCCGCGTGCCATCCAGCGCGTCAGTTTCCTCAGAAACATCCTCTCTCGAGCCGCACTCGTCCGGGCGGCGAAAGAAAGATATTGCTCGATCTGCTGGGACGATCTTTTCGTCCCGTGCCCAGCCGCAAGCCATGCGGGCTACTGCCGCTGCCGCCGCTGCTGCCGCCGGTGGTGGTGGGGGGGGTGATGGAGATGATGACGAGGAGGAGAGGGGAGGTGGCAAGGGGGAGTGAGGGTGGCGGCAGGGAACAAACTTTTCCGCGTACCCAGCTTCAGAGCTTGCATGCTGCTGCCGCCGCTGGTAGTGGGGGGAGTGATGGTGATGATGACAAGGAGAGTGTGGGTGGCAAGGGGGAGAGAGGAGGGAAGAGTACTGGGGACTGGGAGGTTAGTGGGGAGTGGTTGAGTGCTTTGACTGACTGTAAGGGTGCTGTGTTGCAGAGAGTAGGCGTGCACGGACCTCAACCAAGGAGACGTCACTGTGCGGTGTGGTGCAGTGTGGTGCAGTGCGAGGTGGTGGCTAACACACTATAGAGTGTCATGCTTTCGTTTGATGATGCCACAAAAGAGTGTGGGTTCGCATTGCTCCCGACTTATCAGTCTAGAGTCTAGAGACACCCGAGGATGAGAAGAGAAGGTTGACAAACGAGATTAGGGGTCCGCTGGGGGTTGGCTGGTTCCAGCAACTTCTTAGCTGCGACCACCATCCTCTTTAACTGGAGAGGTGTTTTGGATTCCAAAAACATATTCTCTTGTCATGGCCTAAGGTGAAGTGGTCCTGCAAGTGGTGGTTTGTTGCTAGTTCTACTTTCTGATTCGTTATCACTTAATGAGATGTGATGTGACTTGCATGTAGCATAACTCCCTGTATTATAAGGACTGTCTGACGTTTTTAAATTGACGAGTCACTCTAGCTTTGGCGAAGCAAATTGCTTCGGGGTACATGATTTTCGAAGATGCTTTTGCATCGTCTAGCCCGTTTTTTCCGAAACCCCGTCTCGCATCCTCTTCGTGTCATTATATCACTTATGTTCCATTCCAAGGTGTCACTAATCGCGCTCGATATCCCATTTACACGTGTTGAAGACCGTTGGCTCAGTGCTAGCTTACGTGGCGCGATGCCTTTGGCTGGGGAACAACGGGGTGCGGGGAAGCGCGGCAAGCGGGGGGAGAAGTTTGAGCGCGTCGGGTGGTCCGCTGCGATGGCGCAGTCCTCGCCCCTTCCGCACTCTCTTCCCGCCGATGCCTCCGCGAACTCCGCGCTCGCAGGTCGCGTAAATCCCGCGCATTTCGCAAACAGCTCGCGCGGCGCGCTCGTCACTTCAGCCGCCGAGTTTCCCTCGATTACTGACGAAGCTTCGGAAACTCTTCGCTCCTCCGGGTTGGAAACCAACAAGAAGTTTTCCTCGCTATTGTCACACTCCGGTATTAGCAGCGACATGCGCGCGTGCTCCTCGGGAGCAGTCGCCGCCACTCTCGCGTCGTCATCGTGTGTCGTCGCGTCGCCAGCGAGTTTCGAGACGTCCCGAACCACGTCTGCTGCCGCATCGCCTGGCGCGGGTCCCGCGGGGGCGGCGGCGTGCAGGGAGGCCGTGGCGAGTGAGCTTCTGCGAAGGTTCCGGTGGGCGGACAGGGAGGTGGTGGAAGGGGTGATGGCGGCGGTGGGGGGGGAACGAGCAGCCGCGGAAGCAATACTGGCGGATATGGGGGGAGAGGGGGCGATGGGGGGAATGGGTGAAAGCGTAGCGGGAGAGGGTGTGGTGGACGAAGCGGATATGAGGCTTGGAGAGATGGAGGAGGAGGAAGGCGGGAAGCAGAGGGAGGCTGATGGCCATGATGTCGTGGATGGTGACTGTGATGACGTGGATGTGTTCCGGACGTTCAGAGTAGAGGCTTTAGCAGCATCAAGGTGAGAGATTCGCTTTAGTAGCAGAGAGGGGAGCGACATAGCCGGTCTCACATCCTACTTTCCTCGTTTCCTTCTTCCTTTTCTCTCCTCTCCTCTCGTTTCCCCTCCAATCAAATTTCATCCCTCGTTGATCATTTCCCCCTCCGCTTCCCCCTCCTTCCCTTTCCCCCTTTCTCCTTTTCAGAGCACACGCACGGCTCGCAGGACAAGCTGCCCGGGCATACGACAGGGGCGACCACGCAGCTGCCCGGAAACTTTCCCACACGTCAAGAGAGGAGAAGGAGCGGGCAGAGAGGCTCCACACGGAAGCTGCCGGGAAGATTCTGGCGCACAGGAACTGGGGGCGGTCCTTATGGGAGCTGGATCTGCATGGGCTTCTACCGGGGGAGGCTGTATCTGCGCTGGAGGGGAGGTTGAAGCAGCTGGAGGGGCAAGGGGGTGTGAGTGTGCAGGAGAACGCTGCAGCAAGGGAGGCGTCTGTAGAAGAGCAGGCAGGGAGGAGCAGCATTGGTGCAGCAAGGGAGGTGACTGCAGAAGAGCGAGTGTGGGGGAGCAGTGGTGTGGTTCTCCCGGCGAAGGTGTTGTCCTCAGCTCGGCCTGAGCTGATGGTCATTACTGGTGAGTGCCCACAATAGTGGTGCTTCGATGTTGAATGGCGAGGTTGTTGTGCAGCTGCAACTGCCTGATTTTACATCCTGAATTGAAACCTGGACTGTTGCTTATAAATGCGTGCACGTGTTTGGACGGATGGGGCTCACCTCTAATTCTTCGGGCTTCCTTATAATAATGTGCGCTTTCTTGAAATGATGTGCGCTTTCTTGAAATAATGTGCGCTTTCTTGTGCCCAACAACGGTATGGTGGTGCTCGCAGGTGTGGGGCGGCACAGCAGTGGGGGGCAGCCAAATCTACCAATCGCTGTGAAAAGATTTCTCCATGAAGCAAGGTACCCAGCTTGTTTCATGATGGTTTGCAAACCTTTTGAAATACGTGGTTACAGCTTTCATGTGAATACTGGAAGTCTGCTGTGATTTTTGTTGCCATTCAGGTATACTTACAGGGACGCAAGAGCTGGTGTCATCGGGGTGAGGCCTAGACTTACCATGCTCAAGTAAAGGAACTCAAATGATTTTCAGATGTATTGTATATAATGTTTTACATACCCTAATGCAGTTGGTGCTCGAACTCAATGTATCCCTTATGGCGGGTTGCTCATAACGTACCGGTACTTCTGAAATGCTCCCTGTACTGTATCGAGTTTTGGAGGGTAATGCTGCTTTGGCCCACGTCACCCCAGCCAGAACGGATGGTTGCGATGTGATTGTCGAAGCTTTTGTAGCGACCGATGAATAGGGCCCCTCTGTGCCACACGTGTTTGACGCAGCCGAGCCTGTGCGACTTTTTTTGCCATCTGCCATACCTCCGAACGAAGTTCGGTATCCGAGCGTACACTATCCAGACCACAACCATCTCAGGTCTGGTCTCAAAGCTGACACGTGCCACCACACTGATGGCTCCCGCCCATTCATTCATCCGACCAACTTCAATGGCCTGGATTTGCCACGTCATCGGCAACGCCGCGCATTTTCTTCACTACACACTGCTTCGCGGGATGCGTCAGCCAAGCCCAGCCATTGGGTGGGATCCTCTCAACAACTGTGTGTGTTTGCTAGTGAATTTGTACGCTTTGGATAGCTGCTTCTGAGTCTGCTCGCCCCGCCAGACTACCAGCGGCAAGCAACCTTCCATGAGAAGAAGCTTGCTTTCATCAGCTGCTGAATGTTGATGACAAGAAGCCATTTCTGATATGAAGTGCTGCTGCGTAGAGAGTCTCTCTCACGTATTACTGACTCCATTTTTATAGGGGACGTTGAGTCTGAGGTAAGGGTCGTCCAATCAGTAGTTTTCAGGATCATAACGTCCTCGTCTTCGATAGCCAAATTCTCATTACACTTATCTTCTCTTGGTCAGCTGATCGTACTGAGGGATGGCAACCGTACGCGTTCCGACTCAAGCGACATCGGAGTACGCTAAATTAAGTAGCACGTCACGGTCTAAGTCATCCAATCGCAAACTTCCCAGTAACTCGGCTCGTTTTTCCAGTCAGAACCTCTCTGCGAATGTCGGTCTCCGAAGCAGTCCAAGTACCGTCACGCATTCCTTAACCAAGGGCCATGTCCGTCCTGATCCTTCCAGTCCCCGCCATACTACCTGCGCTGTCGCCGCTTCTCCCGCCGTTGCCGACAACCCACCCTCTCTCTTAGACCTCGTGCCAGAGATCAAAATCGAGAAACTTGACATTTCCTTCCCAGCTTACAATCCCGAAGATACCGCCGGCACACTTGACCTGATCGTCGTCGGCGCCGGTCCCGCTGGCTTATCCGTCGCACAGCAAGTAGCGTCGCACGGCATGAAAGTATGCTGCGTGGACCCTGCTCCCGAGTCCATGTGGCCAAATAACTACGGCGTGTGGGTCGACGAATTCGAGGCGCTAGACCTGACGGACTGTCTAGATTACGTTTGGCAAAAAGCCGTGGTGTATTTAGACGACGGCAAGCAGAAGTATCTGGACCGGCCGTATGGAAGGGTGAGCCGGCGAGCTCTAAAGATGAAGATGGCGTCGCAATGCATCAAGAATGGGGTCACCTTCCACGCAGCTAAGGTACGTACTCCCAAGCAAGCGCGCGTGTAGCTACATTGCAATTTTTTCAGAAAATGAAGTTCGTGTAAAGTAGTTTTCTACCTAAGTTGGAGCCAAGTTGGCAAACATTGAGGTCTGAGTTTATTCTTGGCATCGCAGGTGGACAGCGTGGAGCACACGGCAGACAACTCGGTGGTGCGATGCAGTGACGGCACGGAGATTAGAGCGGCGCTGGTGCTGGACGCTACGGGCTTCTCGCGACGCCTCGTGCAGTACTCGCAGCCGTACAACCCGGGCTACCAGGCAGCGTGGGGAATCGTTGCAGAGGTGCGTGTGTGTGCCTTTTGGCTTGTGGCTTGCCGTATGGGCAAGAATAAAGAAATACCTTCTATCTAAATTAAAGAATTCAGGTGGCTATCGTACGAGAACGCACGAGGCAATGAGTTACGCACATTTTTGCCATCCAAACGCCTGTTCAGCATACCAATTATTTACCAAGAAAATGAACGGGAAGTTTCGGTGACGCTGGTAATCGGTGACCCTGGTTATCAAGGACCATCGTGTAATAAAATCTGTTGTGTTTCCGGAACAAACCACGGCTGAAGGCCGGTATCCGTCCGATCTTGTTTATCTTTGGCTCGATCACTTCGATGCTGTTCAGCTGGATTCCCACTTTATACAAAGATGGGATAGCGTCGGCACCGATGAGAATTAAGTTAATAGAGGCCGTGCTGGCGGTTCTCCCACCAAGCTTCTCAGCGCATTCCGCCCTGATCGTTGCCTCAGGTGGACTCGCATCCGTTAGCGCAAAACCAGATGGTGTTCATGGACTGGTGGGACTCATTTACACGAAAAGCGCCCCTGTTTATTCTTTCCCTTCCGCCCTGCTCAGTGAATCAGGTGGACTCACATCCGTTCGCGCTGGACTAGATGGTGTTCATGGACTGGCGGGACTCACTCGCACAAGAAGTGTGCCCCTCTCTGTCCGTCGCATTCCCCCCTGCTTCTTGCCTCAGGTGGACTCACATCCGTTCGAGCTGGACCAGATGGTGTTCATGGACTGGCGGGACTCGCATCTCGCCCCAGGCACGCCCATGCACAAAAGCAACGCCGACCTTCCCACGTTCCTCTACGCCATGCCCCTCTCCCCGACCACCGTCTTTCTAGGTATGCCTTACGAACCGACTCAGCAGAAGTCACCTTCCTCTAGGTGACTTCTAAGTGTACCCTAGAAGTCACTTTTCTCCACGCCATGTCCTTCTCCCCGACCACCGTCTTCTAGGTACGCCTTTTGAATGGACTCAAAAGTCACTTTTCTCAACGCAATGAATCTTGAGTTAACCCTAAAACAATCACTTTCCTCGTCACCCTTCTCGCCCACTGCTGCCTTTTTAATCCGCGACGCTGTTCCGCTTTTCCTTGCTTTTCTTGAAGCCTGCAAGGCCGCCTGATTCTTCTGTCTGAACCTATGTGTTCCGGTGCGTGTCCCGGCTTGACCCGCAACTCGCACTCAAAAGTACATGACTGCTTATCCGTCCGTCCGCCCGTCTTCCCCGTGCCATGTTGCTCTGTGCCGTGCAGAGGAGACGTCGCTAGTGGCGCGGCCCGCCGTGGCGTTTGACGAGATCCAAAGGCGCCTGGAAAAGCGCCTGGCACACCTGGGGATTAAAGTGAACGCCATCACCGAGCAAGAGTGAGTGGGGGGGAGTTTGCAGCGACTAAGTACTGTGAGTGGCTTCAGAGTGGAGTGTGGACTGTGGTGGGATAATTTTTTTAAGCTGCTCGTTGAGCATTGCCAGAGTGGATTGCTAGACCATGAATATTACCAGAGCTTTGAGACAATTCTAGACCGTGATACGTACGTATGTGTGAAGTGATGCTATACTTCAGTAACAGTGCACATGCACCGAGTCACCAGTGTAAAGACTTCTGGGGCTTCGCACAAGTGACTCCAGACAAGGAGTGCACATGCACATAGTTGGAAGTGGGAACGCCTTGAAAAATCTTTCACAATTGTCTCCAGACAAGTAATGAGCATGCATTTAAGTATTGCTAGGAGCTTGCAGGTGGCCTTGCTGCGTCCGCATGCGGTGCTCATTCCTGTGATGAACCAGCCAGTTCAGCTGAACCCCTTTCCCCACCCTTTCCTATTACTTCCCCACCCCTTCCCCATCCCTTCCTCGTCCCTTCCCCACCCCTTCCCACCCCTTCCACATCGTTTCCCCTCCCATTCCCCACCCGTTCAACCCGTTCTCCAACCCTTTCCCACATCTCGGCCTTACACGTATTCCGTCCGCCCATACCCACCTCTCCTCCACACCCCTATGCACCCATCTCACCCCTGCCTGGCGTGCAATCAATGTGCAGGTATTGCCTCATTCCCATGGGTGGCGTGCTGCCAGACATGCCACAACGCGTGCTGGGGATAGGTGGTACAGCGGGCATGGTCCATCCCTCCACTGGTAAGAGCATGCTCCCCGTCGCTGGCATGACCATGCTGCAACCGTGCTCGAGCATGACATGCTGCAACCGTGCTCGAGCATGACATGCTGCAACCGTGCTCGAGCATGACATGCTGCAACCGTGCTCGAGCATGACCATGCTGCACCAGAGTAAAAGTGTAGTCGTGCACGCAGGTAATGCGTTAGGGTTTAGCCGTCTATGCACATGCGATGCTGCTCCATCTTTACCCCTCTTAAACTGGACCAATTCCATTCAGAACTGTCTCAACTCATTTTCATGTAACCCGGGCCCCTCCTTTTCCCTCTGTGCAACCTTTTCTCAGAGTTCCCCTTCTCCAGGCTGCATGGTGTCTTAAATGCTCCCACCAGGCCCATAGATCAACTTATCACCCTCCTTTCCATCTGTGACCCCCTTGTTTAACTGTGCCACTCCCTTTCCATCTCTCAAGTCAACCAAATACCACCTTTCCCCTCAATTTCACCCCCTCCTTCACTCTCTCCCTTCCCCAGTTTACAAGGCGGCCTGGAACCTTGCAGCAGCCTCTTGGGTCAAAGCAAGTACCCCGCTTTCCTGTTGGGCCATCCTTCTCCACTCTTTCCCTCTCTCCCACTTCCCCAGGCTACATGGTGGCGCGGACGCTGGCAGCAGCACCAGTGGTGGCAGCGGCAATAGTCAAGCAGCTGGAGCGGGAGGGGCGGGAGCAGGGCGAGCGGAGGGGTGGCGACAGCTTGTCAGCAAGCGTGTGGGAGGACGTGTGGCCGCTGTGGCGCAAGGAGCAGCGCGAGTTCTTCTGCTTCGGCATGGACGTGCTGCTCAGGGTGGGTGCTGTGCTGCTCAGGGTGGGTAGTGCTCCGCACGGGTGTACCTTGAATCAGATGCGGGTGCTGTGCTGCTGCGGGTGGGTGTACCTTGCATAAGATGCTGCTCGAGGAGGGTGCTGCTGTGGGTGGGTGCTGCTCATGTCAGATCCCCGGTTGGGTGTAGTTCATAACAGGTGCTTCTCAGGGCAGAGTGAGCTTGTGTGCTTCGGCATGGATGTGCTGCTGCGGATGGGTGTACCTCGGAACAGATGCAGCGCAGGGTGGGAGCTGCTCAGGGTGGATGTTATTCTTAGAATTGATCCTCTGTGCTCTCGGTCTTTCCCAAGATCTCACAAATTCCTTCATTGCTTATCGTGCCACGCTTCCTCTCCTCTTAGCCGAGTGCTCACACACGCCTTCCTCGCTCCGCCCCTCTTCCCCTTCGCCCTCCCTCCCCCTCACAGCTAGACCTTGCAGGCAAACGGTGGTTCTTTGATGCCTTACCAGTGCCATGGCTCACCTCTGTGCTGAATGTTCACCACACGCCTTTCCCTCTCCCCTTCCCTCACCCCTCTCCTTCTAACAGCTGGACCTAGCAGGCAACCGGCGGTTCTTTGATGCATTCTTTGACCTCACGCCCTACCAGTGGCACGGCTTCCTCTCCTCTCGCCTCAACATCGTGGAGGTATGCTGCCTCTCGTCCTCCCTTGACTTTTCAACGGAAACGTTTGATGAATTACTTCCTGTGCCCTCCTCCTTCCTGCCATCTTCCTTCCTGTCCTTCGCCTCCCAGTTCATTCTGGAACAAACAGCCGTACCCCTTCCACTTAACCACGCTCCCTTGTCTTATTCCCATGCCACTTGCCTCTCCCTTCCCATGCTGTCTGCCTTTTCCCCACAGCTCATCTCATTTGGTCTCTCGCTATTCAAGCACGCCTCCAACCCAGCGCGGATTGAGATCATGGCCAAGGGACTGCCTGGGCTTGGCACACTCATTCAAAATGTCGTCAAGATGCGCGTTTAGGGCCCAACGGTTGGACTTCCCCTACTACAGGTGTGATTCTGTAAGAGTCAAGGGTCATACATGTCAACATTGACCAGTTTGCTGCAGGGAGGAACAGAATGGTTTGTGAGGTGCTGATGAACACAGCAATTCCGCTTGTGTGTAGCATTATGGTTTATACAATGTTTGTGCTGTGAATCCAGAGTACGATCCTCGCATTGTGGAAGGTGTTGCTTTGGGAAAACTGCTATACATTATATTGGCTTCATGAGTTTTTTTTTACCAAACTTGCATGTCTCCTTCAGGAGAACAGCATTTTATGTGATGATCTATAATAAACTGAAGCTTAGCTAAGAATATGCTGGTGGTGGATTGTGGATGTGAGGACCCCCTAACGTATCAATGCTGCAGTACAGTAATCCTAACTGTCGAGTTATCAAGCTTGTATGTTCACTCTAGGGACCTCCGTACTCCAGCAGCGAATGTCACTCCATACTCGAGTCCCGTCCCCACCATCGCTGGCACTTGCTCCCACAGGCGTAGAGATGAAGCATGGTTCGTGGTCGTAGCAGGTTCCTATTTCTAGCAGTCCCTTTTCCCAGTTGTCATCCGGGCAGTACTGTGGCTCGTCTCGATCAGTTTCTTGGTCAGAAACTTAGCTTTGGAATTTAGCCAAGTTTTCTGAATCACGTACATGGCAGTGATTTGTGACCGTCTAAAATTTCTCTCCCTAGCAGCCACTTTCGCGTGCTTCGACCGGTCGGTACTATAGCTCGCGTCTCAGATTTCCAACCTTTTAACACTTGGTTGGGTTTTCCCGTCTGTGATTGGGTAACGACTGACGAAATATTTGACGATTGGGTGAAAAAAGCACAGCGAACTCCCAAACAGTTGAGGCCAAAACAAACCAGGGTGGTTTGGTTTGGGTGGAAAACGAGCCAAGGGTGACAGGTTTGGTTCCGGGTTCCGCCAACGTTGAGTTCAGAGTCTCATATTTTCGAGAGTTGTCAACGCTTGGTGTGCACGGGGAAGTGTGCGACAGCCAACTTTCCCAAACCACCCTTTGCTTTGGTGTGCTTTGCGACAAACTCTGCTGTTACCAGATTCCAACCATTTAACACTTGGTTGGATGGCAGAAATATGAGACGCGAGCTTTAAAAAATGGAATCTCGTGTCGGTGTTGAAAGTGGAGAACCAGAAAGGGAGAACGAAGATGATGGGAATTCCGAGTCAAGCGAGGAGGAAAACCTGGTGACGCAGGTTGCGGATGGGGGAAGGGAGGAAAGAGATGATAGGCGAGAGAGCGAGCAGGAGACAGCGTACAGTGCGTTGCAGCAGCTGGTTACTACTGTTTCGTCCGCGTCGCCATCCCTCGCAGCCTGGTTAAGCGGGTTCCAAAGCACTATGGGCAATTCAGGCCGCTCAGGTTCCCCGCTTCCTCCTCGCGTCGCTGCTGCTACCGCTGTTGGTGCCTCTTCCTCTGACGCTTCTGCCGTCACTGTTGCTACAGCTCCTGAGGACTCTGATGCTGCTGCTACAGTCGCCGTTTCTTCTGACAGCGTTTCTTCTGAGGCCGACGCGTCTGCTGCTTTACCACCATCCACGGCAGCGGAAGGACTCTTCCACACCATCTCTGCCCCCTGCTTCTCCATGGAGCTTCATGATTGGCTGGAATCCTCGGGACTGGGCTCCACGGATCTCCTAGGCTCGTTGACCCGCGCCATGGATTCCGAACCTGCAGGCGAGGCTCGGTCGTCCCTGGCCTTGCTTGCGTCTAATCTGGTCCACTCGCTGCAGCTTCGGCGGATACAGGACGTCTTTACCAGGTCAGTAAAAAAGGAGGGGGAGGGTGGGAGAGGGAGAAGAGAGGGAATGGGTGTGGGGGAACAAAATGAGTCGGGGGATTTTGTGTGTGAGTATCATGGGATGAGGGATTGTGTGTGTGAGAGTTCATATCATTCATACAATAGGGTGATTTTATTAACTGGACAGGAGTGGTGGGAGCTTACAAATAGGGTGCAATCCGTTGCTGCCCCGGTGCTCTCCCTCCTCCCTGTGTGCGTGCGTGGTCAGCTGCCCCAGAGCCCTCCTGGTCTGCCTGAGGCACTCCTGGTGGCGTGTGAAGGATGCTCGGGGTAGATGCAGGTGGGGAGGGGTAGATGCAGATGGGGAGGGGTAGAGGTGGGTGAGGAGGGGTAGATGCAAGCGGGGAGAGGTGGGTTGAGGTAGGGAGGGATGAAGTGGTTTAGGGGGCATCGAATGGAAAGGTTCATGGTGGCGGTTTGTGGGTTGAGGGGTAAACAGGTGAGGCACGAAAGCAGACTCTGAATTTTTATTTATTCTTGAAGGCAAACTCTTGTAGAGGCTTATTCTGCTGTAATCCTTCGTCCGCACGTGCGATCTCATTCTTCTCTTGGCTGTCCGACTCTTGTTGGTTCCGTGTTTCCCACCCGTGCCACAGGCAACCGGACTTGGCGTGCGGCGAGGCGGTGTGGGTGCTGGGAGTGCGATACGCGGAGTGGGAAGACGAGGAGGTGGGGCGAGAGGAGGCGCAGGAAGGGGGCGGGGAAGGGGAGGGGGAGGCGAGGAGAGGGGAGGGGGCTGAGGGGAGGAGAGAGGGGGCTGAGGGGAGGAGAGAGGGGGAAAGGGGTGAGGGGGGTGGAGCAAGGGAAGGCGGGGATGTGGAGAATGACGTGGATGAGGGTAGAGACGGAGGGAGGGTTGACGGGAGGGATAAAGGGCGGGAAGGAGGTGGAGGTTTGGCGAGGGAGGAAGGGCGAGAGGGTGTGAGGGAGAAGGAAAACGAGCGGGATAAGGGTGGGCGGAGGGAGGAAGGTGGGGAGCAAGAGGGGTTAGAGGAGAGGAGCAGTGGAGAGAGAAGTGAGGTAGTGGAGGAGGGGAGGAGTGGGGGGGCACGGGAGGAGGGGAGGAGTGGGGGATCGTGGGAGGACCTGGTGGTGGACATGCAATCAAGGCTATGGATGACGTACCGCTGGGGCTTCCCCCCTCTGCCCTGCACTGCTGCTGCTGATGGCGCTGCTTGTGCTGCTGGTGTTGGTGGCGCTGCCGCTGCTGCTGGCGCCTGTGCTGGCGGTGGTGCTGCTGCTACTGGCGGTGGTGGTGGTGCTACTGGTGGTGCTGCTGCTACTGGCGGTGGTGGTGGTGCTACTGGTGGTGGTGCTACTGGCGGTGGTGGTGGTCAGGGCTTCACCACGGACACGGGGTGGGGCTGCATGTTCCGCACAGGCCAGATGATGCTCGCACAGGTACGATGGGCATCCTCAGTCTTGCTACGGATTTTTTTGCCCTTAATACTGCTGTTGTTGTTTCCCCTCCTTCATTTCCCCTTCCCTGTCTATTTTCCATCTCCCCTTTTTCTGTGCCCTCCATGCCCTTGCTGTGCAACCAGCTTTTGAGGCAACTCTGAAATGGTCTAATCTGTTGTTGTTTTTCCTTGCCTGTGCTCTCCACACCCTGCCGCGCCACCATATGTTGAATTGCCCCTCAGTTTTGTTTCGTCCTTCCTTCCCCTTGCCCTCTAAGCCCAGCCGTGAGTCCTGGAGACATCTTATAGGCTGTTGTCCCTCTGTTTTGTTCCTTCCTTCCTTCCATGCACCCTCCCTCCCAGGCCCTGCTGTGCCACCTGCTGGGCCGCCAGTGGAGACGACTTGGAAGCGACTCAGAAGCTATTGTCTTCTCCTCCTCCACCATCTTTGAAACTCTCAGAAATCGTTCATCTTTCTCCTTTCTCCGAGCTGTGCAGGCCCTGCTGTGCCACCGCCTGGGCCGCCAGTGGAGACGACATGCTGGCAGGGAGGAGCAGGTGGGGGGGGGGTTGGTGGGGAGGGGGAGGTGAGAGGAGGGGTGGGTGAGAGGTGAGAGATAAAGTGGGGAGGCAACACGAGGGAGGAGCGGGTTAAGAGGGCTGCTGGGGAGGGAGAGGTGAGGGGGTAGAGGGGAGGCGGAGATGGGAGGGGGTGATGGGGATGGGGAGGTGAGCGGAGGGGTGGTTGAGAGGTGAGGGGGGGAAGAGCATGCCAAATGCTTACTCTCTCCCATCACTCCCACCTTTCCCACACTCGCACTCAGCCCAGCCTTATCGCCCAATTATTTATGCCCGATCTACTTGCCCGATCTCCACAGGCTACAAAGCACTTTCCCTTTCCAATGCCAACAGGAGAGAGAGCTTACTTCTAATACCTCTACTCACATATACGGCTCCCCTCGTCCTTTTTCCCCTACTCCCGCTCTCCTCTCCCTCTAACTCTCCTCCTCTCCCTTCCCCCCCATCCTCTCCTCCCCACTCTCTCCAGGCCTACCACGAGGTCGTTCGTCTCTTTGCAGACTCCCCCTCTCCGCTCTCCCCGTTCTCTCTGCACCATTTGGTTCGGGGCGGTGCTAGGCTCGGCGTCAAGGCTGGGGCGTGGCTCGGGCCGTACCGGCTGTGCGTCATGCTCGGGAGCTTGGTTCGGGAGATGGAGAAGGGGGGAGGGGAGAGTGGTGTGGGTGAGGTGGAGACGGGGAGAGGAGAAGAAGGGGAGGACAGTGAAAGGGAAGGAAAGAATGGGGATGGGGGGATGGTGAGAAGAGGCAAAGCAAGAAGAGATGGTGAGGGACAGGAAAACGGCGAGGAAGCTGGTGACTTGTCACGGAGTGAAGAAAGAAGACTGTGGGGCAAGGAGGGCCCGCTATGGGGTATGCGCGTGCATGTGGTGGGGGCGCACCCTGGGGGGGAGGGAGGGGGAGGTGCGCCCATGCTGTGTGTGGACGAGGTCATGGCTCTGTGTGGTGGGGGAGGAGGAGGGGGAGGAGGGGAGGTGAGGAAGGGAGGGGGGAGGGATGCAGAAGGTGGGGAAGCATTGGAGGAAGAATGGGGGGAGAGGGACGGGGAGAGGGAAGGGGAGAGGGGAGATGAGGAACGAGGCGAGGCGAGCGCATGGCGGGCGGTGCTGATCTTGGTGCCGTTGGTTCTCGGTGTCGACCACATGGACGCCCGGTGAGGCTGCTGTTACACGTTCAGGTGGGGCTGCCTGGTGAGGTGGGGCTGCCTGGTGAGGTGGGGCTGCCTGGTGAGGTGGGGCTGCCTGGTGAGGTGGGGCTGTCGTGCACATTGCGGCTTGCAGTCAACCCATCGCTTCCCTCGTCTCATCCTCGCACCCTCCCACCCTGCAGCCACCAGGAGGCACTGCGCCGCCCGTTCGCCTTCCCCCAGACCGTTTGTCTTTTCGCAGGTTGTTTTCCTCCTCTCATTTCCTCTCCATCCGCTGCTTCTGATAAAAAATCCCCACGCCCTGCCACCTTGCAGATATCAGGAGGCGCTACGACGCACTTTCGCCTTCCCGCAGAGCGTGGGCATTGCGGGAGGCAAGCCGCACACGTCGCTCTATTTCATCGGCACACACCAGAGCGACGTGCTCTTCCTCGACCCGCACTACCCACAGCAGGTCAATATAAGCTGTAACCAGGTAACCATCACATGTAAACACAGGGTGGCAATGGCGTGCAACTGAGAGGCAAACCCAACACGTCTCTCTATGTCATCAGCACGCACCACCGTAACGACGTGCTCTTCCTCGACCCGCACTACCCACGGCAGGTGAACAAATTTCGGTTGCTAGGTATAATACCATGTGGTTACCAGGTTACAAAAGCATGCATGGGACGCAAGGAGCACATGCCGCTCTTCTTCATTGGCATGCACCAAAGGGATGTGCTTTTCCTGGATCCGCACTACCCACTGCCGTTGAACATCTGTGGTTACCATTTGTGAACAGTGTGCAGTGCTTCATTAGAGTCAATAGGATATCTTAGCCCATAGTGTCATGTAACTATTTGTGTCTTCCGATCTTTATGGTGGTAACCCTATCCCTGAATAGTTAACCCAGTGCCTCCCACTGATCGACCACCTGGTTTCCCCCTGCAGGCTGTTGCATTCCCTGAAGGGCCAATCAGCGCATGCCATGTGGACACGTCATCCTACCATTGCAGGTGAGTTTTTCTCTCCTTTCTTTATTCTAATTTCTTTTCTATATCCATCCCTGCTTCATTCCCATGAGAGCAGCACCATCTGACCCATGCCACTATGTTCACCACCTGAAAACGTGTGTCTGTTCCTTGAGCTGTTTCCCCCAGCAGCGCTATCCGGCGCATGCCACTATCAGGCATGGACTCCTCTCTGGCTCTCGGCTTCTACTGTGCAACCCAAGGTAGCAGCTAAAAAATATTTCCTTGAAGGCCCTCAAATTTGTGTCGCTTGTTGGAACGGAAACAACCCGTTAGAGAGTTTCTAGTTGCTGCTACCATGGGTTGAAATGCCACGTTTGCATTCCTGTGTTGTTCTCGTTTTCTTCCCAATGCCACTCTTTTTCTCACACGTTCAGGTGATTTTGAGGATCTGAGCCGTCGAATTGAGCAGCTCGCTCAACTGTCAAATGGAGCGCCGCTCCTCACTGTAGGCAACAGGGCCGACCTGGCGAGCTATGTAGTGAAAGAGGTGCCTGAGATGGACAGCTCTTCTTTGGGAGATTCCTTGGAAGATAACGAATCTGACATTGGTGACAACTGGGAGCTTGTATAGCAGGGAGGTTCTCCTATTTTCGTGTACATAGCTAGTTGAATGCTTTAGTCTTTGGGTGTGCACAAGCTATCACATTTGCAATTAGTATGTATATTTTGTACAGATTTTGGTAGTACACTCCATGTCCGCATTCCACTGCTGCTCAGCCACGACAGTCCCCGTCAGGGAACGTCCTTTTCGGGTGGAGTCATGAGTGAATGAACGCCGCTACTGTACAGCACATGCATGCATGCATCTGCGCCACCAACTGACGAAAAAGGATTTCAGAAATTCTGACCACAAAGCCCGCTCGCGCCGCTGCTGGCAGGCTTCACTTTGACCCGCTGGATCCACCTTGCCCAGTGCGAAAGATTTTATGTGCACGTGTCAAATGTTTACTCGCTTAAACTCCATGTGAATCCAAGCTCTGTTGCTTTTTCAAAAATTTCTATGCACTTTTCCCAACTTCAACAAAAGATATTTTCCTTCCACGCTTTCTAGAACTTGTGGTGCCCCGTCGTGTTGTCCAAGCTCCCACAAAAACCCATCAAATCCATCCCTCCAAACCATTCTTAACCATCCTAACCCATGCGCCTCCTCTCCTTCCTCTTCTGGCTCTTCTTTCGAGATTCCATCCATGTCGTCCATTCATTTTCTCTGCTTCTCCCTACCACTCCTCTCCCTCCTCCCCTCGCTTCTTTGCTGCTCATCACGACTCACGAATTATGTCGCCACCGTTTTCTTCTTCCGTTTTGTGCTTCCTTCGCTTGCCTCTCACTTCATCCTTCTAGTCATCACCGCTCGCTGTCTGCTTTTATCGTTGGTCTCCCCTCCTAGCTTCGTACCATATCGTTCGCTCTCAGGGAATATAGACACGATCAAGGCCTATTACGACGTCATAGCTTCATCCGTTTTTGGCTCGCAGCTTGCTGATAGGAAGCTTGGTTTGACGACTGCTGTAAAGAATCGTTAAGGATAACCCGTACGAAGGACTCTACACTTATCCTATTCAGGTCGAGCCTCTTAGCGTGCTCTTACTAAATATCATACTCGAAGTTTCTACATTTGTTTAGTACCCATCAGCGTTTCGAGATATCGATTTAGTACCTTTGCAGGTAGACGACAGTTGTAAAGAATGAGTAGAAACTCGAGTCATAGGGGCGGTAGTACTCCTAGTAGGAGTTGGAACCGGCGGAGACAGTTGCGCTGTTTCCCCGCATGGACGTGCGCAGCGCGGCAGCAGCAGCAGCGGCGGGTCCCAAGCCGCCCCCGCGGAACAAGATGGCGCTCTTCGAGGCCTTGGCGCCGCCTTCCGCTAAGCGCCACCGCGCCGCGTCGCTCGCCTCTCCGCTAGGATTCACCGGCTTTCTCACCCCATCCTCCCGGTCCTGCCCTACGTCAAGCAGTTTTCCGCCAAACGGTTTTCCGTCGAGCGTTTTTCCAGCGAGCGTTTCTCCTTTGAGCGGTTTCCCGTCTAGCGCTTTTCCGTCAAGCGGTTTCCCGTCAGGCGGTTTCCCGTCCAGCAGTTTCCCGTCAAGCGGTTTCCCGTCAAACGGCTTCCCGCTCAACGTTTTCCCGTCAAGCGGTTATCCGTCAAGCGGTTTCCCGTCAAGCGGTTTTCCGTCAAGCAGTTTCCCGTCAAGCGGTTCAGGACCAGCAGGCGCAGATTCTCCCGCGCATCCCGCCGCCGCTGGGGTACGCTTGCCTTCCGCTGCTTCCTGCCTTCCCGCTGCCTCCCGCCATTCCGCTCCCGCCGTCCCTCTGTCTCCGGATTTCCCGCATGTGTCAATTTGTCGTTTGGCGTGTCCGGTCTTCCCTTCTTTAACTCAATTTGTCGTTCGGCTCGTTGCTTTTATCTGATGCGCGGAGCCCGTCCCCCATCCGCTCACCTTTCCATCGCCCTTCCTCTCGTCACCAACAGTTTTTCCATTTCCGCACCTCCCATCCACCAATCAGGTCGCAGCGTCCGTGCTGCCGCCCTGCCACGTGTCCAAGTTCGGCTACGCGCCCTTCGCAGCTGCCAGCCAGCAGCCCTTTTCCGCGCAGCTGCGTTCGTCGCAAGCCGCGAACTCGTTACAAGCTCCTGATTCGTTACAAGCAACCTTCAAGCTCCCGTCTGTACCCGTCAGCAACGATAGCAGGCCTCGCGCTTCCATTCCCGCCCGTACCAGAGACTCTTTGTCTGGAAGCTTCCACGAAGCCGCGTCTCCAGCGTTCCAAGCCGCGTGCGCAACACACTCCGTCGGCGGGCCGTCCTCCGGTTCCGACCCTTCCGCCAAGTCTCCCGTTGCGAGCGCAGCAGGGGGGGTATCCGCGCTGCCGCGCGCCATGGGCGGAACTCCTCCCCCGCCTTCAGGCGCATCCGGAAGCTCGGGCGGATTTCCAGGATTCCCAAACCCCGCCGCGGGCGCAATTGCGGACGGAATCGGGAGAGGAGGAGCTGGCGGGTTGGCGGACGAGAGGGCGGAAGGTATGGCGGAGGCAATGGCGGGTGGAGGGGCGCGAATCCCCGGAAGCTCGTCTCCGCGGGATGAGGCTGCGGAGAGCGCGTTCTGGGCCTGGCGCCACCATTCCCGCACCTCCCCGGGCCCCCCTGCTTCCGCCTCCGTCCCCTCGCTCGCCCTTCCCGGCGCCCCTTCCCCGTTCGCCCCCTCCCTCTCCGCCTTCCCTTCCGCCTTGGTTCCCCCATTGCGTGTCCCCCTTGCCGCGGCTCCCCCTGATGCCGCTGCAGCAGCCGCGGCTGCCATGCTTGCGAATATGGGTGGCGGAAAGATTGTGGCGGGAGGTTGGGGGAGAGTGGCGGTTGGGAGTAAAGCGACAGCGGAGGAGCAGGAGAAGGAGCAGAGGCAGGATGGGAGGAAAGCGGGTGGGATAGGAGTGGGGAGGGAAGCAGCAGTAGAAGGAAAGGATGTGAGCGGAGCAGTGAGGGCGGATCGAGGAGCAATGGGGGAAGGTGGCGAGAGGACAGGAGCAAGGGGAGAAGTGAGGGGGAAAAGAGGAGTGAGTGAAGGAGTGAGGGAAGGAGTGAGGGAAGGAGTGAGGGAAGGAGTGAGGGCGTGTGACGTGGTGGCCGTGGTGGGTCAGCGGGAGTTTTGGCGCCTGCAGCAGGGCATGCAGAGGTGAGCAGCAGGGCATGCAGAGGTGAGCAGCAGGGCATGCAGAGGTGAGCAGCAGGGCATGCAGAGGTGAGCAGCAGGGCATGCAGAGGTGAGCAGCAGGGCATGCAGAGGTGAGCAGCAGGGCATGCAGAGGTGAGCAGCAGGGCATGCAGAGGTGAGCAGCAGGGCATGCAGAGGTGAGCAGCAGGGCATGCAGGGGTGAGCAGCAGGGCATGCAGGGGTGAGCAGCAGGGCATGCAGGGGTGAGCGTAGCGTGTTTCCGTCTTTTTCTTCCCTTTCCTCGTTTTTTCACCTCTCGTTCCCTCCATTTCTCGCCTCTTATTCTGTCCCTCCTAATCCGTTCCCCCTTTCCCTCTCGTCCCCCGCTCTCTTCCCCCCGCCTTGCAACAACCAGGCATGAGCGCATAGTGCGAGCACAGCTGCTGGACCTGCACTCACTCATTATCGTACAACAAGAGCTTTTCCAAGCAGACCGCCCCCCCTCCCCCGAGCCCTCCGCCACCAGCGCCCCCCTCCCCTCCGCCCCCCTCTCCCCTGCGCGTCTCCAGCCCCTCCGCCCTTCCCAACCTCCCTTCCGCGCCTCCCCAGCTGCGCCGCACACCTGTGTTGAGGCTGAGTCGCAGGCTCGGGGATTCCCGGGGCAAGTGGTTCGGACGGATACGGAAGGGTTCTCTGCTGCGATTGGTGGAGGAGGGGCTATGGAGGGAGAGGAGGGGGGAAATGAGGAGAGGGTGAGAGATGGTACTGCTGGTGCTGCAGTTGGCTATGCGGAAAAGGCAAGGAGGAAGAGAAGAAGGCAGGAGGAGGGTATGGGGGAGGGTATGGGAGAGGATAGGGGGGAGGAGCATTGGGGGGAGTGGCAAGCGAGCCCCAGAGCAGCGTCCGTTGCCGCTCCTGCTCTGTCGCGCTCCCCTCAGGTGCACTCACAGTACACTCAGCACAAGCAGCACACAGATTATGTGGTACAGAAGCGGCAGGAGCAGCAGAAAGCGCGCCACGAAGCAGAGGATCTCGAGGAGCCTGCAGCATCCAGCTCGCCCCATCGCCCCACACACGTTAGCCCCATACACGCCAGTCCCACTCGCTGTAGCCCTGTTCGCACCCCACCTCTCTCGCGTCCCATACCTGCCACCCATACAGGCAAGAGCCCCAGTCCTGCCCCTGCCGTACCTACCGGCCCCGTGCCTGTAGGTTCGGCAGCTGGTATGGTCGGAGGCTTGGCAGGGTTGTGGAGCTACCCCCTTTACCAAACCACGCCTGACCTTTCACCTGGGGTTTCTCCTGGTCCTTTCCAGCATCCAATGCCTGGAAAACCCGTCTGGGCTCCTGCTGATTCTCCTGCTGCTGCTGTTCCAACTCCTGTTGCTGCTGCCTCTGTCCCTGCCTGCCCTCCCTCCGCTGAACCAAATCCTGGGCAACCCCGAGTTTGGGGGGTTACACACTCCTCTCGGGTGCAGATGCTGACGTTGCAGCTGCTGCTGCTGTGACCGCTGCTGCTGCCACTGCTGCTGCCAACGATGCAGCAGCGGCTGCTGCAACCACTGCCGGTGATAGTGATTGTCAGAACATGGATAGTGAGGATTGTAAACGTGACTATGCTGGATGTGGCAACAGCGACCGTGACAATAGCGATCGTGAGGACGCGGATCGTGACAGCAGTCATGGTGATGCGGGCAGGGGAACGGAAGAGAAGAAGGGCACCCACCGCAGCAGCACACCCCATGAATCAGCGCAGCAGCAGACCTCAGGAGGTTTAGGTGGTGCTATGGATGCTCCTAACATGGCTGCTTTTCAAGTATTTCTGGTGCAGCAGCAGCAGCAGCAACAGCAACAGCAGCAATGGCTGCAGCAGCAGCAGTATCAGCAGCAACAGCGTCAGCAGCAGCAGTGGTTGCAGGTTTTGCTACAGCAGCAGCAGCAACAGCAGCAGCAGCAGCAGCAACACATGCTGCAGCAGCGGCAGCAGCAGCAGCAACAGATGCTATTGCAGCAGGTGCAGCAGCAACAAGCACTGGTTAATCTTCTCTGGATGCAGAAAACTGCCCGCACCAGTGCTGCAGCGCCCGTGGGTTCTGCTGCTGCTGCTGGCAATGCCTCTGATGACAATACATATGATGAGCATGATGATTCTGGGGATGGATATGATGATAATGATGACTCGGGTGAGGATATTTCTTGTGGTGGTGGTGGTGATGATTATGGGGTTGGAAGCCAAGACAGGAGGCATGGAAAGGCAGCAGTTGGGGAGAGTCGGCATTGTGATGTGAGCGGGGGAAGGTGCAGCAGTGGTGGCGAGGGTACCAGTCATGGTGGCAGGGCTGGCAGGTATCAGGATGAGAGTTAGGATAAAGATCAGGATGACATTGATGAGTCTCGGATTGTGAGTGGCTTATACATATGAAATGTTCCTAATTTTTGAAACAACTACATCTAGTGGGGTATCAATTTCAGACGTAAGTTTTATTTTGTAAATATTGTATAGCGTGAAAGAGGCTGGAGATTGTGTACAGATTGTGACGTAGTGTACGCTTGCAGGTGGACACCAGTACCGCCCAGCTTGACGCTTGCCAGTGGTAAGGGAACCTCAACCACCACCAACTAACCACCCTGCCTTTTTGGAAATATCCTGCCCCGCAAAAGTCCCTGGTCGTACCACGTGGCGTGAAAATTCCCGTGTTTGCAAAATCTTGTGGCCGCAGCTGCCCCGCGGGAAAGAATTCGAAATTCACGTCGCCACGTCACTTGACTCATCTGCCAACCAATCGTAGCCAGCCAGTTTCTGAAACCCTTGCTCCGCCGCATACGCGCAAGCTCCTCTCCTTCCGCCCCGCCTCTCGTGGAAATAAAATTTCCCAGCACGCGGCGCTGGCAAGAAAGTTTTCCCCGGCTGCCCCCAGTTCCCCCAAACACCTACTTCCGCCAGCAGCCCAAACCGCGCGGCAATTTTACCTCGAGATTGCCGTGCAGGTGTAAGGTGGACCGCTGGCGACTTGAGCTCCAAACTGAACTTCCCATCTCGAGCTCATCCCCATGCTCCTCCTTAGGCTAGCTCCCTCTATTGTGTCATGCAACCCGTTGCGCTTGAAGTCAGCTAGTTATGCAGCCTTTTATTTAGTCGTCTACATCCAGTCTCTATGAGGTTCGGCGTGCCAAATCTGGAAAATTATCGGGGCAACTGATTTAATCGGTTTGTTAGTTTCTTGTCCGCGGGTACTGGTTCTTGTGCGAGCAAGGGTTGTTCGTACCCCTGTTCTGAATTGAAGCCACGTTTCTTATGCACTAATACTTGCTTCGTCTTCAAAAAACAACATCAAACGTTAATTTTTGAGTTCAAAGCTTCACTACTTCGATCGTCCTGAGCGAGCTCCGAGCGCGCTCATGGAGGAAGAGAGCGAGCGGAAAAGCGCGGATAGAGACAGAGCGCCAGCGGCAGCGGCAGGAGCGGCGGACGCGGATGCGGGCTCCACGGCGCTGCCCGAAAGAGTACGGCAAATTTAATATCTCATGCGTTCCAAATTCGTTTCAATTTATTCATCGAGATACACGATGAGTCAGTATAGTGTAGCAGGCTTCTCTGCACCGTGCGTCTTACCGTCGCTTTTTCCCGACAGTACAAGTGGGCGGGTCGCCGGTGCATAAGACCGTGCGGACGCTTTAGAGTCGCCGCTCCCCTGTATATCACGATGCGCCCTTTAACGACTTTTGAAGCGCCTCGAAAGTTATAACGATACCCCCTTTTCCTGACAGGTGCAAGTGGGCGGGTCGCCCGTTTATAAGATGGCGCGGACGCTTTAGAGTCGACGCTATCGTCCCCTCAGTGCTTCGTGTAATAATTCGTAACACTTCTTTTCCCCCGCAGGTGCAAGTGGGCGGGTCGCCCGTGTATAAGATGGAGCGGAAGCTGGGGAAGGGCGGGTTCGGGCAGGTGTACGTGGGTCGACGCGTGAGCGGCGGCAACGAGAGGGTTGGGCCAAACGCCGTGGAGGTGAGATGAGATGAACGGCTTCGCTTTGCGATTTATAAAAAATTGCTTGGTTAAACGCAGTAGAAGTGACAGGAACAACTGGTTTTGAGCGGCTTTGTTTTGAGACTGGTTAGACGCAGTGAAAGTACGAGAACCGATTGGATTCGTTCGGCATGTGAGTATGGCGAGTTTGTCGAGAGTTTGTTGAGGGTTGGGTGTGAAGGGAGGGAAGAAGGAGCGGATGGGTGAGCATTGCAAGACTGGTTCATGCGTTGCTGCAGTCGAGCGGATGGGTGAGCATTGCAAGACTGGTTCATGCGTTGCTGCGGTCGATGCTCAGGCAAGAAGATACCGGCTTGCTGTGGTTGAGTTATGAGACATGTCCAAACTTGTTGTGCCTGCTGGGTTGCTGGGCGTGCCTGGGTTGCTCTCCTTGCCTGCTTGTTCCCTCTGTGTTTTTGCGTGGTGGGCGTGGTGGGCGTGATGGGCGTGGCGCATGGGTGCAGGTGGCATTGAAGCTGGAGCATCGGAGCAGCAAGGGGTGCAACTACGGCCCGCCCTACGAGTGGCAGGTGTACACGTACGTGCACTGTGGGACTGAGGGACTGTACCACTAGAGCCTCGGAATTTGTGAACAGTGAGACTGGCAGGGACAATAACACCTTGCTGAAACACAGGGGGAATGCAGTACGTGTACATGTCCGACGTGCATGGATGCACAGTGGGGTAGCAGCCAGTATAGAGTATGGATGGGTACTTCCTGGAACTGAAACACATAGCTTTGTTAAGCCTGGCACCACTCATCGGCTTCTCTAGCCGCCTATTGATGATTGAACTGCCCTCCTTTATTGTGTCTAGTGGTCCAACTCCCCTCTCTACCCTTGCTGTCCTCAACTCCCCTCTCTACCTTTGCTGTCCTCAACTCCCCTCTCTACCCTTGCTGTCCTCAACTCCCCTCTCTACCCTTGCTGTCCTCAACTCCCCTCTCTACCCTTGCTGTCCTCAACTCCCCTCTCTACCCTTGCTGTCCTCAACTCCCCTCTCTACCCTTGCTGTCCTCAACTCCCCTCTCTACCCTTGCTGTCCTCAACTCTCCTCTCTACCCTTGCTGTCCTCAACTCCCCTCTCTACCCTTGCTGTCCTCAACTCCCCTCTCTACCCTTGCTGTCCTCAACTCCCCTATCTACCCTTGCTGTCCTCAACTCCCCTCTCTACCCTTGCTGTCCTCAACTCCCCTCTCTACCCTTGCTGTCCTCAACTCCCCTCTCTACCCTTGCTGTCCTCAACTCCCCTCTCTACCCTTGCTGTCCTCGACTCCCCTCCCTACCCTTCCCACCTCCAACCCTCCCCCGCCCTCTCTCCAACCCTCCTCCTCTCTCCATCCCCCCCCTCACGCATGCAGTACGTTGGGCGGCAGCCACGGCGTGCCTAGAGTGCATTTCAAGGGGCGGCAGGGCGACTTCTACATCATGGTACGCACGCAGGGCCACCACTGCTGCTCTGCATGCATCAGCCAAATGCTCAACAAGAAAAGGAGAAAGATTTCACGTGACTACCAGTATCATGCCATGGTAGTCATCCCCATCCCCTATGCGCCTGGGACCCGCCCTCGTATTGACATGCTCGCGCTCCCCAGCCCCGCCTTCTCGCCCGCACCTTCTCTGCCTCCCTGTGCCGTCCACATGCTCTCGGTGTGCTTCTGCTCGCGTGCGGCAGGTGATGCATGCATCTGCTGACATGCGCGTTTTTGCTCCCTGCCTGCCTCAATATCTCGCCCTCCCTCCCTCCCTGCCTGCTACCTCTGTGGTGTGCATCCACACGTGTGTGGCATGGCAGGTCATGGACCTGTTGGGCCCGAGCCTGTGGGACGTGTGGAACAACCACAACCAAGCGTGAGTGCCCTTGCTCTCTGGTGGTCTCCGGGGGCATTGCTGCATGACATCGTATGGTGTTGCAGCATGCTGTTAATTTGTAACGTGCCGCAAAGCCTGCAGCATGTCACGCAAAGACGTGGGTGCATGCTTGCTTGCAGAGCCCTCTGCTCTGCTCTGCTGTTCATTTCATGCACATTCTTTTCCCACGTCTCGCATCCCAATGCTCCCTTCCTTCGCCTGATCCACTCCTATGCCCGTTCTCTTTCCCAATCCCCCCTATTCCCTTCTATCCCCTTCCCCCTCATTTCCACTCCCCGTCCTGCTCCCCTTCCCCCCCCCCTCTCCAACAGCATGTCAACAGAGATGGTGGCATGCATAGCTGCGGAGGCCCTCTCTATTCTCGAGAAGGTGCACGAGCGAGGGTGAGTGTGTCTGTGATGGTAGTGAGGCTGTGATAGTATCGAGGATGTGACAGTAGCGAGGGATAGTGACTGTCGTCCGTTCTTCCAAGTCTCTTCCCCTATCTCTGAACCCATCGCCCCTCCCATCCCGTCTCTGCCCCTGTTTTCATACGTCAGGAATCCCTCTCTCTCCTTTCTCTGCGTCCCCTTTCTCCTTTGAGGCGTCTGAAAGCCCTCTCTATTCTGCCCCGTTCTGCTCCTCTTCCCATCACTTTGTCTCCCTGCCCGCCTTCCCCTTCCAGCTACGTCCATGGCGACGTGAAGCCTGAGAACTTTCTTCTCGGGCAGCCCGGGACCTCGGAGGAAAAGAAGCTGTACCTAGTTGACTTGGGCCTAGGTGAGAATACGAACTAAAATAAATATCTTTATTTATAGTTTCTTAGTTGACTATAATAATGAAAATGAGAAATTCAGGTGAGAGCAACACAGGGCAGCACATGGAGTAAGACCAGCCGCCTCGCCCTGCCTTCCCTCACCCCACACTTTCTTCTTCCTCCTCCCTGCCCTTTCTTCTATCACCCCATCCCTTCTTTCTCCCCACCTGTTCATCATCGCTGCTCCCACCGTCTGTGCATGGCGCAGCAACGAGGTGGAGGGATAGCAACACGGGTCAGCACGTGGAGTACGACCGGCCACTCCACCCTGCCTTCTCTCTCTTCTCCTCTTGTTCTCTCTCCCCACCCCTTCGTCTCTGCTGCACCCTCCCACTGTCCGTGCATGGCGCAGCAACGAGGTGGAGGGATAGCAACACGGGGCAGCACGTGGAGTACGACCAGCGCCCAGACATCTTCAGGTGAATCGTCAGACATCGTTGGGTGGGTCAGGTGGGTCAGGTGGGTCTGATGCAGTGCACTCTCCGCATGGTTCTGGTACCACCCTCCTGTTCCGCCACTTGGGAGTCTTTGGCGCTATGTATGGGGCATACACGCTTTTGTCTTCCTGCTCCCGCTTTGAACCATACCCTGCTGTACCTCGCTTTCTCAAGGGCAAGGTGGGCTAGGGGGGGGAACATGCCAAAATGGGGTGCACGCCACATGGGGTGCACGCCACACGGGTTGCACGCCACACGGGGTGCACGCCACATGGGGTGCGCTATGCAGGTATGCATGCATGGATGGTCTTGAGTCACTCACCTACACACTCGTCTTCCTGCTGCCCTCTCAACCCCCTCCTCCACACACACCCTGCCCTACCATGTTTTCCCAGGGGCATGGTGCGCTATGCGGGGGTGCATGCTCACTTGGGGCGAACAGGCAGTCGGAGGGACGACCTGGAGTCACTGGCTTATACACTCGTCTTCCTGCTGCCCTCTCACCCCCCTCTTACCCCCACACACACCCTGCGCTTCTGCTTCTTCCTACTCTTTCACAGGGGCACGGTGCGCTATGCAGGCGTGCATGCCCATTTGGGGCGCACAGGCAGTCGCAGGGACGACCTAGAGTCACTGGCTTACACACTCGTCTTCCTGCTGCGGGGTAGACTGCCCTGGCAGGGCTACCAGGTGATATTTCAAGTGGCAGGGCCTGCTAGGTGAGTTCTCAGGTGGCAGGGCTACCAGGTGAATTCTCAGGTGCCAGTGGTACTGGTTGAGCTCTCAGGTTGCAGCGGTAGCGGCGATGGCAGCGCACGGCAGGGCGTCAGGAGAATGAGCCCTTAACCATGGTAGCAGAGATGGCAGGCGCACTGCGCTTCAAGAGAAAATGAGCCCAACTGCAGACATCCGGTGCTGGGTGACTTCAGTGTGCTGTTTCACTCTCTCTCACCTCTCTTTCTCACTCACTCTCACCCGCCTCTTCCTCGCCGCTCTCCCTTCCTGTCACCCCCATCAGGGCGACAACAAGGGATTCCTGGTGTGCAAGAAGAAGATGATCATGTCCCCCGAGATGCTGTGCTGCTTCTGTCTCATGTGCTTTCTCTCACCCGCTCTCACTGGATCTTTCTTCCCGAATCTTTGTAACTTCTCCCCATCAGGGCGACAACAAGGGTTTCTTAGTGTGCAAGAAGAAGATGAGTACATCGCCCGAGATGCTGTGCTGCTTCTGTCCGCCGCCCTTCAAGCTGTTCCTCGAGTACGTCGTCAGCCTCAAGTTCGATGAGCGCCCCGACTACGCCAAGTGCGCCGCCATGTTCGACCCCATTCTCTCCCCCAACCCGGCACTACTGCCTCTCAATACGGAAGGCGCGCGCTCTCTCAAGGTGCGTGGGTTTGCTGATGTGGTGTCACTGGTGTGTGGTGTGGTTGGGTGGCAGTGATTATGTATAGAGTATGCAGTCAGCTCCAAGCCGTCAGCCTCAAGTTTGACGAGCGCCCCGACTACGCCAAGTGCGCCGCCATGTTCGACCCCATCCTCTCCCCCAACCCGGCATTACTGCCTCTCAACACGGAGGGGGCACGGTCTCTCAAGGTGTGTGATGGTGGTCCTGTAGTGTGGTGTGGTGCGGTGTGTGGTTGTTTAACCCGTTAACACGGAGAAATGCAGTGCTGTGTTGTCCGTATCTGTATATGTTGGTGTGTAATCCCCATACGCCCATCCCCATACGCCCATCCCCATGCGCTCATCCCCATACGCCCATCCCCATGCACTCATCCCCATGTATGCATCGCCATATTTACCCCCATACCATACGCACATTCCCATGTATACATCACCGTATTGACCCCCATGTGCACATCCCTGTGCGGTGGTGGCAGGTGCAGGTGGGGCAGAAGAGGGGGCGGGGCGAGGGGGGCGAGGAGGAGGCTGAGGAGGATCAGCTGAGGAAGAAGATCCGCCTTGGCATGCCGGCCACCCAGTGGATCTCCGTTTACAGCGCCAGACGGCCTATGAAGCAGAGGTAGGGGGGTTGAGAGAGAGGGAGGGTGAATGCACGTGGCACACAGGAGGAGGATCAGCTGAGGAAGAAGATTCGCCTGGGCATGCCGGCCACCCAGTGGATTTCGGTGTACAGCACCCGGCGCCCCATGAAGCAAAGGTGATTGTCAGCAGGGTGGAGGGTGCACATGCAGGGTGGAGGGTGCACATGCAGGGCGCCTGACGGCCCATGAAGCAGAGTTACGGGGGTGAACGAGGTGGTTGTTAGTTGGGTTGGAAAGAGGGTGATTGCCTTTCCACACAGAGGTGTGGGACGAGGTGGGTGGGTTTCTACAATGTGGAATGCAACGACGGCGGGCTGTGCTGTGCCCTCTTTATGGGCTGCAATAGCAGTCGCCAAAACCTCTGTATGCCGCAACAACCTCAAACTTGTCGCTGTGCTGTGCGCTCTTTATGGGCTGCAATAGCAGTCACCAAAGCCTCTGTATGCCGCAACAACCTCTCAGTTGCCGCTGTGCTGTGCGCTCTTTATGGGCTGCCTGCCTGTTGAGTTGCCAGTCACCACTACAATGTAGCTGACTCTCGCCTGGCTGGCCCAGCACGTAGAGAAGAGCAGCGAGGCCGGGCTGCATAGCAGCAGTGCTGCCAGACCTGCTCAATCCCCCTCTCATATCCCCCTCTCATATCCCCCTCTCATATCTGACCCTCCTTCTTGCTTGCCTGTTGCACTGCCAGGTACCACTACAACGTAGCCGACTCGCGCCTGGCACAGCACGTGGAGAAGGGCAATGAGGATGGGCTGCACATCAGCAGTGTGGCGTCGTGTCAGAACCTCTGGGCGCTCATCATGGACGCCGGTACCAACTTCACAGCGCAGGTCTACGACCTCTCGCATGTCTTCCTCCCCAAGGTGGGTGGGTCTTCACGCGTAAGGTTATTGCGCTTCCCTGTCCAAGGTAAGTGGTGTGTATTCCCAAGGTAGTGTCGTAGCGGCCCTCATCAGAACCTTGTGGGCGGTTGTCGTGCTAGTACCAACTTCACAGGGACAAGTTGAGTCATAATTCTACTGCTAAGAATTGGGCTTTAGGAATCACTTAGTTTTACATAGCGAGTACTGATGTTGTTCTTTTGCTTAAGCCTAAGCCACACAGCTGCTGCTCTCTGAGAATGATGACTGAACAACGGCGGTTGTCGTGTTAGTACCAACTTTACAGCGCCAAGTCTAGGACCTCTCGCACGTCTTGCCCATTGTAAGTGCGTCTTCCTGGGCCCGCCTCATCGTGCTGCCCAAGGTGGATGCGCGCCTTGCTGCAGTGGGAGAGCTACTTCTGCATCCCTGCAGTGGGAGAGCTACTTCTGCATCCCTGCAATGCAAGCTATCTACTCTGAATTTCCCTCTTTGCTTTTATTACTCAACAAAGCCCTCTCCCTCTTCCATCCTGTCCCTCGCTTCCCCCCCCTTACCCCTCTTTTCCCTCTCCGCTTGAACCAGGAGTGGATCATGGAGCAGTGGGAGAAGAACTTTTACATCACAGCAGTGGCGGGCGCCAGCAACGGCAACTCCCTCGTTGTCATGTCCAAAGGTGGGTGGCCGGGAATGAAAGAAAAGAGGTCATGTTCAAAGGTGGGTGGCCGGAAATGAAAGAAAAGAGGTCATGTTCAAAGGTGGGTGGCCGGGAATGAAAGAAAAGAGGTCATGTTCAAAGGTGGGTGGCCGGGAATGAAAGAAAAGAGGTCGTGTTCAAAGGTGGGTGGCCGGGAATGAAAGAAAAGAGGTCATGTTCAAAGGTGGGTGGCCGGGAATGAAAGAAAAGAGGTCATGTTCAAAGGTGGGTGGCCGGGAATGAAAGAAAAGAGGTCATGTTCAAAGGTGGGTGGCCGGGAATGAAAGAAAAGAGGTCATGTTCAAAGGTGGGTGGCCGGGAATGAAAGAAAAGAGGTCATGTTCAAAGGTGGGTGGCCGGGAATGAAAGAAAAGAGGTCATGTTCAAAGGTGGGTGGCCGGGAATGAAAGAAAAGAGGTCATGTTCAAAGGTGGGTGGCCGGGAATGAAAGAAAAGAGGTCATGTTCAAAGGTGGGTGGCCGGGAATGAAAGAAAAGAGGTCATGTTCAAAGGTGGGTGGCCGGGAATGAAAGAAAAGAGGTCATGTTCAAAGGTGGGTGGCCGGGAATGAAAGAAAAGAGGTCATGTCCAAAGGTGGGCTTGCGATGACAGTTTGTGAAAGGTCGTGTTTAATGGTGAGGTATGCACTTTTTTCCACCTGCCTCCCTTCCATTTTCCCTGTGTTTCCGTCCGCTCCCTCTCACTTCCTCTCTCAACATCCGTCCCCACGCTCCCTCCATCTATCATTCCTCTCCACTCCCTTTCCCCTCCTTCCCTCCCCCCTCTCCCCCACCCCCTGGCTCGCCCCCCCCCAGCAGTCGTACAAGGTCAGTTGCAGCTTCGATCTTGGCCTGTCCACTCCACTCCCTCCCTCCACCACAGTCGGGAGGGAGAGTCTCTTTTTGAGTTGACTTTGAGTTGACTCAAAAATAGATTCTCCACTGTCTCCTCACCCTATCCCTCGCTCCTCTCCCCCCCGATACCCGCAGGCACGCCATACACACAGCAGTCATACAAGGTGAGCGATAGCTTCCCATTCAAGTGGATCAACAAGAAGTGGCGAGAGGGCTTCTACGTGACGTCCATGGCCACTGCTGGCAGCCGCTGGGGCGTCGTCATGTCCCGCAACGCTGGCTTCACTGACCAGGTGTGTGGTACAGTGCAGCGTGGTGCAGTGTGGTTCGGTATGGTAGGGTCCAGTGCGGTGTAGTATGCTGCAGTGCGGTGCAGTCAGGTGTAGTGGCTGGAGTGGATTCACTGGGCTTCAATGTTACGTCCATGGCCACCACTTGCAGCTGATGGGGTGTCGTCATGTCCCACAATGCAGGTTTCACTGACCAGGTGCAGTGCGGTGCAGTCAGGTCCAGTGTGCAGGTGTGTGTTGTGGCGAGTCCAACCACGACCTTTAAAAGTGAAGAAGAATCCATTTATATCGTCCATGTGCTTGGACGTAGAACCCAGGGTAGCCACAGGCGGGGGCATTCACCGGTATTGGGATATGGGCTGTCGCATCACACCTCTCCCCCCCTCTGCCGTATTCCTCCCTACTGCTGTCTGTACTCGTTATAAGCAGGTGGTGGAGCTGGACTTTCTGTACCCAAGCGAGGGCATTCACAGGCGGTGGGATATGGGGTATCGCATCACAGCCACTGCCGCCACGTGGGACCAGGCTGCCTTCCTTCTCAGTGTGCCTCGCAGACGACCCGCGGATGAGACCCAGGAGACTCTGAGAACATCGGCTTTCCCCAGTACCCATGTAAAGGTGAGAGAGTGACCAATGCTTGCACTCTCCAGGTGAGGTGAGCAATGCACCCGTGTGTGCTGGGGCATGCATGTCAAGGGGGGCTTGTGTGGCGTTGCAACCATGGCAAGTGCGCATGAATGTATGCCAGTCAATCGATGTGCCCAATGTATGTTTTCAAATGTCAAGCTAAGGTATGCAAAGACACATGCCGGTTATCTTTTTGTTTGTTTGTCATGCACAGCACTCTCATATCTTTCTGAAAGATTCCTTGCAAAAGCTTTTTTTTTTTCTGTTCACACACTTTTCTGGCTGGCATGGTATGGCCTGGTGTTGTGCACTGTATGGTATGGGGTGGCATGTGTTATCTTATGTGCAGGAGAAATGGGCCAAGAATTTGTACATTGCATCTGTCAGCTATGGCCGTACCGTCTCCTAAGCTTGCATTCACTCACTCACCCACCCACTCACTCACTCACTCGCATTCAGTCATCCATGGCTCCCTCACTCGCTGACTCGCACTCACCTCACTCGCTCTACCATTTCCGGAAGGATCCGAATTTTAAGGCGCATGAATCACGCTGACTCGCACTCACCTCACTCGCTCTACCATTTCCGGAAGGATCCGAATTTTAAGGCGCATGAATCACAATAGTACCTAGTATGTCTTCCTGAGGCATAGTTGGGCAATGATGGCCTGTTGAATCCATGTGAATCCACTATCCACGATCAGTCAGCCTGGGCAATGGTGGGCAAGTTGAAGTGTGCAGTATGTGCCCAATCGTGATTATCTAGTAATGCTTTCTCCTTCTCTCACTAAAAGTTGCTGGGCATAAGACCTGATTTGCTAGTGCGGCATACGGTATCTGTGGGTATATTGTACATGTACAAAACGGGAGTCTCTTTACCCATTAGTATTCCTGTTCTTTCATGTGTCAGAAAGAGCTCAGTGCTTTCTTCACAGTATGTTTAGGGAAGAAAAAGGTTTAGATTTTACGATTCAGCAGACATCTTAGTTACGGGAAAAGCCAGTGAATGAATAAACATCCGAATCTACCAGTTCATCGAAGTACTTGGGTTGGGAAGCGGCGTACGATACTGGTGCTGTATGGAGTGAGTGAAACCATGTTTATGTGGGAAGTATCAATTTGGGATGAGCTATATTGTCAACAAATCAGCTTTCATATGTTTTCGTGCTGGTTGGCAATTTTGATGTGGATGTGGTGAAGTGAAGAATCTAGGTTAGCTAGAAAATATACATGTTTGAACTGCAGGTCGTACCGCTTGTGAGAAACGGGTAGGCATGTATGCGCGGAATGTTGCTGGAGTGACAAATTCCGGTGAACGCGGAAAGCCGTCGGATTCCCTTGTCTCAGTTACCACACTATAATTCTTCAATTATATGCGCGCTTGGGGAGGTGGATTTCCTCCGTAAATCGCTCCTGAATCAGACAGACGAATGACACCACACCGTATTCGCCATTGATGAGCGGTCGATCTGTCGCTCCCGCCTGTCGTACAGCATTTGTAGACCGTCGATGTCGTGTGGATGCTGTCTAGGATGATTTCATCCTCTCAAATCACCGCGTTCCCTTCGAATTGTTCGCGCTTCGAGCTTCGAAGAGAGGGAACCAACCAAGTCCAAGGCACTTGTCTCGTTTCGAAGCCAACGAAAGCCAACCAAGTTCGTAGGGGAGGGATCCACCCACCCACCTACGTCGAGACTCACTTTGGCAAGGAGAGAGCAGTTTGTACCTTTTTTATTTACCTAAAACAACCAGTTATCCAATCCGCTGGTTTTCGCTGCTCGAGTGAATCAGGCGTTTGACAATCCGACTCGCTCAGACACAACGAATAGCGTTCTCCACGGAGATTCACGAGCCCGCAACCTTTTAGATCAGCAATGCTTCACGTCTTGTTGTTCTAGAGTATGCTCTCTAGGGTGCTCGACGAGAATGAATGCTGGACATTCAAATGCCCAGTGACTCTCGGTGACGGTCTCAATGGCGAGCCAACACCGTCGCGTGAGACATCTCAAACAAATAGGGCATCACTACTTTCAGAATCTTACAAATCCCTTGACATCAGGCGGAAGTCACGCCATCAGTCGATGAAGTCACACCCGCGTGTCACACGGAAGCTTCGCGTCGAGATGGACTGCTCTGCGGGCCGCGCGGGCCTGCCGATCGTCCTGGTGCTGCTTGCTGCAATTCCAGGACGAGCAGCTGCAAGAATGACAGGTGCGGGCTCGTCGCGTGACGCTAGGAGAAAGGCAGGTTGGTGTTCCACTGGCAGGCAGGCAGGCCGTGGCACGCCTCTCGTTGCGGGGCAGTGATGCAGTTGGTACAAAAACTCGGTGGTTCATTTGCACGAACAGATTGCACGGACTGAACTGATAGACGGGTGAGAGTCCACAAAGAGAGAATATTCCGGCGGGAATAGAGTGCACCGAGCCCATAGCGGAGCTCTGCCTAAAATGTGTCGCTTTCGGTTCAGGAACGAACGACCCTCAGGGTCGGGTAGGCTACAGGAGGCTTCTGTAGAGTTCCACTGCTTCGGCGTTCTGAGACGCCGTGAAACTCCCATGGAATTCATTTGCTGAGACTCATTCGTTACCGCTGTTCGGTGCCTCTGTCCATCGTCGTTTCTCTCTGCAGACTATCCAATACCCTTCACGGCAGAACGACGGCTACTAGTTACTGGTAACTCTCTGCCTATACGTTCGCTGCTCCGTCATATGTCCATTCCGTCCCTGCTTGTGTTCCTTGGCGTTTCTTCCGTCGCTGCTCTGAAACCTTTGTGTCCTTCCCGTCACTTCTCTGAGACCCTTTACGTCAATTCCGTTGCGCATATATCTCGTGGCACACCTCGTCATGTATTTGTCGAACGCCGCGTCGTAGAAGCCGAGAAGGCTATCCTCGGAGCGTTTATCTCCACCTCCCGCGTATCTTTATCTCTCACCCACGCCTGTGACTCTCTCACCTCTCTAGCATTCTCTACTGTCTCTCATTCTGTTTTCTCACTCCCGCCGGCCTTCAATCCCTCCCTCCTCATCCCTCCCGCCCGTCCGCCCTTCCTCCCTCCCTCCCCGCCTCCTCCCATCCATCCCTCCCTCCCTGCGCTTACCAGACGCGGATGCCGCGTCGCAGGGGAAGCTGCTGTTCATTGTGCTCTGCGGGGCCACGGTCGTCCTTTTCGTCGTCTTCGTCGCCCTCCTCGCCTTCCTCATCTCACAGCGCTATCGAGGTGTGTTGGCTCACCCTGCCATCGGCGCGCTCTAGGTGCGTTGCTCGCCATGATTTCCGCGCCTGCCTCCACGCAGTCAACGCAGTCAACACAGTCAACACAAACTCGTCACTCAACGCCCTTGAGACGCGTTCCTCCTCCTCCCGTTGACGCCTGCTTCCCCAGCTGCGCCCTCAACGGCTGCAATAGCTTCAAGCCTCTTGTCGCAAGGCCGCCAAGTGCTGAGTCCAGCCTTCTGGAGGCGGCCTCCTGTTGGCCCCTACTTGTTCGTGCTGTCCTTCCCTCTCTTCTTCATCCCTCACCTCATCCCCTCCCCTGTGAATTCACGGCTGTTTGTAACACTATCATAGAATCTCCGTGCTGCTATCCTTCTCCACCCCACACCCGCTCCCTGCCTCCCACCACGTCCCCCCCCGCGCTATTTCAGCTGCCCGTTCGGCTGCCCCCGCGGAAACGGCGAAGAAGCTGCCCCTGAGGGCAATTTGGAGGGCGACGTCGAGTCTGGGGGTCGCGCAGCAGGTGGGGGAGGGGGACTTTGGGCGCGCGTACCTGGGGGAGCATCGGGGGGAGCCCTGGCTCGTCGTCGTCTCCACATCAGACAACATTGACGTCATCAAAGCGTTCCGGAGGGAGGTGAGAACAGGGAAAACAGGGGGAAGGTTCAGGATTGGGGAGGTTGTAGGAATGGGGGGACACGATGGGTACAAGAGGGGGACAAGAGGGGGACAAGAGGGGAACAAGAAGGGAAAAGCTGGGGGAGGGAAAATGTGACAGGGGGCAAAGAAAGGATTTGAGGGGAGTATGGAAACTGAACGGAAGTGTCAAACCCTGGGGTCTAGGGTCTAGGGTTCAAGCTATCAGGTCACCCTTCGCTACATGCCCTTCCCCTTCAACCCCCCGTCCACGTCAGGTCGATACCCTGGGCCCCGTGTCACACCCGTCATTGGTGCGCCTGGTGGGGTGGGCGGAGGAGGTAGGGCGCAACATGCTCGTGTACAACCACCCCGCCCCGCTGCTGCACCCCCCCGCCCTTTCCCCCTCCCCCTCCCCCTCTTCCTTCTTCCGCCGGGGCGGTGGTTCCTCTGCTGGCGGCTCTAAGAGAACAGCTGCCGCCGCTGGTGCAGGTGCTGCTGCTGCAGCTGCGGCTGGTGCTGCTGGTGCTGCTGCTGGTGCTGCTGGTGCTGCTGCTGGTGGTGCTGCTGCTGCTGCCGGTGGTGCTTCCTTTGTGAAGGCCAGCAGTTTTGCTGCCAGCGGTGGTGCTAACGCCAATCGTGGTTTTGACGCTCTTGCCAATTCTGGCGCTGCTGGCGCAGCTGCAGCTGCGGCTGGTGCTGGTGCTGCTGCTGCTGCTGTGGGTTCTGATGTTGCGGGTGGGGGCGGTGGTACACTTCTGGAGTATCTGCTGCAGCAGCACCAGTGGCAGCTGCAGCAGCAGCAGACGGGCGGCGCAATGGGAGGTGAGTCGCCGATGGTTTGGCAGTGAAAGCAAGGATTGTGAGGCCGATGTATGAAAAACCTGCACTGTTGCGAGGCATTGCCTCTCTCTCCCTCTCCCACCCCCACTGAGCCTGAATCCCCTGAATCCCCTGAATCCCCTGAATCTCCTGAATCCCCTGAATCCCCTGAATCCCTCCACATGCTTTTGTCCCCCGTGCCCGTCAGATCCCCCGGCCTGCCTGTCGTTTGAGCGGCGGGTGGACATAGCACACAGCCTGGCGGCAGCGCTGCACCATGTGCACTGCTGCGTGGAACCCCCCTTGGTGCACCGCCAAGTCAACTCCGGCAACGTGCTGCTGCAGCCCCTCTGGCCCTACGTGAGTGCTCCCACTCCTCCTGCCCCTCTGCCTCGGCCCCTCTGCCTGTGCCCCTCTGCCTCCTGTTGTACTCGTTGCATCCCAACACTTTTCTCAACCTATCAACACTTTTCACAACCCATCAACACTTTTCACAACCCATCAACACTTTTCACAACCTATCAACAATTTTCTCAATCACCCCTCCCTCCCACCAGGCACGTCCAGCGCGTGCTAACAATAGATTTATGATCCTTCGAATTGCGCTCTCTTAACACCTGTCTTCTCAAACCCCCTTCCTCCAGGTGAAGGGGTCGCCCTTCAGTCGTCTGCAGTCTCACCCACTCCCCCTTCACTCCTCTCCAACCCGCCTTACCCCTCTCCCTTAAACCCTTTTCCCCAACTCCCCCCCACTTCCGCCCATCTTCCCCCCACCGTTCCCCCGCCTTCCCCACAACGTTCCCCCCAGGCGCGTCTGGCCAACGTGGGGGAGGTGAAGGGGCTGGCCTATGCGCCGACCATTCACGGGCGGCGCAACCGGGCGGCGTACATTGACCCGGAGTACTTCATCGCACTCAGGGCGTCTGCTGCCAGCGATGTGTACAGGTCAGTGTCGTGGCGTTACATGTCAGTGTAGCCGCGTTACATGTTGGTGTAGCGGCATTACAGGTCAGTGTCATGGCGTTACAGATCAGTGTAATGGTGTGTAATGGCGTTACGGGTCAGTGCACTGCCGTCACAGGTTCGTTCACTGGCGTTACAGTTCAGTGCAACGGCGTTACACGTCTCTCTTCCCTCTTCTTCCCCTCCCGCCCTCCCCCCCCTCGCCCTTCCTTCCCTCCCCTCGCCCCACCAGTTTCGGCATCATTCTGCTCAAGCTCCTGACCGGCCAGCCAGCATAAGCATTCTCGCTTGCTTCCCCCTTCCCAACACCTCTTCCCCTCCTCCCGTCTTCCCCTCCTCCCCCCTTCCCCTTCCCCCCCAGTTTCGGCATAATCCTGCTGGAGCTCCTAACCGGCCAGCCAGCATAATCCCCTCGCCTCATTTCCTCCCCTCTCCTCCCCTCCCTCCCCTCTTCACCCCCTCTCCAGTTTCGGCATAATCCTGCTCGAGCTCCTAACCGGCCAGCCAGCGGAGCAGATCGATCAAGCCACCGGCCGCCGCGCCTACCTCAACATCCCCGCGCTCACCGCCCTCATCCGCGCGCACCACCTTCCGCCGCTCCTCGACCCCGCGCTGCCCTCCCCCCCCACGCCCGCGCCCTCCGCGCTGCAAGCGCTCGCGTCCCTCGCGGCGGACTGCACGGTGCGGTACGCCAAGCAGCGCCCAGACGCGTCCGCAGTGCTTCTACAAATGGAGGGGATACGCGAGGCCGTGCAGAACGGCCTCACCGTGCAGGGCCGCGCGGGCGACCACCTGTCGCTCTCCATACCTGGCTCGATTGCCGAGGCGGAGGCTCGGGGGAGGTTCGGCAGCAGGGGCGGGGAGCTGGTGGGCGGGTCGGGCAGGGAATGGGGGTCGGCCGGGGAGCTGTCTGCTTCGCAAGGGTCCTCTGGTTGGGGCACAGGGGAGCGGTCACTCGGGGGAGGAGGGTCCGCGAGAGAGCGGGGGGGCAGTGGGCGGTCGCATGGGGGCTCTGACAGGGAGAGAGGAAGCGGCACGAGCGGAGGAGGAAGCTTCTCAGACGGCTCATCAGCGTACTTTTATGGTGAACAACCGCGTGGAATCGTCTCGTCTTCGTCCTACCCGCAGGCGCTCTCCTCTCTGGCCCATCAACCCCCCTCCCCGCATCCACCCCCCTCCCCACATGTACCCGCCTCCCCCCATACACCCTTCAAGCGCCACTCCCTGCCGCGCACACACACTGCCCCACTCGTCTCCCCCAGTCTCCTCCCCACGCTGCCTCTCTTCGAAGCTCCGCATTTCTCCTTCCACGCGCTGCAGCAGGCCACAGAGGACTTCGCCCCGCACCGGGTGCACCGGCAGGCGCACCTGGGGGAGGTGTATCTGGGGACGATCAAGACCGTGGGGGAGGTGATGGTGGTGCGGCAGATAGCGCCAGGGGCTGGGGAAGGGGGGAGCACTGGGGGAGGTAGCCGTGTGGTGGGGAACCGGAGTGGAGAGTTGGGGAGGGGAGGGGAGTGGGGGGCGGGGGAGGAGGCGCGGGAGAGGGAGAGGGAGAGAGAGATGGAGCGAGAGAGGGAGAGGGAAAGGGAGAGGGACGTGTGGGTGAGCCGCACGATAGCAGAGGCGCACGCGCTGAGGAGAGTGGTGCACCGCAACCTGGTGACTCTGTTGGGGTTCACCGTGACCACGGACCAATGCCTGCTCGCTTTCAACCACACCAATGCTCCTGACCTCTTCCACTCGCTCCATCTACCCGGTGAGACACCTGCCTCGTGGGGCAGGGCTGGTGTGAGTTGAAGTGCTAGGGTGAGGCAAGGGCGAGTTGAGGCATCTTGTCGCTTCTGTGCTGGGGTTCACTGTCACCACGGAGCAATGCCTGTTCGCTTTCAACCACACCGATGCCCCTGACCTCTTCCACTCGCTGCACCTGCCAGCAGCACAGGAGCCCATGGGGTGGCAGGCGAGGGCGCATGTGGCATATGGCGTGGGCGAGGGGCTGCTGCAGCTGCACGTGTGCTCGCACCCTCACATCCTGCACGGCGCGCTCGTCTCCCGCAACGTGCTGTTGCCCCGCGGCCAACCTCCCCAGGCAAGTGCTGCTGCTTGAAGCGCCTCACTCATTGCTGGCTGCACGTGTGCTCTCACCCTCACATCCTACACAGCACTTGTCTTAACGTGCTGCTGCTGCGTGCCCAACCCTCCCAGGCAAGTGCTGCTCCTGTACACACCCCCCCCTGAACAAGTGCGTTTCTTGAGGCGCGTGATTCCGTGTTATCCCGGCACACCATGTGCTGCTTCCCGGCACACCATGTGCTGCTTCCCGGCACACCATGTGCTGCTTCCCGGCACACCATGTGCTGCTTCCCGGCACACCATGTGCTGCTTCCCGGCACACCATGTGCTGCTTCCCGGCACACCATGTGCTGCTTCCCGGCACACCATGTGCTGCTTCCCGGCACACCATGTGCTGCTTCCCGGCACACCATGTGCTGCTTCCCGGCACACCATGTGCTGCTTCCCGGCACACCATGTGCTGCTTCCCGGCACACCATGTGCTGCTTCCCGGCACACCATGTGCTGCTTCCCGGCACACCATGTGCTGCTTCCCGGCACACCATGTGCTGCTTCCCGGCACACCATGTGCTGCTTCCCGGCACACCATGTGCTGCTTCCCGGCACACCATGTGCTGCTTCCCGGCACACCATGTGCTGCTTCCCGGCACACCATGTGCTGCTTCCCGGCACACCATGTGCTGCTTCCCGGCACACCATGTGCTGCTTCCCGGCACACCATGTGCTGCTTCCCGGCACACCATGTGCTGCTTCCCGGCACACCATGTGCTGCTTCCCGGCACACCATGTGCTGCTTCCCGGCACACCATGTGCTGCTTCCTGGTCTCGCCTGTCTTTGCCTGCCATCCCGTCCGCTCATCTAACCCTCTTGCTGTCCCCTGTCCCCCCATCTTAACCCTCCTGTTGTCCCCCGTCCGCCCACTGCCCCTTTGTTCGTGCCCATCCGCCCATCCCCCCCGGGCAGCTATTTGACTTTGCCATGTCACACTTCCCCGGCCGTTCACTCCCCCATTCCCTCACTCCCCCATTCCCCCCCCCCCTCCGGCAGCTATTCGACTTTGGCATGTCACACTTCGCGGAGACCCGCAACGACGACTTCGCCTCGCCCTACTGCCATGCGTAAGCTCCCATCTTCCACATGCAACCAACCTGCCACACCCAATCCCCACCACCTTTCCTGCATCCACCTTTCCTGCATCCACCTTTCCTGCACCCATCTTTCTCAGAAGCAAACCGCATTGCCCTTTCTCTTCCCGCCCCACTCCGTGCAGGCACACGGGCCCTGAGTGCGCCATATCAAAAGAGACTGACACGACCACCGCCATGTACCCCTCAGAAGCAACCTGCATTGCCCCCTTCTCCCCACCCACTCCCTGCATTCTCCCCACCCACTCCCTGCATTCTCCCCACCCACTCCCTGCATTCTCCCCACCCACTCTCTGCATTCTCCCCACCCACTCCGTGCAGGTACATCGCCCCTGAGTGCGCCACCACAGGGGAGACGGACAAGGCCACCAAGATGAGGTGCCTCGGAACCAAACCCTGTCCGCCACGCTCCTTGCACCTTCCCCCCCTCTCTCTTTCATTCCCTGCAGCTACATGGCCCCAGAGTGCGCCACAACAGGCGAGACGGACAAGACCACAGATATGTACGCCTATGGCGTGCTTCTTCTGGAGCTCATTTCCGGGAAGCTTCCGTACGATGACGATCGTGATCCGGTGCAGCTGAGTGACTGGGTAAGCCTTGGGACTTCCAATCTTGGGACTTCCAATCTTGGGACTTCCAATCTTGGGACTTCCAATCTTGGGACTTCCAATCTTGGGACTTCCAATCTTGGGACTTCCAATATTGTATTCCTCACACGAGAGGGCCTTGGGATCCCCATGTTTCTGACCTGACTTGGCCTGGGGAACCAATTTCTTGCTTGCGGTGTGCCCTTATGCTCTTTGCATGAGCATAACAATTCAAGGAAACTTCAATCCTCTGCTTGGCATGGTTGTGTATGCTGGAAACCTGCTATGCTGCATGCCCGTGTGTGATGGCATGTTGCCATGCACCATACAGGCACGGCAGCAGGACTGGAGCAGCTCGGAGTCAATAAAGGAGTTGGTGGATCCGCTTCTAGAGGGGATGTACAACGAGGATGAGGTAAGGCCAGTGTTTCTGGCAGGCACTGAACCAATCTCAGCTCCCTTTCTGAGGCTGAGCCTCTGCCTTGGTCCTTTTGACTCCTCTTTGCACCACTCTTTCTCCGATTTGACATTATATATTTTCCTGTCTTTCCTAGCCAGTCAGCCTTTTTTTCCCCGTACATCTCGCATCATGAATATCCCTTATGTGGCTACCCGTTTTGTGGGGCAGGTGCTCATGTTGGCGTCCCTTGCAATGCGTTGCCTCAATGAGGATAAGAGGGAGCGACCGACAATCAAAGAGGTGTGTAACGGTCATGGTGGGGAGGATCCATGCATGTGTGGATGGTTTAACAAGTGTGTATGCACTCGCAAACACGCATGCACGAGCGCATGTGTGCTCACACACTCATACGTCAACGTACACAAATACACACATGCATACATGCGCACCCACTCACGCACGCACGCATGCATGCACACATGCAAACACGGACGCACGCATATGCGCGCACATGCTCTGATGCCATACCGTTGTTCTTTTACTGTCCCTTGCAATCCATGATGTGCAGGTGCATGATCTCTTGGCTTCTAATGTGGGGCAAGAGGAAGGCAGCCCCTAATACCGTAGTCACCCTCAAAAGGCGTTTCACTAAGAAATGCCTACAATACAAGGCCATTAGTGGAGAGATAGGGGGATATTGATTGCTTTTGCTATTTCTGTTTTTTCTTTCCAAGGGTTTGCAATAACCATAGGAGGGTTATAATCCTTCATGTTGTATTGTGTTTATCTATATGGGCTGCGCTGTTGGTTCTGGCTTGCTTCTGATTTATGTAGTGAAATTGAGGTGTTAGTGGAGATAAAAGTTGAGGGGGTTACTCTGCCCGTTTTAGTATTGTGCATTGCGCTGATGGAAGCGATCTTGGACGAAAATCCACCTTCACCACCACACTCGCACTGAGGCCACGGTTTATCGGAGTAACCCGAAAATTGTACTGTACTATATTTGGCGAAATCAATCTGTGATGGAAGATCCCAAGGTGGGTCCATGACTCCATGAGCGGATGGATGTATCGAGTAGTCTCTCATAGGTTCCCTCACCATGGCCTCTTCGGCCCAAACTTCCCGCCTGTTAGGCAACGAAGCTAGTCAAACCCTAAGCCGCCTAGGCAGGTTTCCCCTATACAACTCAGCCTCGTTTCCAGGTAAGTTTACGCTATCATCTCTCTTTTTTACAGCTCTCGTTTTCACGTTGTTACACCCCACCTCGACTCTACACCAGCAGGATAGTCCCCCACTCCCCGCCCCCTTCTATCATTTGCCACCTATTGGCCACTCCTTCCCCAAACGGATCACTGGCGGACTCCCTCTCACCCTCAACGTTCCACGTCAACTTTCCCTCCAGGTAAGTGCAGCCTTCCCCTTTCCTTTTCCCCCCGTGGCATCTCGCGCTCACTGCAACTTTCAGCTCCAACCTCAGCGCCAGCTAACCCCAACTTCCCACCCTTCTTTTGGGCGGAATATCTCAGCGGAAACGGGTCGTCAAGCCTGACGACCTGTTGACGACTTGACGACATGCTGCCCCGGGCAGAAAAAAACTAAACCCCTATCGGATGGCATGCCATCCGAGGGAGGCATCAACCCTAAATCCATGCCTCCCTGTGTTTAGGGTTGATGCCTCCCTGACCGGATGCGTGCCCGAATGGGTTTTATTTTTTTTGCCCGCGGGCAGCGAGCTCCCCCGGGCGGACTCGCTTGTCCGCTGAGATATATTCGGAGCACTCATCCAATCTCACTCCATTCCCCCGCCTCAGCCCTGTCCCTTCCCAGGAAGTTCGGCTGCGTTTCTTCCCAACCCTCACCAACAGATCGGCCTCCTCCTGCCAAGCTGCCCCGTTCTGCAACGAGCACCAAGGATTTCCTCGACAAACCCCAGTCGCCGAACACAGCTAACCCCCAATCTCCTCCCTTTTTTCTGGTCGCCTTCACTCTTGCCTTCGTCCCGCCACTTTCTCCTGCGTGTTATCTCCTCCTTTCTCCGTCCCCCCTGGAAATTCTGCTGCCTATGTCCCGCATTTTACTCATTTGCCGCCTCCGGCAGAGCCCACTATATGGCTCAGAAACTCGGCGCGCCGCCTACGCCGCCAGTTTCGTTTCCCGCGCGCAAGCGCTCCGACCCTCGAACGGTCCCGGGTTTCGGGCTGCCAACTAGGCACCCATCCCCGCCTCTGGCCCTCAATTTACTCACCACGTCGCCACGCTTCCCGCTGCCTACTCGCTGCCCCTGCGTTTCCCGGTATTCCCCCTCCTGTCCGCCCTCCCCCCAACCCTCCCCAACGAGCTCCCATCAGAGCCTCGCCTCCACGGCCTCACGTCCGTCTGCTTCCGCCGCACCTCTGCCTCCCCTCCGTCCTGACGCTCCCTCGTGTGCTCTCCCTCGCTCTCGTCCTATTTAACTCACCTCAACCTTCGTCAATCACTCACTCCTCGTCTCCCAATCCCCTACGGCTCCTTTACACATTCTACATTATGTCTGAGCAGGTTTTCAACCCCGATCTCACGATGTCCGCCGCTGAAGAGGAAACCCTCGCCGAGTCCGGTGACGATCTCTTGGTCGATGACCTTCCCGAAGGGCTAATCTACGACCGTGTGAGCTCCCCTGACCATCCCGCTGCGAAGAAGCCCTGCATGGATTCTGGTGCTGGCCCTGCTAACTTCAACTCCCCCTCCACCTCTTCCGATTCGGCGCTGGCGCAGCCCGCGCGGTCCCCTGTGCTCCCCGCTGCTGCTGCTGCTCCCGCGTCGCCTCTGCAAAGCCCCGCGCCCTCTCTGGCAGCAACTGCTGCCGCCCCCAATGCCCCGGCCCTTCGCGCCGCTGCCTACGCGGCTGTCGCCTCCGGCGCTAACCCGGCCCCCGCGCTGCCCGCCTCGCTTTTGCCTCACCCGCGCCTGGCGGATCCCCCCGCAATCTCCGCCGTGCGCGCACTGCCGCGGCCACCCCGATGCTCCTCCCCCTTCGCCACCGCGTGGTAGTCACGCTCCTCCTCCCGGAAGCCGGGTTGGAGTCGCACCGCACGGAAATCCTCGCTGGGATCAACGCGCAGATGTGCGGCTTCATGTTCGATTCGGGCGTCATCCCCCCCTTCGAGCACACCGTCATCGAACCCCTCTGCGTGGCCCGCCGCGTGTACGGTCCGCCTGCTGTTCTCTTGGCCGTCGCAGGAAGATGCCATGGCTTTTTGCAAGTTTTTTCCCCTCGCGCTGAAAGTCTCCAACTCCCGCCCCGTCATGTTGAAAGTTTATGTTGACAAGTTCGAAGCTTTCACCGCAGCAAAGGGAGCCGGCGCTCCCACCCTGTCTATCTGAAACTTCCCCCTGGAGTTCGATCCAGAGGATATCCGCGCCTCTCTCCTCGGGATCACCGAGGAGGACGGTGCGCATTGGCTCGTGGACCTGACTGACTTTCACCGTGCCTCCGATGTCAGAATCCCAACCACTAGACCAATGGGATAAAATGACTTGTTAAAGTAGCGACTCAGTGCGCCCACAACCCTCCAAGACAACGAGCCCGTAACCCTTCTCTAAGATCAATCGGGGATCACTAGAGGATCTCTAACATTCCCCTGCACTGGAATGCCCAAAACGTACACACTGGGATTCGAACTCGAGACCATCGCTCTAATATCATGTCAAAAATCCCAATCATTAGACCACTGAGACAAAAGAGCCTGTTAAAGCGAGTCAGTGTGCTTTTAACCCCCCAGGACAACGAGCCTGTAACCTTTCCCTAGGATCAATCGGGGATCACCAATGGACCTCTGACATCCGACCCCTATGAGGACACCTTTTTCACCCACCTCGCAGGGCTCCCGGTCGCCACCCCCGATGATCCAAACTTCGAACCAATCCCATCCGAAATTCTGCTGGAGAGGAACAAGCCAGCTATGCTGCTCAATTTCTCTTGCCACGTGTGCTCGCTGTGCGGTAACAACCACCGTGCATCGGACCACGAGGCTTTTGCTGTCCGCCGTCGCTGCTGCCATAGTCTCGGGGCTTGCTTAATGCCGTACAGTGACTTCTCCAGTTGACATATTTGGTTGGGGCCTGCATTGGATCCGTGTGGAAGTTCGACGAAAATCTCAGCGTCGACGGGGGCGTAGAGAAAGGCGTTGGCGACGTCAATTTGTCGAAACTTCTTTCGGTTCATGGCGGCAATGGCGAGAAGGATCCGCAATGAGGTATGTCGGCTTACTGGGGCGAATGTCTCCGTGAAATCTCGCCCTTGTTCTTGATCGAAGCCCCGCACGACCCAGCGTGCTTTGAACTTGTCGATTGTTCCGTCGGCTTTCGTTTTCACGCGGAAAACCCATTTTCCCGTGAGGACAGTTTTGTTGCGTGCCACTTCGATAGGCACGACTTTCCAGGTGTTGCGTTCCTGCAGCGCCTTCAGTTCTTTATCCATGGCTTCACGCCATTTTTCCCTGTGTTCCCCCCCCAGAGCCTGCTGAATTGTCGCAGGCTCCTTAGGTGGTTCCGCTCCGTGGACGGCGGTGACGAGTCCTAGTATCTGCAGACCACTCTGTGTGTAGCGGGGAAGATTTGTGTCCTCTGGATAAACTGCTTCGTCTCCAGCTTCGGGGTCTGGTAAGAAATTTGGTCCTATGCGTTCGGAGATGTTGGTGTCGACCGGTTGAGGTGTAACGTAACCGGTGTCGGCGAAGTCGAAATAAGTTTCGGCGTTGACGCTTTCGCGAGGATTTTCGTCGTCCATCGGGATAGGTACGGAGCAGTATGGGAGTGGTCCTGCTTCTTCGGATGCGTTGTCCACGTTTTGTTCGTCCCAGTCAGCTTCGTCTGCTGCTGAGGCAAAGGCTCGGTTGCCACGAAAGCCGCCCGTGAGGTCTCGATTTGCTGCCAGGTTGTCCAGGTACGTTTGAAGTGTAAGTCGCTCGTAGAAGATGACATCACGTGCTGCCACTGTTTCTTTCGAGTGGACGTCAAAAATCTTCCATGCGTTGTAATGCTTTTCGATGCCCAGGTGTAGTCCCCACTGTGCACGTTGAGAGAATCTTCCGGCTCTTGCAGTGTGTGGGTGGTACTGTACCATGCACCCGAAGACTCGTAACATTTTTGTGTTGCCCAATTTTCCTGTCCACAGCAGGTGCGGTGATGCGTTGTTCGGAAGTGATGACGAAGAAAGCAAGTTGTGCAGCATGACAGCGTGGTCCATTGCCTCAGGCCACTGGTGATTGGGCAGTCGCATGCCACGCAGCAATTTGCGCATGGTATTCTGGAGAGTTCTGTTCATCCGTTCTGCCACGCCTTGCTGTTGATGGGCGTAGGGGAGCGAGATGAGTCGCTTGATGCCTCGTGTTGCGAGGTACTGCTTGAACCTTTGGGATTGATATTCCCCTCCTCCGTCAGACTGGAAGCTTTTCAGCTTTGCGCCCGATTCTCGTTCTGCCACAGGTAGCCAGGCGACGAAGGCTTCGAAGGCCATGTCGCGACTTGGAAGATTAAGATGCCAAACATAACGGGTGGCGGCGTCGATGAAGGTGATGACGTAATTGTATGCGCCTTGTCCCTGTTCGCGAGTATACAAAATGTCGCTGTATACTTTCTCGAGTGGTGCATAGGCTGGCGCACTTGGATTGTGGTGAGAAGTGAACGGTTGATGCGGTAAGTCGGCTTCGGGACAGGTAAAGCAAGTTCCGCTCGTTGGAGTTCTCTGCCGTCGGGTAAAAGGAGGGAGTCTTTGTCGAGCACTGCTGCCTTGATTGTGTTGTTTAACGTTGTGTTTCTTGGATGTCCGAGTCGTTCGTGCCACAGGGATTCACTTGCGCGGTGGCCGGGTGAGCGCTTATACAGGTCGGAGTTGGAGTAAAAGGCGGCGGTGATGTTGGTGCTTCTGTGGATTTCGCGAGGAGTGGGAGTTAGCTACTGCGCAGGAGTCGGTGGAGTATTGTCGGCGTGTGGCGATGTCGATGAAGAACTCGCGACTGGTGTTGTAAGTGTTGTTGGTGTTGCCAATGTTTCTGCTGCTGCCGATGTTGTTTCTGCTGCTGCCGAGTGTTGAATCGTTGCTAATGCTCTTGTGCTTTCTGCTTCAGGGATGGTGTGTGAGTACCAGAAGCCTTCTGGACTGAAGTCGGGGTCAAGATCCGGTGGATGTGTCCAAGAGGTGAAGGTGACAATCCCGTCGCTGTCGGCAGTGCCGAGATCTGGGACAAAGTCGAGGACGAATACATTGTTTTTCAAGACTGCTTTTCCGATGTAGAGACCACCCTTGCCGTGGTATAATTTAAACTCCTGAGTGGTGCTGTCTGCCTCGAGGTGTATGCCTTTCGCCATCAGCTGACTGACGCTCAGTAGGTTGTAACCGAGTCCTTCTGCTATCAAGACCTTTGACATCTGCAGTATGACGTTTGTTTCTCGTGACTGAAGTTGCACTACGCCTTGTCGTCGTGTGCGCAGGTTCTGATTGTTGGCGACCGTGATGACGACTTCACGTTGAAGTTGGTGTTCACGTTGAACGAAGCGTCCTGAAGAGCACATATGCTGTCCACAGCAGCTGTCCAAGAACCACGTATCCTTCCCGGATGGCTCGCTTTGAGCGATGGCTGCGTACGTTGGATTCGGTTGAAGTGACTCACGGCGAGGCGTGCTATTGTCGAGTTGCTCTTCTGGTGAGTAATATGGTGGTGACTCTGTGATGCAGGAGTCCCTTGTCCTTGTCATGCAGCTGACGATGGTTCTTGTTCCTTGTGCAGATTGCGATGAGGATGTTGAAGGCTGCACTTGACTGTTGGGGTGCATCTCCGTAGAGGCTACTTGACTGCTTGACGGTCGAAGTTGACGTTGCGGTGTTGACTGCTGCTAATTCGGGAAGTGTGTGCGCGGATGACCAGACGTCTTGCAAAGATGACAAAACGGTGGGACATACTGTTGTACTTGTCGGTTGTTGTGTCGATTGTTGTTGTTGTTGTAGCGTCGTTGAGTGTGGAAGGCGAACTCCGGTGCTAATGCTTTCTTCTTGTGTCGTTCTTCGTGCAGGTCCATGTCTTGTTGTTCAGCATGAAGTTCGGCGCAGAGTGCTGCTTCGGAGATCTTCCCGTGGGCTCGAAGAAGTGCTCGAGTGGAACGCCAATGGGGACCAAGACCGGCGATGATGACTGTTACAAAAGCTTCTTCCGAAATTGATCCTCCGCATCGAAGGAGTCTGTCGCGTAGTCCGCGACAACGGCTAATATAAGCCATTCCCTTTTCGCCCGGTTTCATTTCCACTGTTGTCAGCTGTGCCATGAGACGACTTTGGTTGACGCTGTCTGTTGCTTGATACATGTTCTTCAAATGGTTGTAAGCCAATTCGGCGGAGTTGCCGTATCCTCGATAGGAGCGAATGTTCTGTTGCTCGTTTGGCGTCAGATTTCGAAGGAGTATTGTATACGCCATCAGCGACTGATACGTGTATTGCTGCTTGTCGTTCTGTGTCCCGTGTACTGGATATGGCAGGGACCCGTCGAAGAATCCGAGGATTTGCTCGCCCTCCATCATTAGTTCAAACTCGAAGGACCAGGTATAGAAATCCTTCCCGTCGAAAAGCGTTGAAGTTTGTAATTTGAGAACGTGTGCGAATTGCGATTGTACCTGAAGCGCATCCAGTGCCTTCTCTTGTCCAGGTGAGGACTGCGGTTGCGGCGTGAAACTGACGGAGCCACGTTGAGGCTCATATTGTGCAAAGGTGGGTTGTTGTTGATTTCCGCGCGCGTATGATGAACCATCAAGACTCATTGGTGTCGCTCTGTTGTTGTTGCTGTTGTATGATTGCGCAGGAGCTGCTTGCTGGTGTTGCTCGTAGAAGGACATGAAGGAGAAAAAATTCTCCATCATATTTGAGTCGAAGCCTGTCGCTTGGTTTCCAGGTATTTCCGTTGACTCTGCAGCTGGTCTTGTGCCTTCTTCTGTCTGTAGGCCGGAGACTGGAGGTGGAGTAGGGGTGGTGCCGAGAGATCCGTTGGAGGAGCTCCTCTCCTTTTGCGCAAAAGGATTTAAAGAGAAAAGGTTTTAAAGAGTGATCTTGTCCTGCCTTGCTCCTCTCCTTTTGCTCAAGGAGAGGAGCTCAAGTTCCGCGCAAAAGTTTTGCTCCTCTCCTCTTGCGAAAAAAATCCGTGTTCTCCGGAACTTTTGCGCAGAAGAAACAGATGGCAGAACTTGTATTGTAAAGAAAAGGTTTTAAAGAGTGATCTTGTCCTGCCTTGCTCTCATACCATGTTGGGCTGAGAAAGCCCTTAGGATCTTTGTCAGGACTTGAAGTTGGGTATTGATGTAGAGTTGTAGCAGCGGAAGTTTAATAAAAGGTTTGACGTGAACCACCTTGTACTAGTTTGTGAGAACAAGATAAGTTGATTATAGCAAAAGAGATACAGGCTTTTATAAGAGTACAAAGGAATATGAAGAGATATAGTTAATAACCGTTTTACTGTTGCTGTTGCGGTTCGATACAGTGTCGACTCGGGCAACTGCTCAGTATCGAGACAGTTGTTTGTCCTTGCTGTCGCGCTGCATTTGTCAGGTCAAAGGTCGCTGACCTTTGACTTTCGCGTAACCTCCAGCAGTTGTTCAACCTCCGAGGGTTGACTCACCGATGTTTCGATACGATCTGCTTCGCTTCTGTCTTGGTGTTTCGACACGACAGAGGCGCTTAAATTAGTTGTTTCCAACAGCCATTTCCCCCATTTTTTGAGCATAGAGAGCTCCCCAGCTGGGCTGGTGGTTATCCATTGGATAGAGGAATAACGTGTTTTCCTAAGTACACCTTTGGGCTGTTGGTTTGTGTAAACCATATTTCTAGCTGCTCTATGCTTTTGCTGTACATGGTTACGACCTTATACCGTATAACCTTAACCTCTCATAGGTTCCCACAAGCTCCAGTTTGCTGCTGGTGCTGCCCCCCTGCGGAGAACACGGATTTTTTTCTGCCATCTGTTTCTTCTGGAGGCCATTTCTTTTCCTCGAGTTGGTTTATACAGTAGGGCTCTCAGGGTCTTCCAACCTCAATTTTAGCGAATCCAAGCTTCCATTTTGTCGGAAGCTGCTGTTTTTCTTCCGCGTCACGCGCGTTGCCGCCGCAATGGCGCGGCCGTGTCTCTTACTGATGGCGCTCGTCGTCGCTGTCATCGCTGTTACCAATGTCGCCTGCGTTCGCGGCGAGCCTTCTGCGCACGTGCTCGATTCAGGCGAAGGGTCGCAGACGGTGAACGCCGTTTCGTCGAAGGAAACGCTCTTCAGACGGCGGCTTCTTCAAGCCAAGGTGGTCTGCCGCGCGCGCGCTACCCTGTCGGATCTCCTCTTCTCTTCCCCAATACCTCTAATTCATCGTCATTCCCTTTCGCATTTGATAAATACCGACATAAGGAGGCTTGTAGTCAGCTGCCTGATATTTTTTTTTGTTTACCGCGTCGGAATGTCAGGCTCATTCTTATGCGACGGCTCAAATCTATAGGTTGCGAGTGGCGCGACGTGCCATAGAATTGGCTTGCTTGACACGTGTGCATTCCGAAACGAGGCTGCTCGTGAGGCGTTTCAAACAATGTACTCTTCCTAGCATCGCAGTGTCGTGTTCTTAATGTCGTGATGACGTGTCATGTGTTCAATGCCGCATACTTGCCTGCCTGACCTGTTCTGCCACGTCAGCAGCGCCTTCGTCGCAAGCAGCAGCTGGACGACGGTCCGGGAAGCGCATTGGCGGAAGAAGCCCCGCGGAAGGCCAAGAAGCGCGCTGGGGGCGCTGCAGCGGCCGCGGAGGGGTGAGCCGATTGGGAAGAAGGGAGGGGGGGTGGGGGGCCAGGCCGGGGGAGGTGGACGTTGGGGAAAAAGGGCGAGGGAAGCGGGATGGTGTTCTGGTTGGGCGAAGAGGGTGTACGGAGGGGTGGGGAGGGGTGCTTGGGAAACAACGCCTCTGCCCCTTTGTTCCGCCTGCAATGCAGCATCCCCATCGCATCCCCGTCGCATCCCCCATTCACCCTCTCACCCGCCTTTCCCTTTTCCCCCGCTACCCGTTCCCTCCTCCCCCCCCGAACCCTCTTCTCCCTCCCCGCGCCTCTCCCCGTGCGTCCCCCTTTTTCAGAGCCGCGCAGCCCCAGCCACAGCTGGACACGATACCCACGCAGCTGCCCGCGCAGATCCCCGAGACCCCCCCCAACACCGCCACGCTTCTCGACCCCGTCCCCATTGACGTCCCCTCCGCGTCCGACCAGCCGTCCCTCTCCACCTCCTCCGCGCTTTCCGCGTCCCCTGGCGTCCCCGCGGACTCCCCCGCGGACGAGCTCGCGGGGCTGACCCAGCGCGTGGCCAAGAGCGTGAGGGACGTGCGGGGGTACGCGAAGCTCAATGTGTCCACTGCGACCGTGCAGCAGGTGCGTGGGGTGGCGTTTAAGTCGACTCAAAAGTCATGAGCCAGCGTGTGGCTAATAGCGTGCGGGACGCGCGGGGGTATGCAAAGCTGAATGTGTCCACAGCGACCGTGCAGCAGGTGAGTGGGGTGGCGCATGAGGAAGGCTGAGCCAGCGCGCGGCTAAGAGTGCGAGGGACGTGCTCGGCATGCGATGCTCAACGTGTCCACGGCGAGGCGACCGTGCAGCAGGTGAGCGACAAGGTGGACAACAGGCCTGTACATTCCTCAAGGTACATTGCTTTGCTTCCACCCCTTGCAACCCCTTGTACCCCCTTGCAATCGCTTTCAACCCCTTGCAACCCTTTGTAACCCCTTTCCACCGCGTGCAGGTGTGCGAGATGGTGGACCACAGCCTGGCGCCATGGACGCGCATCCCCCAGATCCGTGATGGCATGGGCGCTGCTGGCATGGTGGCGCCCAGCCTTATCAAGACCATCAGCCAGCGCCCACGGGTGAGGGAGGAAGGGGGGGGAGGGAGTGGGGGGTGAGGGAGAGGAGGGAGAGGGGCGGGGCTTTGAGATGGCATGGCAGAGCGCAGGCGCAGGGATGGCATGGGTGGCGCGGGGATGGCATGGGCGCCGCCCAGCCTTGTCAAGGCCTTCAGGCAACGATCGGGAGGGGAGATAAAGGGGTGGGCAGGGGGGTGAGAGGAGGGGGGACAGAAGGCCACGTGAGGGTGGTGGATGGCTCTATTGTCGGCTGCGTTGCTTCCTTCCCCTCTCTGCTTGCCACCCCCACCCTCCTCCCTCCCCCATCCTTTTCACCCCCCCTTCCCCATCGTCAACCCCCATCTTCCTCCACCCTTCAGTTCATGTCATGTGCGAGCCACGCGAGGGTGGTGCACGGGTCCTTTTATTTCCTCCTTTGCACACCTAATTCTCCCCCCTTTCCCTTTGCACACCTAGTTCTCCCCCCCTCCCCTTTGCACACCTAGTTCTCCCCCCCTCCCCTTTGCACACCTGGTTCTCCCCCCTTCCCCTTTGCACACCTAGTTCTCCCCCCTTCCCCTTTGCACACCTAGTTCTCCCCCCTTCCCCTTTGCACACCTAGTTCTCCCCCCTTCCCCTTTGCACACCTAGTTCTCCCCCCCTCCCCTTCGCACTTCCTCCCCTCCGCACTCCCCCACACCTGCTGTCCCACTCCCATCCCTCCCTCTCCCATTTCCCCCCCCATCCCTTCCCCCAATATTTTCTCACCCCCCCTCCCATCCGTTCATGTCATGTGCGGGCCATGTGAGGGTGGTGCACGGGTCAGTCTACTTCCTCCTTCGCACAAACCCATTCCCCTCCCTCCCTCCTCTCCTCCCTCCCTTCCCTCCTCCTCCCCCCTCTCCCCCAATCAGTTCTTGTCATGCGCAGGCCACGTGAGGGTGGTGGACGGGTCAGTCTATTTCCGGCTGGGCGGATTCATCACCGTCCCCTACCGCGTCAGGCGCTTCCTGCAGGCCGTGCAGATGATCCAGGTGGGTGTCAGTTGAGGCGCCTTACAACTCGACTCAAGAGTCGCCTTCCAAGTGAGTGAGTGACAGTCGATCGAGGCCCCTCCAAAGCCATTCCCTACCGCGTCAGGCGCTTCCTGCGGACCATCCAGTTGAGTGTTGGTGGAGGGCCCTCGAAAGACAGCCTGGTTGGATACCGTTGCTGCTTCGTCCACCCTTCTCTCATCTCAGCCCTCTCAGCCCTCTCGTTTTCCTTTCCGATCACTTCCCTTCAATTCTTCCCACGCCCAAATGCCTTTCCCATGCTAAACACTCCCCTTCTTTGGATCTCCTCTCACCATTACCCCGTCGCCCGCCTCTCTTCCTTTACTCCTTCAGCCCGCAGTATCTCTTGCATCCGTGCCCCCCTTCTTTGAGTCGGCTCAAAGTGCACCCTTCTACTCTCCTCTCCCTCTCACGCATTCCTCAGCTCAACATGCCCGTGATTCACGTGTTGGAAATCTTTGAAGTGACTCGAGCAGCATCTCCACTTCACCTCTCCAAATCCACCTCCTCCCCCTCCCCCTCTCCACCTTCCGCTCCTTTCTTCTGCGCCCCTCCCTTCCCCCCCGGTCTCCCACCCTTCTCTTCTTCCCCCCTCCGACCTCGTTTTCCTCCTTCCCTTTTTCCCCCCCTTCTCCTCCCATCTCACTACCTCATTCCCTTCCCTCCTTCTCCCCAAATCCCCCTGCTCCCTTCTTTCACCCCCCCCCCCCCCCTTCCCCCCTCTATCCCTGCAGCGAGCAGTAGACTTTTACAACCTGGCAGCCGTGCGGGCGGAGTTCTTTGTTAACACGTGCGACCTGCCCATCAGCTACGACAGCGACGTGGGTGGCAGCCGCCCGGTGGGGTTCCCCTTCTTCAGCACGCGCGTGGTCCCCGGCTCCGTGGACGTGGCCATCCCGGACCCCCTCGACCTGCCCGATAACATGGACCTACCTGAGAACGTTGAGGTGGGGAGGGGATTGGGATGGGTGAGGATGGGTGGAGAAGGGAGTGGGGATGGGTGGGGATGGGTCAGGGTGGGTAGGCAGCCGCCCGGTGGGGTTCCCCTTCTTCAGCTCGCGCGTGGTGCCCGGATCCGTGGACGTGGCAATTCCGGACCACCTCGACTTACCTGACCACATGGACCTACCTGAGAACGTGGAGGTGAGAGAATGGAGTGCGGTTGATTTGGAGGGGATGGATTGGCAGCCGGCCAGTGGGGTGGGATTCCCCTTCTTCAGCTTGCGCGTGGTGCCCGGCTCCGTTGACGTGGCTATTCCAGACCCCCTTGACCTGCCTGACAACATGGACCTACCTGAGAACGTGGAGGTGAGAGAATGGAGTGCGGTTGATTTGGAGGGGATGGATTGGCAGCCGGCCAGTGGGGTGGGATTCCCCTTCTTCAGCTTGCGCGTGGTGCCCGGCTCCGTTGACGTGGCTATTCCAGACCCCCTTGACCTGCCTGACAACATGGACCTACCTGAGAACGTGGAGGTGAGAGAATGGAGTGCGGTTGATTTGGAGGGGATGGATTGGCAGCCGGCCAGTGGGGTGGGATTCCCCTTCTTCAGCTTGCGCGTGGTGCCCGGCTCCGTTGACGTGGCTATTCCAGACCCCCTTGACCTGCCTGACAACATGGACCTTCCTGAAAACGTGGAGGTGAGAGTGGTTTGGGGGATATGGGAGGGGGGAGGGGAGGGGGGGTGACTGGGAAGGGGAGTGGGGCTGCAGTGATTTGGGCGGTGGTGCCCGGCTCCGTGGACGTGGCCATTCCGGACCCTCTCGACCTGCCTGACAACATGGACCTCCCTGAAAACGTGGAGGTAGGTGGTGTGGGGGGAGAGAGCGGCAGAGGGGGGGCTGTTGGGTTGGCGAATGACTGATGCTGGGGTGTGGGTCTGCTCCGTTGACGTGCCCATTCCGGACCCCCTTGATTCGCCTGACAACATGGACCTTCCTGGGAACGTGGAGGTGAGGATGGGTGGGGATGGGTTTAGGGTTGTGGATCTTGGAGGGCTGCGGGAAGAACCTACACCCGATTAGATGAAGTCACCTTGAAATGAGGTGCGAGAAGCCACCTCTCTTCTCCCACCGTCTCCATGCCAACCCCCTTGCCGCAGGTGCCCTGGGAGGAGAAGGAGAACCGCGCTGTGTTCCGCGGGACAGCCAGCAGCTTCCCGTTTGAGGACTCGCAGAACTGGCGCGCACACCCCCTGATTCGCCTGCACAGGTGGGATGTTCTGGTGCAGGTGCAGTTGGTGCAGGTGCAGTTGGTGCAGGTGCAGTTGGTGCAGCACGCAATGCTTTATCCATCTGCACATGTGCGATCAATTGGGGTGGGTGCTTCTGGCAAGCGCACCCCCTCATTCGCCTGCACAGGTGGGGCCTTCTGGGGTAGGTACTAAATAGCTTATTTTTCATTGCCCGTGCACCCACTTATTTTCAGGGCACGTGCTCCCACTTATTTTCAGGGCACGTGCACCCACTTATTTTCAGGGCACGTGCTCCCACTCATTTGCCTGCACAGGTGGGACCTGCTGGTCGTGACGCTGATGCTTACTCGCACTCTTCGTCCTCCCCTCCTCCCCACTCCCCCCTTCCCCCCCTTTCCCACCCTCCCCGCCCCCCCCTTCCAGGATGGCGGAAGCGCGCCCAGACCTGCTGGATGTGAAGCTGATAGGGTGGAGCCGTGACATCGATGGGGACGTGCGCAAGAGGTATGGGCAGCCACGGTGGGGTGGGTCACTGGGCCAGACGGTGGGGGCTGGGAGAAGGTGAAGGGGGGGAGAAGGTGGGGGGGGGGACAGAAAGTGGGGTGGTGGGTTTTGGCCAGACGGTGGTGCAGGGAAGGGGGTGAAGTTACCTGGTGAATCTTGATCCAAGGGGGTGATGTTACCCGGTGAATCTTGATCCAAGGGGGTGATGTTACCCGGTGAATCTTGATCCAAGGGGGTGAAGTTACCCGGTGAATCTTGATCCAAGGGGGTGATGTTACCCGGTGAATCTTGATCCAAGGGGGTGATGTTACCCGGTGAATCTTGATCCAAGGGGGTGATGTTACCCGGTGAATCTTGATCCAAGGGGGTGATGTTACCCGGTGAATCTTGATCCAAGGGGGTGATGTTACCCGGTGAATCTTGATCCAAGGGGGTGATGTTACCCGGTGAATCTTGATCCAAGGGGGTGAAGTTACCCGGTGAATCTTGATCCAAGGGGGTGATGTTACCCGGTGAATCTTACGCTTTTGGCGTTACTTGATGAACTTCCTTCCATCCTCCTTCTCAGTGCCTGCCTGCCCTCACTCGCTCTCCCCCACATTTGTTCCCTGTCACTCCCCCTCGCTCTTGCTCACTCCCCCTCACTCTTGCTCACTCCCCCTCACTCTTGCTCACTCCCCCTCACTCTTGCTCACTCCCCCTCACTCTTGCTCACTCCCCCTCACTCTTGCTCACTCCCCCTCACTCTTGCTCACTCCCTCTCACTCTTGCTCACTCCCCCTCACTCTTGCTCACTCCCCCTCACTCTTGCTCACTCCCCCTCACTCTTGCTCACTCCCCCTCACTCTTGCTCACTCCCCCTCACTCTTGCCCACTCCCCCTCACTCTTGCTTACTCCCCCTCACTCTTGCTCACTCCCCCTCACTCTTGCTCACTCCCCCTCACTCCCTCTCCCTCGCCCGCGCTTGCTCTCTCGCCAAACTCCCTCGCACCTCATACCCACTCCGTTTCCTCCATCCCCACACGCTCCTTTCAGGATGGAGGCGGATGGAGTGGCCATGGTGGGTCGCCCCACGCTCTCCGCCGACCCACCAATGAGCAAGTTCAAGTACCAGATCGTCTCAGGCCTGCCCTCCTCCCACCAGACCTGTGCCATCCTCGCGCGGGGCGAGCAGGTGAGGCGTTTTCAGGGGGGTGCCGTGCCGAGCAGGTGAGGCAGCCTGGGTTGTGTTTTGAGTCGACTCAAAACCCGAGCAGTTGGGGCAGCCTGGGTTGAGGCACGTGAGTGGGTGTGGGCACACAGAGCATCAGAGACAGGATCGTTTAGGGTTCTAGATGCTCCTTTTGGGGCATGTGACGAGTGGTGAGGCGGCTCAGAAGGTTTCCCCTCTACCCCATCCCACCATAAACCCCTCCTTTCCTCACTCCCCCACTGCACCTTGCCATCCAACATCACTCTTCACGCCTTGCCAAAGCTTTACATGAGCTGCATCCACTTCATCCTATTGCAAACCCCCCCTTCCCCCCCTTACCCCCTCCGTTTCCCCCTCTGCAGGTGGCCATCAGGCAGGCCTCGCCCTACGCAGAGTTCTTCACGCCGCTCTTAAAGCCCTACGTGAACTTCATCCCGGCGAACCGGCATTTTGACAACCTGATTGAGAAGCTGCGGTGGGCACAGAGCCACGACAACCACGTTCACCACATGGTGGCCGCGGGCAAACGGGCAGCCAAGTGAGTGTTTTTTGGGTGTGCGTGTGCTCTGTTCATGGTGCATGCGTCAATGTGCGTCAAGCGGTGGGCGCAGAGCCACAACAACCACGTGCACCACATGGTGGCTGCTGGCAAGCGGGCGGCCAAGTGAGTGTGCACCATGTCATGGAATGTACAAATCCACATGCATGCGGCACAGAGCCACAACAACACGTGCACCACATCAAAGTGCATTCATGGATCCCCCTTTTCTCACACCCCTCCCCTCCCTCCTCCACTCCCCGCGCCCCTCACCTCACTGCTCGAAATGGCAGGTGGGCATGCACGCGTAGCGGGCACACGCTCTACTGGGCCATCCTCCTTATAAAGTACTCCAAGAATGCGCTACAAGACCCCTCTACAATCAAGGCCCCGGTCAAGACTCTCTGCCAGGACCCCCTCGATCCCGCCCTCCTGGAAATGGCAGGCCTTGCTGCTCCATCCTCCCCCTCCTCTCCCGCACTCTCTCTCCCAGACTCCTGGCCCCCTGTTTGCTCCCGTGACAATATTGACCGCAGCGCTCAGCCCAAGTGTGTCTATTACTGCCAGAAGGGGGTTATTCCCGGTAAGAGCTTTGTCTGGGTGTCGGCAGAAGCCCTCAAGGCTGGTGGTGGGGCGCAGTCAGCGTAGCGCTTAGTCAGCGTAGCGCTTAGTCTGATAAGTGCCAGTGGGGAGTGGGGACAGGGAGTTGCTCATCAGCAGCATTCCGAGGGTAGATGGTGGTCCCCCGTTAGTGGGCTGTTCTGTTACCGGTAACTGTTGTAGGGTAGATCTAGTGACATTCTGGAAAGAAGTCCAGGATTCACCCGCATGTGCAAGGAGGATATGTTCACTGATGACTCGTTGGAGATTCCAGCACTAGGACTTCTGGCCTGGATGATATTGCAGTTGCATGTCACGATGTGTGATCCTATGGTAATTACTATGAAGGTACAGCTTCTCTCTGTGATATTCATGATTTACAAGTTGTAGTACAGCTTAATGCAGTGTAGTACTAGTATAAGTATGTTGAATACAGAACCTGGCTTATTACCTATCCATTACCTCATCTAATAGATGAGGAATTTGCAAATCCTACCCACCCAGTGTACACAAACGAAGAGTATATAATCTACAAAGCACAACTGAAGAACAGAGCCTACTTACTGTTCCTGCTTATATCCCTAAATGTGTGTTAAAGGGCAAGCATTATGCTGCACTGTGCGAACATTCCATTGTCAGGCGGCCAGGAAGGCATCCTGGGAGTCGGAGGGGTTGACGGAGGGGTTGACGGAGAAGTATTGCGAGGGCGGCCCGCTGATGAGGCCACAGTCATCAGCATCATCCACACACGGCAGCGGACCCAGATTGGGTGAGCGACCAATCAGTGCTGACGCCTCTTCCCATGGACTGCAATTCGAAAGAGGAATTAGAGAAATTAGATTGGGAGAGAGCAAGGGAACCGATGAGTTACTGCTGCGCATGAACACATGTTCATCAAACAATCTGTTTAGAATGCAGCAAGTCGAGAAGAGTGGAAACGGCAACCGATATGGTGATGTGAAGGGGTGTGCAGCTTACCTGTCGTCACTAAAAAACATGTCGATGGAGAGTCCAGACTGCTGCTGCTGTGGTGGCTGCTGCTGCTGCTGCCGGTCATCAGCACAGGCAGAGGGAGGATGAATCTGGGTGGTGGGATGGAGTTGTTGCTGCATGTACGGCTGAGACGTGGTTTGCTGTTGCATGGGCGGAGGACCAGGCAGCTGCTGTTGTTGTTGCTGCTGCTGCTGATACTGCTGCTGCTGGATTTGAGGCTGCATGTGCATGGGTTGAGCCTGATACTGCTGTTGCTGCGCTTGCTGCTGCTGCTGCTGGTACTGAATGGGCTGGGTTTGATGGTGCAGAGGAGGCTGCTGCTGCGCTGGTGGCCCTTGCACTGCTTGTGTCGACTGTTGGTAGAACGGCTGCTGCTGCTGTGGCTGCATGGGAGCAGCATGCGAGTACTGCTGCTGGGGCTGCCCCATGGGCGACTGACCCATGGGTGCATGCGAGAGGGATGGCTGGGAACCCATGGGAGCCTGTGGCGGTGCAGGGCTGTGCATGCGAGACTGGGAAGGGGCGGGGCTGTACCGCTGCTGCTGCTGGGTGTTGTTCATCTGGCGCATGTTGGTGTGATTCGGTGGCATACCACCGGATCCATTGGAACTCCCCATCTGGTAACCCATCGGCTGCTGCTGCTGCTGTTGGGATTGCACTGGCTGGTACATCTGCTGCTGCTGCTCATACGGCCCATCGCTGTACCCACAAGCATCGGAGCCATTGAGCAGGTCCAGGGGCGGGGGGCAGTACTGGTCGGTGGGCGCAGCAACGAAGCTCTTCCGGGGCGACTCAAACATGGATTGGGAGCGCATGAGGTGCGGCCGCCCATGCCTGGGCTCAGGCACGGAGCTGCAGCGCGTGAGCACGTGGGGGTTGCTGTGAGGCGCGCCCACAGGGTTGCCCACGGGGGTGCCGATGGGAGATGCCATGCTGCATGCCGACAGCCCAGAGCCGTGGCTGCTGAGGCTGGAGGGAGGTGGGCCCAAGGGGGACGGGTGGGCGGGCGGCCTCTGGACGAGGCTGGGCAGCCGCAGCAGAGGCACCTTCACGCCCCCACCGCTGCTGGTGCTGCTGGTGGTGCTGCTGGAGGAGGCGAGTCCGCCCAGGGCCATGGGGAGGGTTTGGGAGTGCGGCTGTTGCTGCTGGAGAGGCGGCTGGGCGTTGGGGGGAGGGGGAGGCAGCATGGATCCACGCGGGGCTCGCATTGGCTGAGAGGGACCGGACATGGCTGTGGTTTGCATTGGCTGTGGCTGCATCACCTGCGCTTGCTGCATTGGCGCTTGCTGCACAGACACCTGCGGCTGAGGCTGATGCTGCGGCTGTGGCTGTTGATGCTGCATGTTCATGGGTTGCTGCTGCCCTTGGACTGGCTGCACCCGCATCTGCTGCTGCTGCAGTGGCTGCTGGGCCTTAGGTGCCCCGTCAGAATAAGCAGAGCAGGCGGAGACGAGAGGGTGAGTTTCAGGGGACTCGGGCTCGCCGCTGAGCACGAGGGCGCGCGAGCTGAACTTGCACGCCTCGCCTCTCTGCGCCGCGCCCTGCCTCGACTGCCCCTGCTGAGGCGTGTACGGCGTCTGCTGGGGCTGTGGTTGCCCCGCCTGCCCCATGCCTTGCTGCTGCTGTGGCTGCATCACTGGCGTCGTGGGTGCCTGCCCAGGGGCCTGCTTGGCATGCTCCGGCTGCCACTGCTGGTTCTGGCCCTGCCACTGCCCGCCCTGTTGCTGAGACCGAGGAGTCTGCTGCTGCTGTGCTGCGCAAGGGGATTGCCACTGCTGCTGCTGCTGCTGTTGTTGCGCGATTGGTGCCTGGGCTGGTTGCGACTGCCACTGGTTACCACCTGCGGGCTGAGAAGGAGCGTTGGTGCCTTGCTGCGGCGCCTGCTGCTGCTGCCATTGCTGCTGCTGCCCTGCTTGCTGCGACTGCCACTGCGGTTGCTGGGAAGGAGCCTGGGACTGCTGTTGCTGCTGCGGCTGCCATTGCTGCTGCTGCTGCTGCTGCTGCTGCTGCTGCTGCTGCGGGGGCTGCCACGGCTGCTGCTGCTGATTCGGTGTCGACCACCGCTGCTGTGGCTGCTGCTCCAGCTGCTGCTGCGGCCGAGGAGAGGGCGCGGAAGAAAGGTCTTGCGGCTGCTGTGACTGACCTTGCCACTGCTGCTGTGCCGGCTGCTGCTGCTGCTGCTGCTGCTGCTGCCGCCACTGTTGCTGCGGCTGCTGCGGTGGCGGCTGCTGCTGGAAAGGCTGCTGCGCTGGCGACTGCCGCTGCTGGCCTTGGGTCTGCCAGTTGCTTCCGCCGAGGGGCGCAACACCATTGGGACCTCGTCCGCCCGTCTGCAGCTGGTAGTGCCCCGGCTGCAGCTGCCCCACGCCGTTACCACTACCAGCGCCAGCAGTGTCAGCACCAGCAGCGGCACCAGCAGGCGCCATTCCGCTGGAGGAAACGGGCATCCGCGCGTTGCTGCTGGGCGGCACCTGCAGGCACAGCCGCTGCCCACCGCCCAGCACCAGCGACGTGGACCGCTGCATGCGAGGCGGCGAGCCCATGCGCCCGGCAGGCTGCTGCTGCTGAGAGTACAGGGCATTTGAGGCACCTGGCTGCTGTTGGCGTGGCGGCATGGATCGTGAGGGCATCAGAGCATGCTGCTGATGTGGCTGCTGCGGAGGCATGGGGGCGGGGCTGCCTTCATCACCTTCCACAATGCTGTGGCCGGGTTGGAAGGTGGAGGTGAGGCGAGGGCCCAGAGACCCGTTCAGCTGCAGCTGAATCCGGCCGTTGCTGCTGCCGCTGCTGTGGCACGGCATTGACTGCGACTTCTGCAGCCGCGGATCCGCCCCGAACTGCAGCTGCTGCTGGAAAGACTGTTGCTGCTGGTGCTGTTGCTGCTGCTGCTGCTGCTGCTGCTGCTGGGGATGGTAACTGTCGGAGCCGCCAGAGACGAGCAACTTACTGTTGGATGCGGCTTCAGGGGGAGGCGCAGAGGCAGGGGAAGGAGCGGGCGTGGGCTCGGGGAGGCCGAACGGGGTGAACATGGCACGGGACGGCGGGGCTGCAGCGGCATCGGAGCCAGTGACTGCGCTGGCAGAGGCGGCGGGAGCAGCAGCAGCGGAAGGGGTGCACGCAGGGTCGTGGGGCTGTTGGCTGGTCGGGACGGGTGATCCCGTGTTCTCTGGGGACAGCTCAATGGCGAGTTGCTTGGAGCAACCAAGGCCCCTGCGAGGACACAAGGAAACAAGAGAAGAAAACCATGAGCCACGGGGTATGGCAATCAGAGGAGCAAGTGCGGAATAGGAATATGCTTCCAGCACCGTATGTTGTCCATTGACTGGCACGATCACAAAGAATCTAAGCCTCTGCTCAGTGTTTCTAAGAAAGAAGACAGAGAGAACAGACAGAGGGTGCCACGTACGAGGTCTTGGAGGCGGGAGTGTGCGCCTGGTCCGCGCCGACAGGCTGCGCGGGCGGGGGCAGCGCAAGCGGAGGCGGAGGGGACCCGCGGGTAACAGTCGAGCCCACATCGTCCGTGTTCAACCGCAGCTTCGACACCGAGCCTATCTCCATCTTCGACACCGAGCCGAGCTCGAACTTCGGCACGAGGCCCTTGTGGCAGGGCGTGTCGGTGCACGTCTCAGTCATGGCGGAGCACGTGCCCTCCACGCACCCCATGGGCCCCTCGGACGATGCGGCCTGGATGGACAGAGACGATCCGGCCGTCGCCTTGTCGCTGAGCCTTCGCGATTTGCCCAGCCGGTTTCGGCCGCGGTGCATGTGGCGCTCGCAGTACTTCTGGTCCGTCACCGCCTGCCATGAGCCACGCGGAAAGGGGGAGCGAGAGGGAGAGAAGGGGGGAAGGTGGGAAGGAGACAGGAACGGGAGAGGGTCAGATGGACAAGGTCGATAAAATCAACCTCGGAGTCGAGGGGGCGAGACACGCCGAAGCAAAGGGAGCGAGGCGAAGCAAAGGGAGCGAGGCGAAGCAAAGGGAGCGCGGCAACGGCGAGGAGTGGAGAAACGGCGTCGAGAACAAGAGGGACACGAGAGAAAAATTGCGCGAACAGAGTCACAAGAGCGGGACGGTTCGTGCCGTGACAAGCGTTTAGCCGTACCTCTCGCGAGCACCGCCACTTCTTGCCGTCGGTGCGGCGGCATCTGAGTGGCTCCGCGTCCTTGAGCGGCGTGGCCCACGACGCTGCACATAGCAACAATACGCGTTTCTGTCATTCCTGTTACAAGCCCAACCGACGGCCATATCGGCCTGGAAAAGTTCAGGTGATTCAACACCGTACCAGGGCCGTCGGGTGATTGGCGAGGCGAGTCCGAGGTGGAATAGAGCGAGTCGATAAGTTCAGGAGGGACGGCGGCGCCGGAGACGAGGTACTTGAAAATGAGCGCTTGCTGCTCCAGCTGCTGCCATTGGCTGATGGTGAACGGCGCCGCGTTCTCATCTGCACGGTGAACGGTAAGCAGAGAGATATGCAAGTCAGTGACGGTCCTTATACCAACAACCGCTACAACAGCAGCAACATCAAAGTTCACCACGGCGATGACGTATTATATCGCAACAAAAAAGTTAATAAGCCTTTTAGAGAGCCGGGTCTCTTACCTGCGACCAGGCCTGGATCGACCAGGCTGGACTGGCTGTCCGGACTGATTTTCTTCTGCCGCGGAGTATCCGCCGCAACTGACGGCGTCCCCACGGAGAAGCTCGGCGTACCGGCGCCAGGCTTTGACGGCGGAGGCGTGTCGCCGTTGGTCTCAGCGCCTAGCGCGGCGGGGGGGTCTCTAGGAGGCGACATCGCAGAAGCATCGTTAGCCCTTTGAGACGTCGCCCGAGGGGAGCTGCAATCAGCGGCGCTGTCGTCATACATAGCGGGATTTGCGGACCTCGCCTCGGCGTCGTCTTTCGCAGTGTCGCATTCCTTGTCGCTCGCAGCGCCGACATCGCCAGTGCCGTCGTCATCCTTGTTCGCGTCGTTGCTGCCGTCAGTCGCACCTTGGCTGGCCTCGGTCAGAAGGTTGCTGACATCAGTCGCATCGTTGCTGCCGTGGCCCGCGACGTTTACGTCTTCCATCTTCACATCCTCGCTCGCTTCACCGGTCGGAACTGACGCTTCTTCCACTCGTCTCTCCACATGGTCAACCGGCTCACTTTCGACTTTGATTTCCGCTTTTTCTGCTGCTTCAATCGCCGCGTCTCCTGCGACTTTACTCGCCGCGGCTCCTGTAGCTTCAATCGGTGCGTCTCCTGCAACTTTCGCCGTGGATTCTGTACCTTCAGTCGCCACGGCTCCTGTGGCTTCTATCACCGCTGACGCTTCCGCCTCGTTGCACCGCTCCGTTTTCACCTCTCCCTTAACGCCGGACGTTTCCATGTCGCCGTCTTTATGGTCAGGGACTTCATGGATCTCTTGGTCGGTCGGAGCTTCATGAATCTCCTGGTCCGTCGCCGTTTGTTGAGTGCCTTTGGCTTCATGAACTTCCTTCGATAAAGTCTGATCTTGGTCAATTGGCGATGGTATCGCATCCACGTCCATCTTATCATGCTCAATTACCGTCTGATCCTGATTTACGGCCTCGTTTGACTCCATACAAGCGTCTCGATTATCGTCGGGTTGTCTGAGCTCTTCAGAATCTATTAAGGCAGTCTCATCTTGACCGTTTGCTACAGCTTCTACAACTTCTGGATCTCTTTCAGCTGCTAGCGTAGTATCCTGACGAAGCATCGCGTCGTGGATTTCCTGCGGCTCGATTGTGTGAAACGAGGAAACTCCAGAAGCATTTGGACACATGGCTCCTGTGAGCGACACCGGATCAAGTGTTGCGTCACTCGTCGACGAGGTCAGACGAGCATAATCGTTGACGTGAACCATCTGCGTTTCAACTTCGTTCATTTCAGTGCACGTAAGGATAGATGGTGATGGCTCCGCCATGGATACAATTCCACTACTCTTGTACTAAGCACGACTTCTAGCTCAAGTACGTATCTCTCTATGGTATTACGAAGGCGTACCTGAAAAACCTATGTCTGTTTGCGGTGAATCCGGCATGTAGCCGGATTGTGAGCCCAGAAATCTGGTTTTAGAACTGAATGTGAGCCACGGAAGGCTGAAAAGTGTTTCAACGCCAGCCGTCGAGCAACGGAGGACATGGGAGGCAAAAGCAAATAAGTCATCTCGCGGGTATTCAAACAGACACTGTATTGCCAGAGCCCTGCCGCAGCCACAGCTGCAACAGAAAATGGCAGGCATCCAGCAATGACTACTGAAATTCTATCAGGAATCTCCTCGCAACTCTTCATCGAGTCCGGTTCATCTGGTCCGCTCATCAATCTGTACGCTTGAATCTGACGGTCATGGCTGTCTGTACGCCTCTGCTAAAAGTGCACATCAGGCCCCTTGGAACCAACAGAGTTCGCTTTTCCATGCCTGCTCACTCCCATCTTGGCATATGCCAAACTGCTTGGACTGACATCTCACTGATCACAGGCCTGGAGATTGTCAGGATGCACTCCAGGCTGCCGGGGCGCCTGAGTTCCGAAATTGTTGCGGTTGGGTCAGGAGCGAGAAATGTCCCGCCCCATGCAGGTGCCGGGATTCACGGAAGGTGTTGTTGTACTGCCAGAGTGGATGCCAACGGTCATCTTTGGTTGTCTATAGCGAATCTCACCGGTGTTTGGGAAAATCGAAACAGTGGTTCTCTTGTGTCATAGGTGCTCCACAACGCTTCCCGCTGCCGCGCTCAATGTGCCCGCCAATCAAATGTGGCCCTCGTCAGGACGGACAGCTCTCTGGCACCATTTGAACCTTGACAGGGCAAACTGAAAAAGCCACTCTCCTCCACAAAAACGGTTGACCCACTTGAGATGGGTACGTTATCCACTCGGAACCACAAATTCGCTGGGCATGCTGGAAGCCCACCATTGGCTGCTAGACACGTGCCCAGACACTCTTGGCAAGTCCTCTCTGTAGTATGCCTCTGGCTACCACCATATCAACGTGGGCTAGAAGCTGACTTTCAGTTAGGATACATGCGTTTAAGCCTAAGTATATTAATACCTTGAAAAATAGATGAATCTAAAAATAACTCACATGTATTCTATGGCTTCATGATCTGAAAATTATGCAAATGACACAGAATAATCTACATTTTGTCTTCGCACATTATTGGTGTCGTCTATATAAGGACAGAAACGTACACCATCGCAGAAACTTAAAGAAATGCTTCTGTTCTCGTTTGTGTTGCTACGATCTGACAAACGTGGCGTGGTCGTAATCCACGTCAGTACACCCTCTCACGGAACGTGCCCTGCCTTGCTGGACGCCAGCACATACACAGCGCATGCTGCGCTGTAAGATTCGCAGCAATGCCAACCAAACCATCATCCATCCGGCGGGAGAATGGCACGACTCTGGGGAAGCTATTGATTGAAGGAGCAACCTCTGGCCTATTGATTTTCGTCCCTCGCATGCATCATAAGGCTGCCACGAGACTCTCCTCGCCGCTGAATCCTGCCTCTAACGTAGCCCCTACTCGAATCGCCCGTTCTCCCAAGTCGCGGCATCACCATGTTCCCTATCGCCGCCTTTCGAGTAGGTTTCTTACAGCGGGTTCTCCGCTTATCTGTGTTCATCTCTCTCTGTGTATTGCCGCATCCTTTCTCCATGGTCTTCTCCGCGCGCGTGTTATACCACCCGTCTAGAGCTCCCTCCCCTTTCTCATATAAGCATTTGTTCCGCGATTGTCCATCTCCCATTCGCCCTTTCCTGCTCTTCCTTCCCCTCGTCGCGAACCTGCAGCAAGCCGCGACGCCCGTCGCAATCACCGTAGGAGCCGCGGTAACCAGTTATTTCCTCGCTGACACCTTCGCAGGCGGTTCCGAGACTAGGTGAGTAGGAAGGGGCCGCCTTGCACGCGTCACGCACGCATGATTCCTCTCAAAGCACGAATCTCATTGTTTCTCGCGCTCGTCGCACGAGAACAACAAGCTCGTAACTTGGGCCGTTTTTTCCTTTTTCACTAACTCCCTTTGTCGCCCCCCACCAGGTCGCAAGGCGGCAACGTCGCGTCATCAATGAGCGGCTGGTCGGCGATGGAGTATCGTCGCATGCCGATCGCAGAGTACCTCAAGGTGCGTTGCATACCTTTCGCAGGTGTCTCGCCGATGTGTAACCAGCGGAGATGCTAGGGAGGGGCATAAAGATAAGAACAGCCAATCCTTTATGGCAGCAGAATACGACCTTCCAGAGTGTAAATATAAAAAGTAGAGGTCTTTTTCACTTCACCGAGTATCCATCTGCGCATGTCGCTGCCACCCCGCTGCAGATCCTGAGCGGGTGGGAGGAGGTGAACGGAGTGGCGGATGACCGATCGCAGCGCGCCTTGCTCAAACGACTCGCCGACGCGCCCTCCACCACCGCCGTCTGAGCGCCCACCTTCCATTCCGCCGCCCCTTCCATTCTGCCGCCCCTTCCATTCCGCCGTCCCTTCCATTCCGCCACTCCGTCCACACCAGCCGCGCTTCCGTTCCGCACCCGCTGTCGCACGTGCGAGGAAATCTTCTCTGGCTCGGCGAAGTATCGTGCGAGTTTGTACAGGCCTCGTGCGCGGGGAGCAGCTCTGCTTCCCGCGCTGCACGCTCGACCTTCGGATGGTCGCTGTAGATACGTCCTGGATCGCTCAAGTCGTCACATTGATGCTCTTGGCGTGTAACGAAGATGATACTCCATTCAGGGATTTGGAAAGTGGTTGTCATAGGAATTTGATTTTGATTCATTTGGTGTGACATAGTTGATGGGAACTAAGTAATTTGGGTCCCAGAGAGGTGGTTCATTCAAGTAAAACAGTGCTTTTGCCAAGTCACTCAACGGTCTTTTTGTGTTGCAGTAGGTTGTGTGCGGTGACCATTCAACATACATGCCGGTACTCAAATATGCACTCTAACCAAACAGGGAAGATGCATGTTGTTGGAAATACAACCTTCCCATAAACATTTGGGTTTATGCATACAATAATTACTCAAATCAAATTAGTAGCATTAGGTGATTTTTTATTACCATTGCAGTGAGGCCATAAGCCCAGGGTTCCAAGAGGGCCCGTGTCCTGACGTGTGTGCATTGAGCATCAAGCATGCTGTGGAGGTCTGGAAGGCCCGCAAGGTTCGGAAGCTTTGGAAGGTTTGGAGGTTCCGAAGGTCCGGAAGGTTCAGGAGGACTATGTGGTTGGGAGTATTGGTGATGGGAGGCACGGGTCACGTGTGGTGTGATCCCTGCCTGTAGAGGCGAGCCTTGCCTTTTGAGGTGCGTCAACCGCTGCATCACGTGTATGGCGAGGCTTGGCACTGTAGGGAGGAATGGTGGAGGGCAAAGGTGGGACGCACAGGGAGGAGGGAGGCGGGAGGAGGGATGATTCGGAATGAGGGACAGCACCCAACCCACACTCGCCTCTGCTCTCTTAACTCAGCCCTCCACTGGTGAAGTTGCATTGCGCTCGTTGCCTCAAGGCAGCAATGGAGCGCGCATAGCTGGCATCAGTGTACCACCACCCTACCACTCCACCGCATCTCAGCTCACTGCACACCCCCTCCCCCCCCCCCCCCCCCTCCCCCCCCCCCGCACACTCTCGTTCCCTCAGCTCACCCCTCCACTGGTGAAGTTGCATTGCGCCCGTTGCCTGAGAGCCGCAATGGAGCGCGCATAGGAAGCATCGGTGTGCCACCACCCCACGGTGCGCCAGCGGGGCGTGGGCTCGTCACACACGCCCTGCGCCGTGCCCGACCCCAGCTCCCTGTAGTGCAACAGCTGCAGGTCGCTCGTGCTGAGATGCGCCATGCGGGGATAGGTTGGGTGTGAAGGAATTGGGCCGAATACCCCCATGCTGTCAACCTGGTTGCAGTGGGGAGGGAGGGAGGGATGGGAGGGAAAGGAGGGGAAAGTATGTCCCACCGCCCTCCCTGCTGCGTGCCCGACCCCAGCTCCCTGTAATGCAGCAGCTGCAGGTCGCTCGTGCTGAGATGCGCCATGCGGGGATAGGCTGGGTGCGAGGGGATTGGGCCGAACACACCCGTACTGTCCACCTGCGAGGGGACAGAGGGAGGGGAAGCGAGAGAGGGGTGGAAAAAGGGGACTTACGCATTTGAGGTAGAGTAGAAAGAGGGGCTCATACATTGGGGGAATAGCAGAGACAAGCAATGCGCACCCTTCCCCAGAATCAAGAATGCAAGATGAGGTTTGGTAACGCAGAGCAGTGGCAGCACTCACCCGCCAATAAACTTACGATTTCCCCACTCCCCTTCCAGGCATTTCAAAAGGGCGGGGGGTGGGTGGGGCAGAGCAGACAGCAAAAGGCACTCACCCTTCGGGGGTCAACAATAAATTTCCGATGCCCCTGCTCGCCCGGGCACAGAGACGGGTCAAAAATCCTCTCCCCGTCCTTCTCATTGTCATGACAAGCGGGCTCAGGCCAGTGGAACACGAACCGCTCCACCTGCATCTCGCCCTCCCTCTCCCCCCCCCACTGCGACTCCTTGGGTACCTTCTTATCCCGCACCACCCCGCCTCTCCACAACCGCCCCCCCCCTGCGTCCACCCCGCCTGCTGTCGCGGTGTCTCCCCCTGCTGCCATGCCGGGTGCGCTGGGGTCCGGGAGGCCGAGTACTTCTATCTCGTGGTCGGCACGCGGGCGGCACAAGTGGATGGAGAACCACAACGAGCCGAACGTTATGCCGGCCACTGTGCTGCTGCTGCCGCCCGTACTGCTACTGCTGCTGCCGTCGCCCCAACCACTGAGGCTCGTATCCCCTGCTGCTGCAACCACCCCACTACCCCTGCCGCTGCCGTCGCCGCCAGTTCTGCCAGTCAAAGCAGAACCAGCAGTTACCGAGTTACCAGCATCGTAGGTCTCTAACAGTATGTGCAAGGGCGGGAGCGGCCTGGGCTCGGTAACAGGCGGCAGCCAGAGGTAGTCGTCCAAGTCCAGATACAGCACCCAGCGCGCAGACATGCGCGAGCGGTACAAGCAATCCTGCAGCGCCGGCACCTGCCCGTGGTTCCACAGCTGCTCTCTCTCCAGCAGCCCTGTCATTTCCACCAGCTCCGCCCTGCCTTGGCCTGCTTGGGCCTGTATGACGGCTCGTATGGGGTCGGTGGCGCCCCCCGCATTGTAGAGGAGGAAGGAGGTGATGCCGATGAGGTGGTGGTATGAGAGGAACTCGAGGAGGGCGCGAGGGGAGATGGATGGGCCGTGGAGCGGGGGGAGACAGAGGGTGAGGTGGGATGGGAAGGGCGGAGAGAAGGGCGGAGAGGAGGTTGTGGTGGGTGGTTCGTTGGGAGGTTGTTGTTCCCTGGTTTGTGATGGGGATGGGTGAGATGGGTGGAAGAGAAGAGGGGATGGGTGCGATGGGAGCGAGGAGTGAGCATCACTTCATTTCTTCAAAATTTGTGTTCGGTTGTGTATGTCGTTTCCAGTGTTCACTCGTACCCCTTTTGAGGCACCTCAACACTCATACCACTTTCGAGGCATCCCTACACTCATACCCCTTTTGAGGCATCCCTACACTCATACCCCTTTTGAGGCATTCCTACACTTTCAAACTAATGAGCACCTCCATTACATCCGTTAGCAGAATGATGATAAACGGTTACCACTCCAGCCATCACTCTTGGCAAAGCAACTCCAATCTCAACCCACACCAGCAGTACCATGCACCACCGCACACCACCGCACACCACCATGCACATGATAAGAGGAACATTCATGCCTCCGGTCATCGCTGCCACTCCACCACGCACCACACACCACCGCACAGCACCATGCACCTGATGAGTGGAACATTCATGCCTCCAGTCATCACCGCCACACCACCACACACCACGCACCACCGCACACCACGACACACACACACCACACACCACCACGCACCTGATGAGAGGAACAGTCATGCCTCCAGCCATCACCGCTGCCACCCTTCCCCCAAACGGCAGCGCCCCCTCCCCTTGCTGCCGCCCCTCCCCTCCCCTCCCGTCTTCCCCTTGCTTCTCCCCCTCCCCAGGCGCAGTAGGCGCAGGGAAGGAGCAGCGCAGCACAATTGTTTCCATTGGGGACTCGGGGGGGTGTGAGGGGAAGACCGTTGAGACGGCTCCCCTCACTGGGGCGAGGGGGGAACCGGCAGGGGGAAGCCAGCTGGGGGGAGGGGGAGGGAGGGAGAGGGGGGGGGACGATAAGGGAGATAGAGGGAGTGAGGGGAGGTAGGGGAGGTTTATGCAAAGGAAGGAGGAGTAAATATGAGTGAGAGGGATTGAGTGTGAGTGAGAGGGATTGAGTGTGAGTGAGAGGGATTGAGTGCCAGTAAAAGGGGGTGAGTGAAAGTGAGAGGGAGTGAGTGAAAGTGTTACAAATGAAACTGCAATCTTACTCTCTTATTCGCAATTCTTCTCTCACGTTAACTAAAAATGCATCGCTCCGCTGGGTGTGACTCGGCTCCCACCCTCACCTAAAGCGACTCACTCTTTCAGCTCAACCTCTTTCAAACACAATGTAAGGAGACACGAGTATGAGGCAGAAGGGAGTACGAGGGGGAAGGGAGTGCGAGTGGGGAAGGGGGGGAGGGAGTGCGGAGGTGGATGCGATGAAGCTGCGAAACCAAAAATAGAGAAGTTGGGAATGCGGAGGTGGACTGCTTAATCCACCAAGGCGGGAAGCAGTGGGGCGGCGGGAAGGTGGGGTGGGGTGGGGTGGGGTGGGGTGGGGTGGGGTGGGGTGGGATGCACATGGTGGAAAAATGAAGACCGTTGCAGTGACCGAGAGTGGAAGTGAGAGGGGGAGAAGCGGGGAAGGGAGTGGGGAAGGATGGGGAAGTGAGTGGGAGTGAGCGGGTAAGTGAGGGGGGTGGAGGAGAGGAGCGAGAAGGGGTGCGGGGGAGTGAGAGGGGGACTGAGAGTGGGAGTGAGAGGGAGAGTGGGGGGGCGAAGGCTGGGGAGAGGAAACATACACGCAGTGGGAGAGGGGCTGTGAGAGGTGGCGCGCAGAGAGAGGGGCCACGCCCACCGCTGCAAAGGCTGTTGGGGACATGCGATGCGCACTGGGGGGAGAAGGGGGGTGAGAGAGGGGTGGAGGGAGGGGAGAGGGGTGGAGGGAGGGGAGAGGGGAGGGAAGGGTAAAAAAGAGGTAGAAAGTGAGGGGAATGACGGAACTAGGCTGGTGAGGGGTTGTGGTGTGCTGTGGGGGGAAGAGAGAGAGAGGATGGTGGACATACGTGTTCTGGTGAAATGGGATGGGATGGGATGGGATGGGATGGGATGGGATGGGATGGGATGGGATGGGATGGGATGGGATGGGATGGGATGGGATGGGATGGGAGTAATGGGCTGGGATGGGTTGGGAGGGACGGATGGGACGGGATGACATTAGGATTGCAATGAGATTGGGAGCGGTGGAGAAAATTGGAGGGCTAGAGTATAGCTGAAACGGGTGAGAGGAGGCTGCTCTTGAGGGGCTTCATTAAGAGATGATGAGGGGTGGAATAGAGTGGGTGGATTGGAGTGGAGTGGAGTGGCGTGGAGTGGCGTGGAGTGAAGTGGAGTGGAGTGGAGTGGAGTGGAGTTCAGTGAAGTGGAGTGGAGCATACCTGAAGCGAACAAACTTGTAGCCTGATGGTGTGGAGTACTCTCGGAATGGTGTGTATTCTGACACATGCCACCATGCACCCATGCACACATGCACACACACACACACACACACACACACACACACGCACGCACGCACGCACACACACACACACACACACACACACACACACACACACACACACACACACAGGTTTATTGGCAAGAAAAGGGTAACCCAAAAAATAAGGGAGAACCAACTAATCAAATTATCAGCAACGTATCCTTTTTAAGGTGCCTCAAATGCAGCTTTTGCCCAGGAATCCCCACAGCCAAACATATCCCTCCTCCCCCTCACCTTCGTCTCGTCCAATCAGCTCCAAGTCTTCACCCCGCCCCTCTTTAACCATGCCTCTATCCTCCTTCGACCCTCCCTGCTCCTCCCGCTCCACCCGTCTCTCCTGCTCCTGCTGCCCCTCTTGCCCCCCTCCCCCCTGCCCCTGCCCCTCTTCCTCCTGTTGCTGCCGCCTTGACTCGTCCTCCTCACCACCCCGCCGCATCTGCCCCTCCCCTTGCCCTTCCCCTTCCCCCTGCCCCTGCCCCTGTCCCTGTCCCTTCCCTTCTTGCTCCTGCTGCAGCTGATCCTGATGCTCTTGTTGCTGCTGCAGCTGCTGCTCCTCCTGTGCCCTCCCTCCTGCACCCCCTGTGGCAGCAGCAGTGTCAGCAGTAGTGGTGGCCACAGCAGTACCAGTGGCACGAGTGTCAGCGTGGTCAGCGTGGTCAGCGAGGGCAGCGTGGTCAGCAAGGGCAGCATGGTCAGCGAGGGCAGCGTGGTCAGCGAGGGCAGCGTGGTCAGTGTGTGCAGCAGCTACCTCCTGTTGTAGCTGCTGCACGCGCGCCTTGAGGCCTTCAATGATCGCCCTCTGCAGCCGTAACTGGGGGGAAGGTGCAAAACGGGGGGTGGGGCGGGGGGGGAAAGAGAAGGGAGATAGGGGGAAGATGCGGGTTGGCATGGCAGCAGCGGTAGCAACTGCAAGGGTGGCAGCGACCTTCCCCTGTACCTGCTGCACACCCGCCTTGAGGCCTTCTATGATCGCCCGCTGCAAGCGCAACTGGGGAGGGGGCAAAGGAGGGCAGGGGGAGAGAGAGGGGAGATAGGGGGAAGGGAAGATGGGGGTTAGTATGGCAGAAGTGTTAGCGGGGACAACGCGGGCAGCAGCTACCTCCTGCTGTAGCTGCAGCACGCGTGCCTTGAGGCCTTCTATGATCGCCCGTTGCAACGCAGCTGGGGAGGTGAGGGGGGTGATGGAGGGTGATGGGGGGTGATGGGGGGTGATGGGGGGTGATGGGGGGTGATGGGGGGTGATGGGGGGTGATGGGGGGTGATGGGGGGGAATGGGGGGGAATGGGGGAAATGGGGGAAATGGGGGAAATGGGGGAAATGGGGGAGAAGGATGCGAAGGGGGAAAGAGGGACGGAAAATGGGTGGAAACACGGGAGATGGGTGGAAAGGAGGAGAGAGGAGGGAAGATGGGCGGTGGGGGGAGGATTGCGGAACAGATTACAATGGGGCAGCTGGGAGAGTGTGGGGCAGCTGGGAGAGTGTGGGGCCGCTGGGAGAGTGTGGGGCAGCTGAGAGAGTGTGAGGCAGCTGGGAGAGTGTGGGGCAACGATTGCTTGGTGCAGAGGAGGCAGGGGGGGGACAGGGGGGGACAGGGGGGGACGGGGGGAGGCAGGGGGAGGCCTCTTGCCCTGCACGCACAGTACAGCTCTACACGCCCGGTGCATGTGTGGTCCCAGCACGCCTATCATGTGCACTCCATGCAGCCCATTCAACCGCACACCACCCCATTCTCTTCCTCTTCTGGATGGGCGTCCCCCCCATCTCACCTGTCGGCTTGCGTGCCTCCCAGACTTCTTCGCTTGCTCCGCTATCTCCCCCGCCTCCACCACCAATTGCCTCCTTTCACCTTCCCCTTCCCCCGCTCCCCCTTCCCTTCCCCCTCCCCCTCCCCCTTCCCTTCCCCCTTCCCTTCCCCCTCCCCCTACCCCGTCCCCCAGCGCGCCAATCGCCCGCGCCACCACGTCCCGCTCGCGCCCGTCCACCAGGCGCCCCAGCGCGCCCTCGAGCGCCTCCGTGCGCTTCAGCAGCGCGCCCAGCAGCTGCACCTGCTGCTGAGCGCGCTCCGCCAGCTCGGATACCGCGCCCGCCTGCGCGCGCACCTGCTGCGCCAGCGCCGCCTCGCTGCTCGCCAGACTGGAGGGGGCGGGGCCGGGGGGGGTGTGGAGGAAGGGGGGGGGAGAGGACGGGAAGAGGGGAAAAATGGGAGAGAGGGAGAGGGGAGAGGGGAGGGCGAAAGGGAAAGGGGGGAGCGGAGGGAGAGAGTGGAGGGGAAGAGGGGAGGGCGTTAGAGCAGGGGGAAGAAGGTGTGGTTTCGGGGTTGATTGCGTGGTGTGATGTGGCCAGGGGTAAAGAGAGAGAGCGAAGCGAGGAGGCACGGGTTACCTTGTAACGAAGGGCGCCACGTCATCTTTCTTGAAGTCCCGCATGTGTGACGTGTTCTGGTGGCGCCACGGGAGGGGACAGGTGGAATGCGGTTGAGGCAGGTGAGATGCGGTAGAGGCAGAGGGACGAGTACGAGCGAGAGGAGTCACAGACAGACAGGGGGAAGGGGACGAGGGGGGTGGGGGGGAAGGGGAAGGAGAGGGAAATGGGGGGATCGGGGGAAAGCGAGGGGGGAAAAGACGAGACTGCGGAGACAGAGAGCTTGAGAACGGAGGGGTTTCGGTGTGCGGGGAGGGTTTAAGTGCGCTCTCCTTCCCCTTCCACTCTTCCCTATCTCTTGCCCCTTCCTACCACTCCCCCCCTCCCCACAACCCCCCTTCCCCCCCTATTTCCACCCAACTCACTCCATCTGCTCTACCCTCCCACCCCTCCCCCCAATGACCCCTCCCAATCACAACCTCCCCCCCCAACCCTTCCCTCCCCCACTCTTCCCCCTTTTTCGCCCCCTTCCCCTTCCCCCTCCCCCACCCCGTCTCACCAGGAGGCTAATGAGCGCAACGACCATCAGCCCCGCCACCCACATCTTGCGACTCCCCTTCAGCGGGTCTCCGCCTCCCCACAACCCGCTTGCGCCCCCGCCCCCTCCCCCGCCTCCCCGCCGCATCAGCGGCCCTGCCGCGCTCCCCCCAGCCGCTCCGTTTCCGCCAATTCCTCCGCCGCTCGCTGCGCCGCACCAGGCGGTGAGCGCATCGACGGCGTCGATCGCGCATTCCAGCGCTCGTCTCTGTACCGCCTTCGCCGCCGCAACTGCCGCTACAGCAATTGCTGACGCCTCCCGCAGCGCTGGCGGCGTTGGCGCTGCGGCAAGGCCCGCGGCGCGAGTCCCCCCATCGCGCAACTCGAGCCCGCCATTCATTATAATCACAGCAGGAGCTTGGCTCGTGGGCAATTCGGTAGTTTCCAAGTACTCCCCTTTAATACCGTTCATTCCGCTGACTCCGTTGACGCTTTTGAAGCCGATAAACGCGGCGCCGTTCGCGGTAGGTTCGAGGGACGCGGCTCGGCCGTCGAAGCTGGGCGTTGAAAGGTTCGGCGAGCTACGACTCGACGCCGCGAGGGCGGAAAATGAGAAGGAGGAGGAGGAGGAGGAGGAGGAGGAGGAGGAGGAGGAGGAGGAGGACGCGAGGTCAGACGCGAGTGTGGCGGGATTCGCGGAGGAGGAGAGCCTATCGCGAGGCGGAGAGGAGTCCCCGGGTGACGGGAGCTGCGTGGAATTCGCGAATCTGCCGCTTGAAGCGAGGTCGCTATTGCTGCTGCCGCTGCCCGGCGGCCTGAGCCTCTCGCGAAGGTCCCTCTCTCCCGACATGCCCGCCGCCGTAAATTGCGGCGACGAAGTAAGTCTGCGGATTGAACACGGAATTCTAACCTGATGAAACAATGTCTGCGCGGAATGCGACGATGAGTCAGGAAAATCGCCAGTCGAGGTTGGGAAGGGCAAGCGAAACCAAATGGCAGCAGTTCGTGAAATTCAGGACAGAGCGCGAGTCGCAGGACCAAATTAGGACTGCGTGTGTGTGTGACTTTCCCGTCCATCCATCCAACCCAAAACTCCCCACCTCCCTCTGCTCCACCTCGCACTGTGCACACTGTCACGCGCCTGCTCTCTTCCGCCTGATCTCCGCGAGCCCCCAGCATCACTCTCCGCCGCCGTCGTATCGCTCTTCCCCACTCGGCCACTGGCGACTGCTGTGCTTTTCGGGGACGCGAAGACGACAAGCCTCTCATCATCAACTACAAGAAGAAAAGGTAAGTAAACCCTCTTTTTCCAGAGTAACTCTAGTATGTCTTCATTAAAAAACAAAACTATTTTGTGGGGCTGTTTCGGGTTCCGGATGTCGTGACAGATTTGGCTAAAACTCTCTTGCTTATTAGTCGAACATTTGAGAATGGTCACGGAAAACCAAGATTGAATCGAGTGAGGTAGATGTAACAGAAGGCGAGCAAGTTCAGCAACTTGTTTCAGGGAATTTCCTACCACCCCCTGTCCCTCCATGATCAAGCCCCACACATAGTGCCCCTTCATACTGCCCCTCCAGTTCAATGGAGGCTTTTCCTACCCTCGCTCCTTCCGTGACGGTGTGATTGCATAAATTAAAATGCACAACACTGTCGGAAAACTTTGCCCTTGCAGTGTCAGGGTACGATGGGTAGCAGCACGCATCCGGCGACACGCTCCAAAACACAGCTGCGGTACACACAGCGGTGGTCGCATCGCATGTCTGTCGTGCGGTCCATGTTTAGGACGCTCCGCCAATCACGTTGAGTGCTTGTGTGCCCATCGAACACCTCGCTATCCACCATGGGCCCTTGGCGGTATGCGCAGTGATGCTGTTTCCATGGTTACAGCTGTTTGTCTCCAGCTTGTGGAAACCCCGGCTTTTTGCACTTCATCTCAAAAACTATCCAGTTGTGGTCTGTGTGGAAAATGTCGCAGCTATGGCAACCTGACACTACTGAAGTAGTGTGCGATAGTGCCACGTAGGACTGCTAAACATTAGCCGCTCATGGCAGGGTATTCTACTGAAAATGCATGTAGAGCAAGAAGGGTTTTCATTCGCCTCAATGATGGCTCGTGGGCTTTCCCCCCAGTACATTGGAGCCATTAGCTGGTTCTGTCGTATTCTTTTCTTGGGGCATGTCGTTGCATCTGGAGGCTGGACCACATATTAGGAAGTGGTGTATGTATGCCATTTCTATTGTTACCAATAACATATATGTGCAATTTAGAGAGCTAGAGAGGATTGTACCATGGATGCAATAATTTGTATGTGAGCGAAGGCAAGAGCGAACAATACATAACTTTCCATTATTGGGGTGCTCTACAGGCTGCAGCTTACCAGCCACGATATGTGGCGTGGACGCTAAAATGTAATAGATGGATGGGTATCCAAAGTTGTTGTTACGATATAGGATGCATTTGGCATTTCTGTATCAAAGTGTGTTTGTATGTCTGTAGGCTGTAGTGGGTTAGACCTAGTACTCTTACTCATCTCATGCTTCTAGTCAATAATTCCTCCACGTTATTTCGGACATGGTATCCAGAGCAGGTCCCTCCGTAGGACCGCTCCGTTAGGGCCCATCGCTATTTTCGAACTGCCCGAACTGCCCTGCCCGTTCGTTCCTGCCCTGCCCGAACAGCGTCGCTCACGCTGCCCTGCCCGCGCTACCCCACGCGCTTTGCCTTGCCCTACGCCCTGCCCGCTTGCTGCCCATCGCGCGACCCGCACGCTGCCCTGCTCGCGCCCTGCTCGCGCTGCCTGCATGCGCGCTGCCTGAGCTCGTCGCGCGCTCTGCCCGCATGCTATGCCCGCTCCCCGCACGCTACCTGCACCGCCCGCGCGCTGCATTTGCTGCCTGCGCGCTGCTCGCCCCGCCCGAAATCTGCCTGCGCGCTGCCTGCACCGCAGGCGCCCTGCCCGCAAACCGCGCGCCCTGCCTGCACTTTGCCCGCACGCTGCTGGCGCCGCCCGCGCACTGTTCTGCGCCGCCTGCAAGCGCCCTGCACGCGCTGCAGTTGCTGCTAAGCTGCTGATGCCGCCCGCGCTGCGCTGCCCTGCCCTGTCGAGCCGCGCCGCCCTGCCCGAGCCGTGCCGCGCCGCCCAGCCGCGTTGTGCCGCCCTGCCGAACCGCCCAGCTGAGCCGCCCTGCCTAGCTGCCCAGCCGAGCTGCTTTTGTTGTCGTAACTATTTGCTACTGCTGCTGCTGCCACTGGTACTGCCCACTATGGCTATGCTAAATGTCCTTACCTTTGACGCGGAGGGTCGCACGATTAGGTTTGACTGCTGGCTTGAGGATCTCCAGCAGTACCTGCAGAGCATGGCTAGGGAGGACGTTTCCCTATTAGAGCACACGTCCGGTTCCTACCTTGCCCTCGAGGAGTCAGCTGATCGTGTTCTTCGTACTCTGTGGCTTATGCGCGACGCTGCCACCCGCCTTTCTGTCCGCAATGCCCTCCCGCTAGACTAAAGGGTCCATTTTGGCCAGCTAGAGACGGCGAAGGAACTCTATGATGCCGTAGTTGTTCGCTACTCCCCCCCTTCTGCTGCTGCCCTAGGATGTATCATGCTGCCGTACCTTTTTCCTGAGCTGTCGGACTTCCACACTGTCGCTGACCTCATGACCCACCTTCGCTCTAGTGACGCTCGCCAACGCACCGCTCTAAGCCGGCCTTTTTTACTGCGAACCAGCCCCCGATGTACATAACTCTTTTCTACCCCGTTACTCGCCTCCCTGACTCCCTCTGCGCCATTAGGGATCACTTCCTCGCTCTTGACCCCACTGAGATCACGCTTGCCTTGCTAGAGAAGTATCTCCTCGAGGCCGAGACCAGTACTGTCGCTGTAGCTGCCTCTCGTGGCACTCCCCGCTCCACCCTCTTTGAGGGTTGTTCTCCCTCCCTTCTCGCGCCCTCTATTGCTACTGCTGCTGCTCTAGACTTCCTTTGTACCGAGGAGGTTGGTGCTGCGTCAGCTCCTAGTGGGAGTCGCCGCAGCGGCAAGGGCAAGGGGGGGAAGGGTGGTGGGGGTGGCGCTGGCGGGGGTGGTGGCGGGGTTGGTGGAGGTGGTGGTGGCGGGGGTGGAGGTGGTGGTGGCGGCAATGGAGGTGGCGGGGGTGGTGGAGGTGGTGGAGTGAGCGAAGGGGGCTCGGGTGGTGGTCGGGGTGTAGCTGGTAGGGGCAGAGGCTACGGGGCGGCGACTGGGGGTGCAGCTCGTGGAGGCGGAGGCAGTGGGGGTGGACAGCAGCAGCAGCCACGCCAGCAGGAGCCACGCACCCCTCACGAGCTTCGTGAGTGGGTTGTCCAGCGTGGCTCCTCTGGGGGTAGTGTTTGTTGCCCGTACATCAGGCTCTCGGGTCCCAGGATTGACGAGCCGTGCGGGAAGACTGTGCACACTGAGTACCGTTGCTTTTGCCATCTCGAGGATGCCTGGCGCACTGGATACGGAGATGATCAAGAGATCCCCAACTGGTTGGGGTTGCTAGGGAAGGGGGTGGATGTGTTTGCTCTTGACTTTGCCAAGATCAATGCTGGACTCTATGCTATGTATGTTGGCTCTGTTAGTGTTGAGGGTGACTGTTACTCGTGTGTGCCGCACGCTACTGGTGTAGAGGCTGCTGCTCTAGGTGCTTATGAGTCTGCTGCCGCAGGTACTGCTTCTGCTGAGGCCTTGCACACCTTCACACTTGACTCAGGCGCGTCTCGCTGCTTCTTTCGCGATTGCACCACAGTCACACCGCTTAGAGCACCTGTCCCAGTCGCTCTGGCTGACCCCTCTGGGGGCCCAGTCGTTGCACGAGCCTCCACTGTCCTCCTTTGTCCGGCGGTCCCCTCCGACTCTCTCCCAGGTCTCCACCTCCCCTCGTTCTCTACGAACTTGGTGAGTAACTCTGTCCTCCAGGATGAGTTGGTCAATACCTTTACTCCTAGAGGTGAGCATGAGGCGATCTGTACGTGCTCATGGACAGGCCACCACCTTGCTACGTTCACTCGGAGACCTAGGTCAGGACTGTACACACTGACCACTGAGTCTGCACAGGTGGCTGCGTCAGGTCAGATGGATGCGTCGGGTCAGTTAGGGCGTGTGTGATAGGTTTTTAGGTTTGTAAAATAGGTCGAACTTTTGATGGTTATCGCTTTCGTCAATGTCGCAGACACCGTTTGGCGAAGGGCACTCTGACTTGAAAACACTCAAATGCAACCAACAAAAAATGAACAAGGCTCGAGTTTATGCACGAACGTGAGAATTGACTATGAACCGAACATGTGTTATTTTGGGCACGTAAGAGGAGTTAGCGAATATTTTGAGTCCGTGCACCAATGAGCACACCATCGTAACCAGGTACAGACTTCGTCTCGCAGAGATAGATAGTACCAGGTAACCTACCCAACCTACGAGCGGCTCGGCTCACCCTTATGAGGTCGAACATACAAATTCAAACCAAGGTGTGTGGTTGCACTGCAACCATTTGCGAGACGCGCGGCTCGAACTTTGCCTACAACGAAATTCGAATATTGTTTACCTCATGTTCAAATGCTACATTCGATTCCAAAACGCAAACTTTAACCAAAAACAAAAATCACGCACGCCCTTAGCTGTGTCTTGTTCGTGTCGGCTACTCACGCACCAGAATCTCCTCTGGCACCACCGTCTTGGTCACCCCTCCCTGCCGCGCATGCGTGGCATGCACTCTCGTCTCCTAGTCTCTGGCCTCCCCAGGTCCCTGCCCCCGCTCCCGCGCTCGCTTGCACCGCCATGCCTTCCCTGCGTTGAGGGGCGGCAGCGCGCCGCTCCTCACTCCTCCACATTT